TGGCTTCTCCACTGGGTGCCCTGTATGTAAGACTGTCAGCTTAGGATAAGGAGGGCTCCTAGGAAAGCAGTGATGGACAAGTTGGGTATCTCCCATACAGTCTCAACAAGAAACATCCATGGTTTCCCGGCTAAGGCAGCCACGGTCGGCGTGATGGACATGGGTGCGAAGGGCGAAGGCCTGCTCATGATTGCTGGCCCACAGCTTGGGTTTCCAGAGATCCTGCCGAGTCTGTCTCGTTGCCTCTGGGACCCAGTTCCTTTTGCAAATCTGCAGTGATGAGTTGCAGCAGGGGGGGTGGCCTTCATCAGGAGAGAGTATGGTTTCGGCTGAAGCAGTTTTCACCCTAAGCTGTTTCGGCATGCGGATGCATCGACTGAATCTAGCAGGGAGGTTGTGGCAAAGCAACCTTTCACGCACCACCCACGCACTGGTTCCTGGCAGCTGTGAACTTCTGGGTGCTCGTGCAGCTGATTCGAATTCAGCAGGGACCTCAGAGGACTGTGCGGGGAAGCCTTTTGGAACCTTACGGTGCCAATACATGCCAATCTAAAAAAACAACGAAGATTTATTTGAGGTCTTTTCAAGAAGTGGCGTGATTGAAGAGGCTTGAGGAAAGCCGAGCTTCCTGTAGACGTCGGTAGCTCCAACTCTATGAATACCCATGCGCATAGCCAGCAGAATAGACACCATTCCTTGTGGCTCAATCCCAGCAGCTGTCAGACTCCATACAGCCCCTGCCAATCCCAGGTTTAGTCGTGACGAGAGCAAGGCAGGATGCCTCGTCCAACAAATGATTGCCGGCGGAAAGTGAAGACCCCGTGCTGGCTGGCCGCACAGCGTGTTGAGTGTTACGAGGCTTGACTTAAGCCGGCCTAGCTGGACGTGTCCCAACCACCCTTGGCTTTCTCAGCATTGCATGCAAGCAGGCTTCCACCACTCTTCCACCTACCGTGGCATCCTTCGCAATACAGTACCGAGTTTGGCCCCCTAAGATTCAGAGGACTCCAAAGGTTCCCATGACTCCCCTTACTAAGGTTTTGGGGTCGGCACCCCATCCAGGGAGTCATGCTACAAATGTGTTTCCATGGGAGGTCCTGGAGCGTGAGACGCGGGCGATTCAGCAAACTGCGCCGGCAGCTCAAAGAGACAGGGAGCAGGTGTCTGTTTGATCAAAGCATCATGTTGTATTGCGTCCAGGACACGGAGAACCCTGAAAACGCTGCGCTTGGAGCCATTGCGCACCAAAGGTTTTCCCAGGCCGAAGTCGACAGCTTCCGCGAGAGCTTCGTGAGCTGGTTTCACCAACAGGAGAAGCATCCTTAAGTTCAGATTGCATTGTGCTAGAGGCTGTGACAATGCTAGTGCTCATACCTTGAGGAATCCTACACATGAGATCTCTCTCTCTCTCTCTCAATCAAACTAGCGCCCCTAAAGATACAGGCATCCACCAGTGTTTGCAGGGCTTAAGGCACACGACGCCGATAATCACATCACAAGCAGCCGACAACTTGGAAGGATCTGCGCTCCTCGAACGTCTATGCATTTGGTGATGTCGTCGTGCTGGCATGTTTCATGAGTGAACTGGGTTCGGTTACTGGGTTCGGTGTTGGCGAGGAACGCTTGGGGGAAAAAGTAAAGTCGCGAACGTTTCTGCGGGTCTCTGTCGTCTCGGGTCCCTTTCCTGTTGTCCAAAGGAGGGTTTTTGCGGGCTTCGTTGCGTCATGGGCACCCGCCATTCAGAAACCAGCGTCGCAAGCCTGACCCGCACAGTACACACATCACCCCAAACAGGTAGGTAACATGCAGACTTCCACCTCCATCCAGGACGGATGCCGTCACAAGGAGCTGACGAAGGCACGGGGCTTGGTTCAAGAGACACTCTAAATGGCGCTTCAATCTTGCGGAAGCGTTGTGAGGAGACGCTGGACAGCCTCATCCGATCATTGGGTGTGCGGGTTAACGAGGATCAACGGAAGAGGCGCGCGTCCTCTTCTGTTTCTCTGGTGTTACACGGCTTTCTTTCTCGACAGGGCTGAGCATTGAGGCCCTGGCTTCGAAGTTGATGGAATTTTAGGGTTTAGGGTTAAGGGCTGCATCCCTCTTTCAGCCCACGCCGACGCGATGTTCGAATGCCTTCTTCAATGCGTTTTGCCGGTGACAGGTTTTGCTATGGTTTTGCTTGCCACGACCCGACAAGCAGTTTAGGACGCTGCGCCCCAGGGGTGCAGCGGGCCGTAGACAGTTCCTATGCCAACACAAGTTGAATGGCGTGAAAGGGCCTAGCCAGGCGTCGGAAGATGCGCCAGAATATAGAAATAGATGAGTATCGTTTATATGTCGCATGTATACTTCTAAAATTCCAGAATATCAGGTATGATACAGTAGTATATAATATGGCAAAATTATTGTACTAAGACTAAACTATAGTAAATATAGTATAGTGGAGTATGTATATATCTAATATGTATAGATATATAGATAGATATATGATACAACATCTAGATTGAGATATATGATGTAATATCTATACACACAAATTCTCTATATATATATATATATATATATATAGACATATTTCCTATAATATGGCTGCATGGCTCAAAAAGCAGGCTGGATCGGAAGATCGAAGAGCCCACGCCTCGCCATTTCTCTGAGCCATCGAGAGAAGAGCCTGTGAAGAAATCGAGAGCCCCCCGAATCCCTTGCAGCTGAGGATCTGTTTCTTTAGGGTTTAGGGTTTAGGGTTTAGGGTTTAGGGCTGTAAAGTTTATGGGGTGAAAGGTCCGCGGGAGAAGTGTCAAGGGCTTAGAAGACATCACCTCGAGGTTGAGCGCCAGTGGCAACTTGGACTTTGCGGACTTCCTCCGGCATGCAGCCTAGTTGTCAGGATTCCTCCTTCTTCCTGTTTGGGGATTTAACAGGCCGAGAAGGTGTCGAGTCCAGATTCTCGTTTTGAGGCTGGGATTTCATGGCAATCAGTAAGAGGGGAGGGTGCTGGAAATGATTCTTGTAGAAGTTGTGAGGGTCGCCACGGGCAAGTAGGAATCAGCAGATGTGGAGGTCGAGCCAGTGGTGCTGCATCATGCGATTGATGTACATGTGCATTCTCATTTGGGTGGCAGTGTGCGGCTGAGCGCTAGCCGCTCAGTCCCATGAATCCTGTTTGCACATGTAAGGCCTTATGCCTCATATGCTTGACTCATGTACGTAAGAGGCCGTGTCGTCACAAAACCCAGATGCTATTGGAGATTGTAAGGTTGATGAGATGGATGGTCACAGTGGACTTCGGTGGCATCAACAAGTGACAGCGAGAGTTGAGATGGCCCACAAGACTTCGCAAGAAGGCGGTAGGCAAACGCATTGTTCCCGCAGAGCGTCCCTGCCCTCTTCAAGTGGAGCTCTCCGCCCTGCTCAGCTGCGGGTTAGATTTCCTGAGTGCTTTGATTCTCCTGGAGCCTCCTCCTTGACACACAAAGGCTACGTCGCGTTCAAGCGATTATCAACCCTAAACCCGAAAAAACCACATTCCTGCGAGGCCAGTAGTGTTGAGGTGAGCACTACCTCAACAGGTTGCATGATACCTCGATTTGCACCTTCGTCCCTGATCCGCTTCGATTCGATACTCTTCGTGCTATGGCACCAGGTTGTACTACTAATTATTACTAGTTTTTTTCTAATTGTTACTTATTATTACTAATGAGTACCAATACTAATGATTACTAATCTGTTCTGAACAGGGAATGAAGGATAAAAGAGCCACTGACTCGTAATGGAAGTGGGCCGGCGACTTTGGCCACAAGTCTCACAGTGTCTCACCATGGCTTTCCAGGCTGGTTGCAAACATTTGCCTAACAAAGCAGGGCTACAGGCACCTGCCAGCAGGCTTGGTCTGAATGATGTGCCCTTTTTGATCTTTTCGTACCCTAACGATAAGGAATCTTCTTAGAGTGGGGACCTCTCAAGTGGCCAGAACCTCGACCAACCCCCACACCAGCATCTTGTTGCAGTAAGCACTCCAAGCGCAAAGGGAGGTGGAGGAGAGGCCCTCTTTAGTTTTTCTAGGGCCTCGGCTTTAGGGTTTAGCGGGGGCGGGATTTCGTCAGAAAAGCAGGAAGGGTCGTACTTGGTCGTACTTGGTCGTTTCTGCACTTTGGAAGATGCAAGGTGTGGCTTCGCTGAAGCTGGTGAACAATGCTATGATAGGAGGCCTACGAGGGCCCTGAAGTGTTCAAACCATGGGGACTGCATGAGCCCTAAAATTTGAAGGCGCTCATGGTCCACATACCTCATTCCGGGTTACGGTAGCAAGGGGTATAAGATACCAACAATAGCGAAGTACTCGTGTCCACGTGGCCAAGGAAGGATTGCGAATGTATAGCATGGCAAGTGAAGCAACCCGCCTGCGGCAAGTCTCACAGAGTGCAAGGAGCCGCGGTCACCAGCCGATCGCCTCACACGGTTCCTGAGCATTGAACGATGCTAAAAACGGCCCGAAACCCTGTAGGCGTCCTCATTGGCCCATCCTCCGCACTTTAAGGGATGAATTGGTTTAGTGGTTGAAGGTTTAGGCAGGAAGAAGCTGTCAGATTCGGGCTTCTTCCTCCTCCAGCGAGTGGAGTCTCGAAGAGTTTGCCGCCCTGGCCCCAGGGAACAGTCATACCGTGTGTAGACCGATTGAGAGGTTTTCATGGCTGTTGACTCAAGTTCTGGGCTTTATGGAAGCAAGCGCCCTGCGATCAGCCCCCCGCCCATCCCGGACTCCTCGGGCCTTGCAACCTGCATGGGTTTGGGGGTTCAGGGTGTGCTGGTTGTGTGAGCCTGACTTGGAGCAGACCTGGTTGTAAAAGGGTGTCTCAGGTTCCATGCCAAGCTGACACAAGCCGGACAATTTCTGGATCACCAAAATGTCTGTTACACAGGGTTTTCTAGATCGACCTAGGAAGATGAGTCTTCAAAAGCTTGTCCCCTAAAGCAGGGAGGCTTCGGGCCCAACGGCCATGGGCACCTTCCGCATCTTCTCTGACCGGTCGGCTTCTGACCTCGACGCCTTCGAATGGAATCCCACCATGGACCCTTGCACCTAAACATGAGGTTTTGACACCCCCTGTTTTGGCACCTTAATCTCGAAGGAATGTACAGCCCAGTGCAGCCCCCCCCCCCGCTAAACATAAAGGAAAGCGAGGCAGCTTTGCACGGTCGACGGAGTTTTGTTTAGGGGTTTCGGGCTCATGGCGCCACTCGTGACGCAAGTCCTTTCGTCGTGTGCCTTCAACCCTAAACCCTAAATCCCGCCTGCGTCAGCTGGCATGAGAGTCGAAACCCCAAATCCCCCCCCCCCCTCCCCCCCGGACGGAGAAGAGAGGACTTGCTGGCGTGCCTCACCGCGCCGCCGGACTCGACCATGAGTATCTACCGCCTGCTCTCGGAGGATCAAAGCTTCTTGGTGCAAGGTTTAGGGTTTATAGGGTTTAGGGCAACTCGGGCTGCAAGCCGAGCAGAAGCTCTATCAAGCCCTAAAAGCCCTGAACCCCAGAAAGGCCCAAAGCTGCTCTCCGAGAAGATCACTGGCGTCGGCTCCGCCTTGGCCTGGTCTCCCTGTGGGAGGCGCCTGGTTGTCGGAGATCGCCTGGGTGGTGTCGCCATCTACGACGGTGCCTGGGGTTGGATCCCACTCAAATATTGGATTTTGGAATCCCAGAGTCCATGTTCCTGTATAGAATGTGCCTGTTGGGCCCTGAAGCCGCTATGCTCTAGGCGCTAGGAGCCCCTTTAAGGAACTAGACTATATTAGGTACATGGACACTTCGGGAAGAAGACCCAAGTGGCAGATATCCACCCTTATCAAAACGCATTTATGGCATATCCACATGTTTAAGTCTTTGGCGAAGTCTTTGGGGAATGAAGCAGGACTGTGTACTGAGCCAGGTGAGTCTGGGGCGGTGCTCCACGCCCGGCGCTCCCACACGGAGGCTGTGACCGCCTTCTGCTGGGTGGAGTGCGGTGCTGGCTTCGAGGATCCCGCTTGGTTGCAGCTCCTGCCGCCTCTGTTGTCAGTTCCCAGTGCACCGAGCAACATGTTCCTTGGGGACCAAATGAACCCTAAAATTGAGGTCATATACCCTGTACGGCCATGATCCCTTTCAAGGTACATGGAACCAGAAACCCTTTTTTAAAATCATTCGGTTTCCAAGGTTTGCGGAGCCACGTGAAGAAGTGCTCAGCTCCCCTGCTGGGCTTACGCTTCTGGCCTCTGTCGATGAGGGTGGCCACGTGGTCATCGCAGCTGGGGGCACCTTCCCGGTGCAGGTTCAGGACTTGCCTTCGCTGCGCCCCACGGCCATACAGCTGTCACCTGACTGTCGCTGCCTGGCGGTGCTAGGTCACCCTCGCCCGTCGGAATCAGGTGCTGCTGCATGTGATTCCCCAGGTACACCTTCCCTGCTGTCTCCAAGGCAGAGCCCTGCCAAGGAGGACAAGGCTGGTAAAGCCTCAGGTCTGACGGTGATGGTCCTGGACGTCCGGAAGTTGGCCATCCGTCGACGGGAGCTCGCTCAAAGTGCTTCGCTGGTGGAACGGTTGTCTGCTGTGGCAGCTTACGCCCAGCAAGCGGTCGACACGCTGGCGAATGTCTGGCGGAGTGCAGCCAGCACCTTCGTGAACAAGATGAGGGCCTTCTTCGACTGTCTCCAAGCCTACTCGGGAGATCCTGACACTGACGTCCATTCGGAGCTATTGTTCACCCTCTGCACAGGAAACCCTTCGGACGCCTTGCATGCCTTCTTGACTCGGCAGACGACGCCACAGCAACTGTCGAGAATTGAGAAAGGCATCATGCAGGCGCTGGACTATGTCGACCTTGTCACGTGCACGCGCCTCCAGGCATTTCTGCAAAGTGCAAACCTCAAGTCCTTGCCCTACTAGAATTCTGGCCTTTTTAGTCTCATTGCAAAAAGCCAGAACGAAACCCTGTGCACAAAACCTCCCAAATCCTAAATGTTAAAAGAAGAAGGACGCTTTGCGCCGGGCACGCCTGCACAAGGATTGAGGGTTAAGGAGTTCAGGGAATGGCCACGTACAAGGCCTGCTGTGGCCTTGAGGGAAACATGACGCGCCGTTCGGCAAAACTGTTGCGAGGTGGCGGTGCAGCACCTGTTAGCCATCCTCCAGGACCTGAAGGCATGCAGCGGCCGGCAGCGCTTCAAGACCATTGGCTTGGATTTAGAGCTGCTGCTTCAGCTCGAAGTGCAAACTCTCCGCTTCGCTTCCTTGAGCGAGCACCTGCTGCTGGAGTGTTCACAAGCCCGCTCCTTCGCCCGGACGCTGTTCCAGCTGCTTCTCTTCCAGGCCCAGAAGCTCACAGAGAGCGCCGAGGGTACACCATCGACTCGGCCCGACAACCGGGGTGCGACTGCCAGCGTTGCGTTGGGAACCAAGAACGAAGACGTGGATTGCTTCGTGGCCGCCATGCGCGGCCGCCGCTCGCTGGAGTTGGAGGAGGTGTCCCAACGAATCGGCAAGCCGCAGGCTAAGCCAGAAGCAAAGCCAGAAGCGACAAGCGAGGAGTCCTTGGTGGCGCAGCTGGCGATGCTGGCGACGACCGCCGAAGGCCTGGGACAGCGACTTTGTACCACCATGGCCCGGCAGAGCTGCAAGTTGGCCGAGAGGCATCTGGAGCTGGCACCCCCGTGGCGGAGCCTGCGGCCAGAGCTTGCTTGGAGTGACGTGCCCAGCCCTCGTGGCTTGGGGCGGCCAGTGGTGCATATGGTTTGGGAGGATCGTGTTCGCCAGGAAGAGTTGGCCGAAACCCTGCGCGAGGGACTGCGGTTGGTCTGGTGCGATGGCACCGACATGGGGGCGCAGCTTGTCCTTGCACGGCTTCACCTGGAGGTTGGGAGATGTGGAACAGCCATCCAGCCAGAGCTGGAAATGGCCAAGCTGAGTGCTAATACTTCCGGCTCAGGGCACTTGCTCCTCTGTCGCAGCTATGATGCTGCGCGTGTGGCGGTCCTTCTGCAGGACGGCAAGCTGATGACCACGCAAGTGTGCTTGATTGACCTGAGCGCGATTCCGTTCCGCAAGGAGCTGCCGGTGCCGCTAACACTGTGGACGGAGCTCCCGCAAGATGCAGTGCGCCAAAGTGAGCCGCTGCCAGAGAGCTATTGGTGGGCATCCTCGATGCGTGTCATGAGCCAGCGGGGAGTTTGTTCAGTTTATTCTTCGAGGGCCAGGCGGCTGCTCACGCTGGACATGGAGGCAGATGAGGATGATATGGAAGACGACCCATGAGGCAAACAGAAATTGAAATTGCGGTCATGAGTTTAAAGTTTAAGCAAAATGTCATCCAACATGCGTGAGGTGTTTTTCAACTGCCAGTGAATCTGGTTATTTGTGTGGGTGCTCAGATCAACGTCAAGCGCATGTGCTATCAGAGTCCAGGTATGCTACGACTCCAAGACCAAGCCTTATAGCCTGCTCGTTCATCTCTGAGTTGTCTGCTTTGGCTGCCTCAGGAGAGGGATCGCCAGCCCCCTGAACATGACACCCGCATGCTGACCCAGGCCAATGGTTTTTTATATCTCAATAAAGCTTCAAGACACCTCAACCTCTTAGAGCTAAATCTTTTTGAGCCTGGAAGTCCCTTCCAACAAGCGTACATTAGCTGAACCCAGCACTGTACTCCTGAATACCTTGATCTTGAGCAGCTTCAGAGATCGAACGAGCCACTTCTAGCCCACACCATGAAGACAGCACACCTTCCTGGCTGACCAAACACACCGCACAACGTCCTCCATTGTGCACGGGATGGTCGTCAGCCAGGCCGTTGCCATGGGAGTGGGTGTGGGGGTTTAAGGTTTAGGGCTTGGCATTTTCCCCTGGTCTCAATCCAGACTAGGGTAGACAAGAAACTTCTGGACTGTTTTGCAAACCCAAAACTTTGGCCCCCCCCTACAACCGAAGTGCTCAGATGGCAGCGTTCGACACACAAACCTCTCCCCAGAACATGGTCAAGGTAGGAGCCCTGTTCTGCTAAGGCCTGTCCTTGAGAGGGACTCTCGTCCGTGGTGCTTGACCATCCCCCCCCGAAGCCCGGCGCTGACACCCATGTTGAAAGGTGGCTCGGCAGGCCTCAACATCGGCCCTAGGCTCCTTCGCAGCGTACCTCGGGACAAGTTTGCCAGGGTTTAGGGTTTAGGGTTTAGGGTTATAGGCTTTAGACAGGAGCCCTGAAGCAACAAAAGGGCTTAGAGAGGGTTCAATAGGGGTTTTTGGCTTTGTGACTGAAGGGTATGACTTTGTCACTGGTGGCGCCGTTGAACGCAGCGGATCTACGCGACAGCTTGCGGCACTTTCTGATGCTGCGACCAATGTTCTGCGTCCAAGTCCTACTGCCCACTTACACGATTGAAGAACACTTAGTCATGCTTAGGAAGCTCCATTACGATATGCTGCGAGATGATCATCTTGTCCTCATGTTTGAGACTGTTCGTGTTGATTGGCTTGCTAGAGTTTGGGAATCCAGTCAGTAGCACTGGGGGCCTGTGCTCGGATGCAACAAGGCTTTATGGGGGCTAGTGATTGCCAGAAGAATCCTGAAATTCTGCAATCAGAAGCTGCAAGAAGGTTTTGTGTAAGCTAGGGATCTTCACCAACACAGAGCAGAGAAGAACAGAGCGAGAAAGTTCGGGCGACTTGTCAGTGTTTATTGTGCACATTTGGGAGGTTCTTCATTGGGGGTTTCGTGGCCTTTCAATTGAACTGTAGCTAGACTGTCATGTTACTTGGCTCCTACTTGTAAGGCAGGGTTCACGTGGCTTCCATGAACAGACCAGGAAAGGTGAGCAGGGCAATAGCAGTCAGAACACTGGCTTGTCGACGTGCGCGGCATAGCAACACTGACGCTAGCCAAGCTCTAAACCACCAAATGCCACTAAACAACCAAGACACCCAAACCCAAACCTCACAGCCCCAAACACATTCAGCAACGGGTTGGGAGGCGGGGGGGGGGCAAATTTTCCCTAAGATTCATAGGTTACTCGGAAGGAGCTACGGTTGTCGACGGACCACCTGTGCAGCAGACACTTCTGGAATTAGATCGGGTCTACCGGGATATCTCAATGGGGGAATTCGAACCCTTCGGAAAAGTTCTGCGCTTACGTACAAAATGCACCACCCTGATGGCTTCTCGCTGAGATTTGCTTTAAAACAACACAGTCCAGCTTTGCAGTTCGGGCTTTTGACATGAAAGCCACGGCGCAAAATTTACATGAGCCCCGCAGAGCTGCACGTGACAGGTTTTGCAGCTACATTGGCGTGTGCCACTACGCGTGCAGCCCAAGCATGGGAGGTCTTAACAGAATAGAGTTGACTTGCTTCCGGTCGGATACTTGAGAATCCTTGTCAATGGATGTGGTGATTGTGTCCTACATGCTTGTCACCTGCTGTTTGCTAGCGGTTTTCTTTTGCCGTCGCTAGCCTGCCGCCCCACGAAGATGAAAGAGTCAGTTGCCTGGCAGATCATGGGTTGTTTGGAGCTTGCAGCGACAGCGATTCTGTCCTCAAGCAACCCTTTGCCTTAAATCTGGAGCAATGCAGCCATCTGGGCTGCAGTTGTACACTGAAGGCGCGCTCAAGGTGACTCAATGCCTTCCCCCTGTGATTCAATCCGCCCAAAGCAGGGATCTTATCAGTACATGTCCAATGTCGTAAGACTTTTTTGGCGAGTTAAATCTTTGAGGGGAAAGATGAGAGATTAGTGAGAGTGGGTAAAACAAACCGACCTGGACACCTTTATTAGCAGGCTGCAAGCTGGTATTCAGTCGTTTTGCCAACAGCAGCTGTAGCTGAAGTTGTTCTAAGAGGCTTCCAATAGGCATCTGATTGCATCGTCGACGGGTCACATTTCCGTTGCAGGATAGAAGAAGCCTTGCCTGCGGTGTCGGCGGCTGTTGCGATGGTTTGGGTCCGGATGTTAAAGGTGCTGGCCATGGTGGCACTCACGATCACCTTGCTGATGCTGGCGCATTCACATGCTCTGTTCTCGTTGATGAGTGGCCAAGAGTCGGCGTTTGTGATCGAAAGGCAGAGAGGGCAGAGTCCACTGGATGTCGAAGTTGAGAAGATGCCTACCGTGATCACAGCCTTGGACCACCTCGAGCGAATGATGTTGCACGTGGAGCAGATGTCTTCGAGGCTTATTAGAAGCGCTCAGCTCACAAGCACGCAGAGCACTGTGAACGGAATCCAGCTTCCTGAGCTGGAGCAGAGTTTGGAGGCTGCATACTGGTTTCAGCGTCAAGAGCTGGACAAATTGCCGAGTCCACACTTTTCAGGTCTCGAACCGAACTGGCCCTGCTTCTGGGGCAAGGAGCTAGTCGGGGGTGATCTTGGTGATGCCGGCAGGTGGATCTGCGGGGCAGGCTTTCTTCGAGACCCCTGCGTGATGTACTCCTTCCGTTTTGGCAATGCCGGCAACAGCAAGTTCGAGCTTGCGGTGGCCGGCTTCGGGTGCGCCGTACACATCCATGATCCCACCGATGCAGCACCGGAAGGCCTTGAAGAACTGAGCTCTCACTTCCACAGCGTGACCAAACTGAGTTATGTGCAACACATGTCCTAGCTAGTCTTTTCATATTCCTAGTTCTTCCAAAAAGCTCCAAGAACGGTTTTTGTGTTGTTTTGCCGACTTGGTGCTCGCAGAAAGAGCAGCACAGGTAGGACTTGGGGACCACGATGGCAAGTTGGAGCTGGGACGTGGTTCTTGGCACCTCACACGACTGAAAGGGATTCCTGTGCAAACTCTGCAGACCATCATGAGGGAACACGGTCATCGCCACCTTGACGTGCTGAGAATCGACATCGAAGGCCTGGAGTATTCTGTGATTTCGAGCCTGAACGCGTCTGGCTGGCCTTCGATCGGCCAAGTGCTCATCGAGGTGCATGTTCTGAAGCCCCCGAGGTACCGGCAGTGGCTCCTCCAGCTGGTAGGTCAGCTTGAGTCGGCTGGTTTTCGCTTAGTCCACAAGGCTCTCAATATCCAATCCCCCCATGGCTGCCTCCGATACACCTTCATCCAGCGAGGTTGGAGGCCAGAAATCAAGGAGTACAGCATGACCTCCACGCAGCACTCCTGATCACAAAAGGTTGGCTGAGGTATGATTCTGTGGGGCGAGCTGGTCATACAGACTCTGGACTTGGGAGTTGTGATAGTTGCTCGCTCCTTTCCGGCTTGCCCAGATTTCGCACCCTAATGAAAGATGCCGAGTCATACTGCAGCACTTCGTTCCATTTCGCCGAGCGGATAAGCACCTGAATTATCTTGAGTTCTTTCATTCCCCCCCCCCCCCCCTCCTCCACATGCCGTGACATCAAAGTTGCTGTTTGCAATGGCGGTGCTGCCCGCCGCTACCGGATGATTCCGCACGCCAGTGCTGGCTACGGACTACCAGGCACCCAGCCTCAGCTAAGAGTTTCTTTTTCCCGAGCGCATGGATGACATGCATGAATCAAGAAGTGCATGTTGGACGAAAACCTGACAACAGTTCAAGGTTTGGCTGGGTTGAAGTGAAGACAGCAGGCACTACGTGAAGTGTGTGTTTGCAGCATACTGGCCAGGCTTCTTTTGTGATGTAGGTGCACATGCGGCTGGTAGTAGGGGCCTCTGTGGTCTTACGCGCCAAAGGGTGGCCACAGTTGACGTTGTTGTTTTCCAACCTTATGGTTGGGCCTCAATACATGAGGGAATCACGCCACACATAGCCAGGCTCGGGCAGGTCGGCTTTTCGTCCTGTCGCGCGAAAAACACCTGGAAGTCAGAGAATGCCACAGGCTGGCTTTGAACACGCGACGCTGGAAGACTGGGGCCAGAGCATCTCATATACCCCCCACCCCCCCCCCCTCACCCCCCGAAAAAAAGGGAAACAACTGAAGCAAATGTGTATGTTTATACCTGGGAGCGGGCTGGGCAGAAAGGGCAGCAGTCGAGTCCCTTGTGGAAATATTTATACCACGAAAGGGAGCAATGCCTATTTCCGGAAATTGGAGTTTTCAGCTACGAGACCAAGGCGCCGGTGGCGAGGAGGATGTCTTGGGAGCGCTGCTGATTGCACAGGACCCAAGAGTCTAAGGGCTTGGGTTTTATAGGGTATACAAAAAGTGATATATATATATATATACACATACATGGGTTCCCCAATCAAGGGCCCTTGTGAAGAGACCATGTAATTACCCTAACAAGGAGCGCACCCTCCCCCCCGGGGCCGTTGGGAGCTGGTTTGCAGAAAGTGACTTCCCGCATGGCTCTGCAAAAAAGTGGCATCCTTCAAGACGGAAGTAGCCCTGCTGCAGCCAACCCTCCGTCCCCCTGCAAAGCATGCACTTGAGCGCAACCCCTTCTACACACTCTTGACTGTTCGAGGAGCGCCTCAGCCGTGCGCAGAATCTCCGAGAGCTCACAGAGTCGCGGCAGGTGCGCCTGCTTCATTGGTCACGGTCTAGGGCCTGGAGTCTGCAAATCTTAAGAAATTTGTGTTCTGGCCATGGGTGCAACTCCTAACACCCGTGCCAGAGGGGTGCAGGGGCCCGGAAATGAGCCCCGAGCACAGAGTGCAAGTTGAACATAGCCCCATGTCCACAGTGAACCTTTGCCTCGAGTGTTTAGGCCTCAAGCCATCAATTCTTCCCAAGCCCCCCACGCAGCCTCGGAAATGGTTTAAAGATTTTTGTATTGGCTCGTATAGAAGAGGGTAACCAAGAGTAAGTCGAGTCGGAGACCCCTTCCACCCCCAATCAGACTTGGGATTTTGTGGGGGCCGGGGTGAGGAGTGCCAGCGCTTGGCGGATCGTCTTCGGCAGCCGAGTTCCGAAGAGGAGCCTCAGGTGCGGGATCTAGAGAACACCAACGAAAAGGGCCTAGGATGCCTCCAGGCTTAGGGTTGGAGCTTTTGTATGAGAAAGCCCTGAAATGAAGCCCAGGGCATACCCTTGAATCCTAATTGAGCCCCCCAAGCCGCTCCCAACCCCTCTCTAGATCCCCGATGGACTTCACCATCATAACTATGACACCATCAGGTGTCACCCGAAAACTGAAGAAATCGAATGAGTGAAGAGGGTTTAGGGCTTAGCTTACGGTTTAGGGTTCAGGGTTAGTACCAATCGTCATCATCATCACCATCATCATCATCATTGTCATAATTATCCTGATTATCATCATCATTCATCATCATCATCATCATCATCAGGTCTCTGGGTGAATTGTGGTTCATGACACACGGTGCCGAATAGGACCCTCACCGGGTGAAAGGGAAAACAAGACGAAGACGACGGTGAACAAAGGACTTCTACATTTAGAGCTCCAGACAAGATGATGGTTTTTTGGCGGTATTAAGTTTCTCTTTTGCAAGTTGTCTTTTACAAGTGGTTCCACGTAGGTGTGAAAGACATTCATTATAAAAGGCGTGCGTGAGCGAAGAGAACAAGGGAACGAGTGCAGCGCGCCAGATTGTGAAAACGTAGCTTTTAGAACCGTGTTCGCGTTGTTTATCGGCTTTGCTTATCATACCCTAAACCTCAAACCCAAAGAGTTGTGCTGCTTGCGGCGTGGGTGGAGATCTAGTCAAGTGACGAGCGCACCGAATCTGCGACTGCTGCGTGCGAGTGTGAGAGTCGAAGCCCTAAGAACAAAAAGTCGCAATGCGGATGGAGGGCGGTTCGGCTCTACATCCTCCAGCAACCGCCTACCCGGCCTACCCGGCCTACCCCTCACAACATCTTCCGTCGCTGGCCGGCAGTGAGCTTGGGGGGCTTATAGGATTCAGGGTTCCAGGTGTTATTTCGGGGGTGTACGTCTCCTATCAGAGCCACGCAGGAGGGCAAATTCACGAAAGTTCGGGCGGCTGATTTGAGCTGTGCTGCAAGATATTGATGTCTTGCATTCTCCTGGAGCCCTCCTGGTCCCAGCCTGGAAGGCAGTCTCCGAACCAGCAAGCAGCCCAAGAAACTGGCATCAATGAGCAGCTTCTGGCGATCAACAAGGTGCCGGGCGGGGGGGGGGGGGGAGTGGGGCAGAGAACTTGGCAGTCCAGTGGTGCCCCCTTTACTTTTGTTTTTTGTCGGTTCAAGGTTCCCTTTTAAAGGAACCAACCCCAAAACGGGTACCCTCATTTTAACATGGTCACTGGGATACCAAGGGAAGTGAAGAGAGCAGGGGCGTCATGCGGTCAAAGAGAGACTATATGCATCTCAGATTCGTCGACTCCGTGCTCATAATTATTGTTTATAGAACACCAACTTACAAGCATTAGCAACATGACCCTCCAGTTCTTCGAGGTGCTTCACAGCGAACTGCTGCGCCATCGCCTGCGCGCGGACTCCTTTGAAAAGTGCAACCGCTGGCGTCTCTCCTTTGCCTGTGAGAAGGCCTACGTCAACCTAAGGGGGTGTTGCTGGAATTTATGAGGCCCTTCTGGCTCAGCCCCTAGGCCCTAAACCTTCAAACCCATTCTAATTTTCTTCGCGGTTTGCATTCGGGCTTTCTATAGGGCCCGGGGAGGAGAAGCTCTCGGCAGCCTTCGACCGCTTCTTGGAGCTGAGCATCGCACATGCGCGCCCTGTCCTACTGAGTTCTTCAGTTTTCGAGGTGTGCTCTTAAGGGCTCACCCTTGGCGTACCAACCCATGAGCCTTCAAGACGTTGCTCGCCCTGAAGGGCCCCGGTGGCCGGAAACGTAACAGAGCTTACATGTGCATGAGCTTACTCAGTTGCCTCAGATGTGAGATGTTAGTTAAGAGGAAAAGAGTGCTGGGTCCGTTTTTTTCTGGGGCGTTCATTGTGAAGTGAAGGAATTGCCCCATGAATCGAGGTGTGGTGTCGCGGCCACCCGGGTGGTGGTGCTCAGCTCTGGATCTACTACTGGCGAGGCAGGGCGAGGGCTTAGCCATCGCTGTTGCACATGCTCTTTGTTAATCTGCCAGGTGGACTTCACCATCACATCGGACCCTCTGGCCGCGTCCCCGTCCGATGTGATCCAGGCGACCACGCGTCAGAGAATTTCGAACATCACTCCATCAGCTGCTCTGCGATGTGAAAAGTGAATTTGACCGTTTGGTTTCCTGTAGCTTGAGACTTAGGCAGCGTCAAGATTCTGCGAGATATTCTTTAAATCATTCCAGCTGATCCTTCTGAACGGCTTCTCCCATCGTAGTACGGAGCATAGAGGGTCGGACGGGACCTTGGACTGCTGTGCAGGAGTTGCGCGCTCAACTGGCAGATCCGTCGTCTCCCTTCCGCACCGGCGCATTTGCAAATTTCGCCTCGCGCATCCTTCAGCTCAGTGGGGTGCTGCCTTCGCAGCACTGCTTGTGGGCACCCGGTCCAGAGGTCGCCGAGGAGGCAGGGCTGGATACTGTAACGGAGAGTCTGGGCAAGCTCAACGAGCTTGCTGAGGTGGCTGGCCACTCGGATGAAGAAAGTGAGGATGAGGACGTTTCAAAGCGGCCAGAGTATTGGGGCTTGCGGGTCTCAGACCTGTCCGAGTTCCATAGTGCAATTCGCGACGAGCTTGCTGGATATTGCCACGATCACCACATGAAGTTCGAGCATGGACACTGCATCCACCTATGCAAGCATGGGGCGAGCTGTCCTTGGGGCGACCATGCCGGCGTGCTGCACGACAAGGCGTGCGCAGGTTCGCAGATGCGCGGAGTCCCGTTGCTTCCCAACATGCACGCAGAGCTTTGGCGGCACAAATCGTTCGCAAACCTGAACTCCAAGGGCTTTGGTTGATTTAGAGTTTAGGGTCTAGGGAGTCTAGGGCCTATAGGGTTACAGAGATGAGTGCAACTTCCCAAATCCACAGAGTGGCCCTGCTGTCCACGCATCAACCCTCCCCTCCCCTGCGCTATGTTACCGGGTGATTTCTCTACGTGACGTCAAATCCAAGCCTGGTTGTGGGATTATTCTGAGACTTCTCCAAGATCACTTTGAAAAGCACTCCCAGGGCAGCGATGAACTTGCACGGGACGTAGGTGAGAGCACGATCTTGAACCCAAATGCAACACTTCGCCGTGCGGGCCCGCAGCAGGAGGTAACCCCCTTAAGTAGAAGAGATGGAGCTCAGGAAAGAGTGCCCCTGCTGCGATTTCTAAACCCGAAACAAGAATGATTCCGCAAACGGAGCCGGGGCTTGAAGTGTTGAGGTCGTCGCACGCTACGTGAAGCCACAGACTCGGCCTCTGGGGACGTCATGGGCCACCATGAAGAGCCTTGGGCAGGTTCAAAGGTCAGATATTACATGATATCATATGACATTATGATACGGTCACATTTTCATCGTATCATGTTCTCATTTAGGTATTATGCGAGATTCTAGAATTATTAATCTGGTATTATGACCTTAGATGAGTGTTTTTATTTGGTGATGTCATATGGTTACTATGACGATGTCATGATGGATCCTCGGGGCTTGTTTCGGGTTTGCTCAAGGGCCTCAAGGGTTTAGGGCTACGGCCTAATTCGAGGCCTAATTCGAGATTCCCTTTTCACTGGCTATGGGTGGTGGAAAGCTCCGGACCTTGGCCATCTTGGCCAGTAGGGAGTTTTCGTGACCGCCGCGGCATCTTCAGAAAGCCCAGTGCGCAGCTGAGGTATCCCCAGGGACCCTTGGATGCACTGGCAGCACGCCGGGACGGTTCAGTGGATGGCAAAACTTTGTTCGAGGTCTACGAAGAAGTATCAAGCAAGATTAAGAGAGGTCAGCAATGACAGGAATGTGTTCCTCGGGTGTCGATTTTCGTTGCATTCCGCTTGTAGGTGTTGCCACTACTGTGGCCCGAGCTTTGCACGGCCTCAAGTGTTCGAAGTGTTCGGCGCGTGAGGACTTCGCATCACTCACTTCGTGACCCACACCTGGGAGGAGTCTGCAGCCGCGTGAACTGTAGGCTCTACGCCAGAATGGGCATGTGCCCTGCAGTGCTTTGTGAGCGTCAACTTGGCAAATGGCAAGAACGTTTTTGGTTTGGGGTTTTGCTGGTGTGTGGGTGCAACTGCAGTTCGCCTTAACATGTTTCAGTTGGTCGCCTAGGCGTTTGGCTTGCTGGCACTTTGGAATTCTCGTGCCCCAAGCTCCCAACAAAACAGGTTGGACTCGATTCCCTCTGTGCAGTGTTTTGTGCTGTAAGTCACTGCTCGAACCTGTTTTCCTGCAACCCAAGCTAGAGCCCGTAAACCTCTACACCCGTAAGCGCAAGACTCCTAAACCCTAAGCCCTGAACCCTAAACAAAACCCTAAACAAGAGGAGCTCTTTTCCGACTTTGTGGGGAGCTTGGAGGCAGCTTTGAGCCCGGACAACGTGGCCCTGCGCGTTTACGAACCCCTAAACCCCTGAACCCTAAATCCGGCAAGGGCTTCTTGTTTCGTGGCTGAGGTCGTTTCGGGTTGATCTCCCAAATCCGTAAACCTTCACCGGAAAACTTGCACCCTGGGCAGGCAAGATCAAGCTTTGAGAGATGGAGCCCTAAAACCCTAAACCCTAAATAACCCTATCGCCTTTGTACCCAAACCCTTGCCCGACTGACACCCCTGAATGCCATCCCTGCCTTCTTGCGCGGTCACCCCGCCCCAAGTCAAGAGAGCTAAGGAGGTCCGAGGTAGGGATGGACCCCCCATCCCTAATCCCGAAACCCTGATTCTCAACTGGGGGTGCTTTCTGAGAGACGAAGCCGACTGAGGTGGTTTGGGTTTGCAGCCTCGCATTGAATCAGTGGCTTGCCAGACTTGTTGCAGCAGGGATTAGGGTCCAACTAGGGTTTGAGGATGCATGCAGTCTTCAGGAGTTGTTTCATATTTGTCTGTAAGTTTATGCCGGCAGCACGGAAGCCGGCACGCCGGGTCAGCAGCAACTTGTCCATCGCACGAAGTCCAGCCAGGCATGGTCCTCGTCAGGCAGTCATGTAACTGCAAGTCTTGCTTGCCTGAGGAATGCCGACATCACCCAGATGTTAGATGTGGAGCTTTTGAAGCTGCTCGCCTCCAAACCCTAAACACTAGAAACCCTCAACCCGTGCTTTGCTTTGGGTACAGCGGTACAGCACATGCCGACGTGCGAAGCCCACATCGACGCTTCTGTTTTACTCCTCAAACATGGGTACCCCTTTGCTACCCTACAACAAAATACTCCGCAGGAACCCCCCCCCCCCTCCACAAAGAGTACCCCTGTTGGCGGAACCCCCCCTAAAATCCTTAAAAAGTCAGAACGCCTCGCTGAGGTCTCCCTTTGCAGTTGCGCTGCGCAGAGCTTCGCGGCAGCTGGTTCTGCTGGATCGGAGCCTTGGTAGATATTTTTTTACTACCATATCATTTTTTGATAGCATTTTGCTGATTTCTTGCAATGTCACTTTATACTGTTACTGCGCCATCATATGAGTATACGATTATGTGAGTTAGATTGGGAGGAACGTTCGTCAAGGTGGCGACTGCACTGCTGTTGCGCAGGCATAGGCTGCTAATGCTGCGTGTCTATCACAACAGCATACTTGGCGACTCTGGAAATCGTCATGGCTGCACTTTGTGCTGCGTTTACTTCAGAAGTACGTTTCTTTTCTTCAGGCCGTTCAGCATCCTGTGTAAGTACAGCAGCCGGTTTGCTTTGAGTCTTGCTCCCGCGGCTATCGAGATGTGCTTTGCTCACTGTGGGTCCACCACTAGACTTACGACACCCAGTCAGTCCCAAATCTTAAAGCGCTTCCTTACAACCATCCTTTGCCTCAAGCCTTCGGGGTCCTTGCTTCACTTGGCTTCGGCCCTTGGCCCTTGAGAGGGCGGGAGGGTGGGCGAAGCGAACTGGGGGCACAGCTGTATAGCATAGGTTTTGCGCATTGACGCTGCAAGGTTTTATTGTTTTTTTGGAGGGGGAAGCCTTTTTGTGAGGTCAGCGCCCCAAAACGCCCAAGCACCACTCGAGCGCCCTACTCTACCCTAAACTATCAGAGCCCAAGCGCGCCCTGGAACCGAGGGACTTGAAGGTCCCCACCAGGTCTTGGTGTGCCTACGAGCTTCTTGGAGACAGTTTAAGGGGTTGCTTCCGGTTTAGGGCTCTTCTCGCAGGGCATAGGGTCAAAAGGGTTTAGGGATAGCATGCCCGTGGTTCCCTGAACTCCGGGGAGGTTGATGTGGCTTGAAGGCAACCTACGTAGACGCGCCCTCGACCTTCGAGGCAATGTCTCATGTTGCAGTTCACATGGAAGCTGGTAAAAGCGACGAGCTTCGCCGTGACATGACCATTCGACGTGAAGTCACCTGCCAGACTGAAGCTGACGTGGTTACACGACTGCAGCTTTGGGGACGTTATTCAGAGAGAGGAAAAGCTTGCGCAGTACATTATGAAGATTGATGAGGAGATGCAAGCGCGAGTATCTCGTTTGGAGTGTTCGCATCATAAACTGGAGTTGGGGCCGGGTTTGGTCCGTGCACCTCCACCACTACTTTGGCAACCCCGTTCTGGTGGCGCATGCTCTTCAAAAGGTGTTATGTCGGCCAATGGGAACGCGTGCTGGTGACGACGAGGCTGCCATGCCGCATTCCGAAGGGTGTACATTGCCCACAAGACACAATAGGGTGAGGATTGCAATTCCTTGCGCGACTTGCGAGAGCAACACGCCGCGCAGACAAGAGCCCTGAAACTTCAACGGCAACAGAGACAGGACACATTGCACGTTCCTAGCATGCCCCAGAGTGATCTTGCCTGATCTTGCCTCTATATGAACGTCATCAAAGGTCTCCTGGTTGAAAAAGGGGTGAAAAGGATTGGTTTGGCGTTGTATGTTAAGGGACTTTTTTGACATGTTCTCGTTTCGCAGCTGTTGGTGCGGGAGGTTGGTTGGTTCGGCAAACTCAAGTAACTCTTGCTTTTCGTGGGAGTTAGGGTGAGCCATGAGCAATCGTTCAAAAAAAGCTGCCTGTGCTGTTCGGAAGTGCTTGGGGAATGACCTGGCCCTTCAAATGGAGATCGCCGATCGCGTACCGCATAACTACCCGAAGCTGCCAAAAACAACCAAAGGCAAAGGGCCAAAGCAGTCTGACCAGCCATCCAAGCAAGGCTCGCAATTGCGACGAAGTTTGCCATGCCCACGTTTCTTTGGCCTCATCCCGAGTCGGATGTGGAGCACCTCAAAGGATGCCTGGCTATCACCAGCAATCAGCCCATGTCACCACAAAACCCTAAACCCTTTTTCTTATATTGGTTTGTGGTCTGTTTCAGTAGGGTTTTTGTTTTGTAGGGGGTTCTTAATCGGGTACCTAGGGGCTATATTCCGGCCTTTCTAACCTAAACCCTATGCCAAGGGGATCATCCGATTAAATTGGAACGATACAGAGAAGATTAGCATGGCCCCTGTGCAAGGATGACACACACACACACACAAATCGAGAAGTGTACCAAGAAGGCAAGAAAAACAAGGCGTGAAGACACATTCGCGTGCTATACGGTATTTTCAATAATGTACAACTTGGTTGGATCGTGACGTATATATATATATATATGCATATATACATCACTATATATAAATATAAATATAAATATAAATATAAATATAAATATAAATATAAGTATAAATATAAATATAAATATAAGTATACATACATACAGATATATATATATATATATATATTTATTTATTTACACTTGCATACATAGATGTGCATGCATAGCCGCCGAAAAAGCTGTCCAGTACTGCGAGATGGGTCGCCCAACAAACGGAGATCGGGCAGCATGTGAATGGGTGAGATGCGTAAGGAAAGATCAAGTCGCTTGACTTGCGCGATGCAGTTGCCAGTAAGAAAGAGGACGAGGAGCACTGCGAGGGTTGTTGTGCCATAGTGACCGCGCACACGGCATTGATGGATCTATCCAGACAAGACCGCCAAGCTATTCCGGATTGGAGGGTCCACTAGCCAGACAAATTTTCCGGGCCTTCTCGGGATATCTTGTGCCTTGAACTAAACCCTAAACCCCTCCTCTTAGAATCCAGAGACCGGCATCCCAAAGTCTCCGTCTGCCAAGAACTGCCGTTCGCGTTTCCAACACACAGTGAATGCAGGAGCGGATTCGCCAGGAAATCGAGAGCTCCGAAGGCGAGGGCAGGATGTGGGCTGACGTGGCGTGGGTTCGTTACACAAAGATATGATTCTACAATAGTAGAACATCATGTATTAACATAGCTTTCCTATGTGTTTGTATTTGTGTATCTTGTGTTTACATTCTACATTTTACGACTTGATACAATATTATATGGAATAGAACGACTGTTATTGTTATCCGATCATAGGAATATGCATGAATCTTCAGATATATATATATATATAAATACACCACCTAAGCCCTTCTAGACCCTCCCGAAACCATCCGCCGACTTGTACACCAGTGAGATGAGAGTTGGCGACTGGGCACCCCAAAACAGACCTCCCTCAGCTGGGAAGGCTACGACAAGCTTAACTCCCGCTTCCGCTGCATCATGGCCCCTTGGGTTTAGGGATGGAGGGGCTTTCGAGTTTAGAAACTTTAGGGCTTGTGGTGTAGGGGCTTTGGGTGCTACGCTGGGTTTCCTGATTCGGGGGGGGTTTCAGGAAAGCCAAGGGCCCAGGTTCCTCCACTGCAGCACCCTTGGAGATTGGTTGTGTTTGTTTTTTGATGGTGTAGATCGCACGTATCTGTTTCGAAAACTTTTTGTTGTTTAGTTCTCAAGATCATGAAGTCTTCGTTCCAACATCCCAGCAACTGAAAAACAACATCCTACCAGAACAGCACCCTCTAAAATGTCACGATTTCGTAGTCGCCCGAGTCTGAAGTCCAGTCAAGAAAGGCCCAGCTAAACTCCAAATGCAAAACCAACTGAAATCCCTTGTGCTCCTTGAACCCTCGAAACGTAAACCCAGATGTCGCAGTGCCACAGAAACTATGGCCCAGGAGCTTACCCTGAACTTCTACTCGAACGCCATGGCCAAGGCCGGATGAGCATGGGCTTTCAGGGCTTTCAGGGGATGTCTTTTTGGGGATTTGTGGGTGGCACGTCAGGAGCTCAGTTCCGGGCTCAAAATGGAGAGGAGGTCTCGGGCTCAGGGGTTTAGAGGTTGTTGTGTAGGGTTCAGAAGTCGCTTGAGGGTGTGCGAACCTCAGGTTGAGGTAAGTTGCTCATGCTACATATTTTATCAGGATGTTGATCTGCAGTTAGGCTGTCGGGTTGAAAAAACTTTGTCTGCGAGGTTGCCAGCCTCACGCAGCAGATTGCGGAGGCAGTAGCCGAGAAGGATCCGTCGAAGGAGGCTCCTTGTTTCAGCCGCATTGACGCGAGTCTCAAAGAGAGAAATTTTAAGATGTGTTTGCTTTGGTTTCTGCTGCAGTCCCGTCGCCTTTGCGATGGTTCAATCAGGATTGGGTTTCGCTGGTGTTGAGGGCGTGCAGCGTTTGTTGCTAAAAGCTTTCGTGGTGTATGAACCAAGTTTGCAGCAGGATGCAGCAGGTCTCCGGTTCACAAGTGTCCACGGCCCATCATTCGGAGTGCATGCCGAGCACACCCTGGGGGGGTGTTGGGGGCGGGGAGGCGGGCTTGTGGTGTGTGCAGGCAGGGCGCCAGAATAAATAGCAGTTGTCGATGGCGCGCCATTGGGGGCCCAGACCACTGCGCTTGCGCATCTTAACGCCGTGCCTGCCAACGTTGTTTGCCGTTGGCAGTCAAAAATCTTGAATAATGATGCTTCCAGATTCTCGAAACTGGCCTACTTTCGGAAATGCTGGCAGGCACAATGATTTCTGAAAGTGCCGCGTCATCGACAACTGCCACGTATTCTGACATGCCCTGCAATCGACCCGAAAGTGAGAGCCTCGAAAAAAGCATTGTCGTCGTTGTTGTCGTCGCCGCTGCTGTATTTGTATTCTCTTCTACATTACGTGTATTTTATATTTTCCAATTCCAAATACCATCATCTTTTCCAGCAGCATCGTTGCAGCAAAACCCTAAACCCTGATTCCTAAACCCAAAACCCTACACCCTGAACCCTAAACCCCAAACCCTAAACCCTAAACCCTAACCCCTGTAACCCCTAAACCTTCCAGAGGCCGCGCTGAGAGCAGCCAGAGCTGCGGAGCTGCGGCGTCTTGAGGCCGGTGTTTCTTGGGCTTTGGTGTTTGGGGCTCAGATGTCTATAGGGTATAATACCGTTTGGGGGTTATATAGGGCATATCGTTTTTGCCGTGTTCATAGGGGCTTATAGGGTTGTTAGAGTTTGTCGGGCGCCTGGCGTTTATAGGCGATTAGGGTGTTGGGGGGCTTCAGTGTTTGGAGCTCAGGTACAGGTAGGCTTTAGAGCGTTCGGGTTGCTGTTTGGGGGTTTCATCGCGTCGTCCGGATGCTGAGGGGCTTCGGGGCTGGAGGATGGGGGGGGTGTTGCGGCGGTCCATTGTCCGAGACGTTCTCTTGCGTTCCTGCAAGTCTAGTGCCGACTCCGACGCCTTTCACGAACTCCCACCTACGGGCGCTCAGCTAGCGCTCAAAAAAAGCTCCGATTCAGCTCCCTGGCTTCGGGTTGAAGAGGTATAAGGGCCTTTGCTTACCGCATTTGAGCGCGAAAGAGAACCCAGCCCTCAAGCCGAGATTTCCACCAAACCCAACACCCGAGGCTCCCGAAGCCCCAAAATCCCTCGCCGGCAAAACCCTGCTGAGCCTTGCAGCGTTTAGGTCGATGTAGGTCTGCAAAAAACTGTGTAATCATAGGGTTTGCAGTGATATTCGCAGCTTATTAGCCCCAAAGTTCGCACCGAGGCCTCGCACGGCGCAGAGCAGCGCGCGGCGCTCCTGGCGGGCCGCTGCCGACAGCTGGAGGAGGCGGGAGGAAGCCGGGCTCTCTGTCGGGGCTTTGGGGGGTTTTAGGGTGGAGTGGGGCTTAGGAGGGTTCAGGGCGAGTCCAGCCATACAGAAGGGCTTTGTCAGGGTTTTTTTGGGGTTGGGCTTTGAGGGCGTTGGGGTTAGGATGTAGTTCTGATGTCTAGATGTTTGGTTGCGTGCGACTGACGTGGCCTTGAAGCTTTGAAACATCTTGAGCTTTGCCTCGTGGTCGTCTCCGTGGCTTTGATGCAAGGTAAAGTTCAGCTGGAATCTCCCAAGCCAAAGTGGATTCTTGGTGAAACCACGGCTTGACTACAAATCTACAAACACTTACTTGCCTGGAGGGCTTTCAGCCCTCCAAGCCCTCCCTCCCCTCCCCACCGGCCAACCTGTGCGCTCCCGAGACCTAATGCCATACAACAACTATTCCTTTAACCACGCTGGAACATTACATTTAGGGTTTAGGGTTTAGGGTTAGTTTAGGGTTTTGGGTGTAGGCTTCGCTGACAACCCTAGTCCCTCATGTCTGCCAGGAGTTGAAACCTGGCATGAGCAAGTTGTCAGAGCGCCACACACCCTTCGATAGCCAAAAACTAACGCTCCAAAACCTAAGCCCCACCCCCGTCCCCCCCACCCAACCAAAAGACAAGAACATAAAGAGGAAAGCCCTGCGGCTCGCAAGTGAGCACAGGAGGTGTTGGAGCTTCGCGGCCGCCTCGCGGATCGCGAGGCGGCAGAGGGGCAGAGCCAGGCGCTGTCGGGACTGGGCTAGAGATTCCGGGTGGTTTGTGAGCAGCCTGGCGAGTCCTTGGGAAAGACCGATGGGTTGAAGAGGAGCGTTGTTTTGGAGGGTTCGAAAGGCAAGTCTAGTGGCTGGTTTGAAGTTCTGTGGCTGAAGGTTCAGTTTTTTTTTTTCGTGGCTTTCAGGGCTTGCAGGTTTGGGAAAGAAACAACATCCAACATTCCAAAGCGCTGCGGCACCCTGATGCTTTGCAACTCATCCTGGAGCTCCAAAACCCGAGGCCCGCTTGTGCAGCTTGGTCGGATGCAGTGCATGATCCGATAGTGTAAAACATGCCAAGGACATCTGCAAAGTTGCACAGCCTGTGAGTTCTTTGGTTCACGCGTACTTGGAGGTTCAAGGGTACTTATGACTCCAAGTCTAACTGTACTTCTAGACTCATAGCCTACATCGGGGGCTTGTGAGTGCAGCTATAGTTGGGAGTATGAGCCAAGTAGCCTTCTCTGGGCAACTGGAGAGCCGAAGTCTCCTCTCAAACGTCCAGGCTAACTTGGGGGGGCCTATTGAATTTTGGATTGCTGGGTAGTTTGTATGCAGGGATGACAAAAGGGACGGGAAGATAAAATGAAAAATCCAGGCCGCTCCCCGCTTTCCAGAAGTGCCGATGGTCAGGACGCGGGCTGTTTGCCTAAGGGCTGTACAGCGGAGCGGAGGTGAGCTCATCCCTAAACCCTACACCCTAAACCCTGAACTACATTTCTTTGGGTGTAGAAGTTTCGGCATGAGGCCCCACGTGAACTCAGAAGCTCTCCAAACTTCCAAACCTCCAGGACTTCCTGCTGCTTTTCTTCCCGGAGACGCTTCCACAAGTTCTGAGCCGGCTCTGAAAGAGAGATCCGTGAGATCGGGTATAAGGTTTAGGGTTGAGGTCTTGGGGTTTGGGGGTAGGGTTTAGGGTTTAGGGTTTAGGGCTTGCCATGCCAAAGTGCATCCGCTGCTTGAGCTTCCTGTGCTGTTGGAAATGCACCTTTGGGGCGAGGGCTCGAAATTCGCACTGACTGACGATCCCCCGACCCTCGAACTCCGCAAGCCTCTACAAGGGTTTGAAGCCCGAGCCCCAAGTCTCAAAGCAGCACATCGTTTCCTGAGTTGTGCTGTGTTCAAATTCACCTTCCATGAGATTATTTCGTCTCTACTTCTGTAATGCCACCTATCAGTAGATCTCCCTAAACCCTAAACCCTAAACCCTATAAACTCAATAAACCCTAAACCCTAGCCCGCAGAAAATTTCCGAGAGCCGGTGCGCCACCCAGGCCGATTCTCTCTTGGACCCTGGGCGCGCGAACGCCTTGGGACTTGCCACCGCAGCCGGGGCTCTCGGAGGGCTAGGGTTTGGGGTTTGAGGCTTAGGGTAGCCTTGAGAATTTCAGGTGTTGAAGGGAAACGTATGTGCCCGTATGTGTATATATATATATGCAAACTACTACTAATTTGTTACTAGGATTGTTTCATGTTCTCTTAGACCTTAAAGCACCGTGCCTTTTTGACACCAAGGCCTCGGTGAACTTTGTGCTGCAGCGTCGGTCATTCGCGCCGGGCGCCGGCTTCACAGCGGAGTTGCTGAAGCGCTACGTCGTGGCGGAGGCGACTTGGGCTCCGTGGGCTGGTTCAGCCGGAAGGATCTCGAGCCACACATGCCTGTGACTCTGTGGGCCGGGTCTGTGCTATCTGAGTTTACACCTCTTCATCTGCCCTAGCTCGGCTCAAATCCGCCCATCCGGAGCCCGTAGCCATGGCAACTTCGCAGCCTGCAGCGAGCAGCGAAACTTTCCAAGACGAGGACAAACCAGGCCTGGCGGAGGGCGGCATGTCTTTGATGGGTTGGTGCTCTTGTCGAGGATTCTACATGGCACGCTTTCCAGTTTTCAAGGTTTCAGCCTAGGGATGAAGCCCGAGCAGCGCACTTTGCAAAGCCATATCCTAGACCGGAGGAGTCATGCATCGCCATAGTTCAGATTCGAATCACCCCACAAGAGACCCCAGCTGATGCCGATAATCCTTCCGTCTGCACAACAGTTGGATTTGGAGCCTTATTGCCAGGTGTTGCTTGGTTTTTTTGCTGAACAAGAGAGACGAATGCCTCAATTCCCCCTCGGTTCGAGGCGTTTGCCGAAAGTGTGCCGAGTCGGGCCTGGACCGCGTCGGAAATTTTCAGCCAGCTGTGCATGGTTGTGGGGGTATACATAGGGTCTCGGAGTCTAGGGTTTTGGGGATTAGGATATCACATCGCGCAGCAAGCTTCTTCTTCGTCAAGTCGAACATGTCTCCATGATGGAGAACAGTGCTGATGAGAGGCAGCCTTCTATTCTGACATCACGCTAGAGAGGATGGGAGTGGTTTTGACCTGGCCGCAGGGCTTCTGCAGGGCATCGGTATCTGGAGTTCTTCCAATTGATCAGAGAGGGTCTTCACCCACACACACAGTGCCCCAAACTCTGCAAGCGCCACTCCTCAAGCATTTTTTGAAGGACTGCTTTGCTTTCCTTGGCCGTGGTGCTGTGGCGACCGGACGAGGCGCCTACCAGGCAGGTGGCGCAGGGCTTACTTGTGAAAAGGATTTGGGTAGAACATCCTCAGGCCCTCAAACCGTAATATCAGGTGGGTTGGTTGAAATTGGTTCACAGTCACTCCAGCCGCAGTGGTTTCTGAACCCATCCATGGCCCGAGAGCGCAGAGGCTCTTGGATAAAAGAGATATATGACCTTGCGGCGAACACCCCAAAGTCTGAAAGGGTGCGGATCCTGCCATCATGGTTAAATCCCAGATCATGCCAGGCAACTCGACAGTGCGCGACTCTCGGCCAATGCTTTGCGCTTTAGCAACTGCATGACGGGTTAGGACTTGGGAGGCTGGCGGTCCCAAAGCTTCAGATATTCAAAGGGGTTTTGATGGCGCTGGGGAACGGGGAGGGGGAGCAGAAGTTGCCAAACAAGAAGTCGCCGGGTTCGATCGGCAACTTCAGCCACGTAGTCGTGTGGCAACAAGAATGTATGCCTTAGAGGCCTTAGGCCATGCAGAGCAGAAGAAGATCCGACTGCCAGTGCGGTTTACTAAGACAAAGCCCGAACCTAGACAGCATTAGCATATTAGCATTGCATGATTTGAAGGTTTCACGCATAATGTTTATTGTATATATGTATATATGTATACATATATATATATATATACGTACACATCTTTTAGCATTTGCTTCTGGATTTTCTTCTTATTGCCTTTTTACCTTTGCTTGTTAATGTACTCGAGTATTGAGATCTGAGAGATGTAAAGGCTCACTGTAACATAAATCTAGAATAGGACAGTAAAACATACCCACACTTCAGGTATCCAGTCAAGGAGTCTCTCCTGGGCGCAGCAGACAATACGAGCCTTGGAAACCTAGGGGCCGCTGGCTTTCCGTCTGATCTGGCGTCCTTTCACAGGGTTTGGGTTTTCAAGTGGCTTTGGAGAGGCTTCTGTCGTGTGGGCGGACAGGTGAGGGTTTAGGGGTTTGGGGTAAAGTTGCAGGCCACTTGCATAAGGGCTCGGGGTTTAGGCTAAGGGGAAAAAAGGGCTAAGGGACGCGGCACGGTTTGTGTTGCTGATGCAGCAAAGCACTATGAGCAATGTCGCAGCATGATATCGTGGGAGGAATGGGTGTTGCTGGCTGTCCTGGCACGCAGGTCGCAAGCTGACTAGCAGAAATGGGGCAAGAGTAGGGGCCAGCGGACATGGACCTGATCTAGTTGTTATTTACTCATTCCTACTCCAGTCGGAGACGCTTCTTAGGAAAGAGCTGCCCAGACATGCTCAGATTTTGTTGTCGGGTTCTGCTGTGCTTCTTGGCAGCGTCTAGTCTAAAGCAGCTTGTGCACCCCAAGGAGCAACTATCTCCACCCCTGGCAGCAGAAGCTCCCGACTGAGGGCCATATTCCCAGTTTCCGCATGCAGTGAGCCTCTGGAGAATTCCAGTGTGAGGCAAGGGGTGGAAATGGAATGAAGGGCCTGCTGTCTGTTGACAATAGATGTTCGTGGCGAAGAGGGAAGTTCATGATGTCTTGCGATCGGGATTTAGGGTCTTTATGGGTTGGACCCAGGCCATCGTGACGTACTCGCGCGCCCATCACCTGCCATGGGCACATAGACGCAGATGCGGATGAAGCAAAGCTCCCCTTTTAGCTATATTGCAGTTCTTATATGTGCGCTGCATTTGAGTAGTTGTCGAAGCACTGACTATGTTATTCACTGATGCTTTGTGCTGGTAGCCCAGTGTTTGGATCAATGCCCCCATCCGCACATGCAGTAGATTGACACTGCAGCAATCTCGATCAGATGCTGCGGGCAGCTTGCAAAAAACCTACTGACAGTTCGCGGGAAGCATTCCGGACGAGATTTGCAATGGGATGGAGTTTGGGTGTAGGGAAAGGCAGGCTGCCCCTGCTTTCGACATTGTGCCGTGGCCCTGAATTCTGTCAGATATGCAGAGGATGTCAATGTGCATCTCCTGCGTATAGCAGTCAGTCCACAGGTCAGGGTTAAAATGTGAAAGGCTTGTCAACATACCGTGAAGTTCGGCCCGCGCGCCTCGCAGAAGATGGATTGTCACAATACATCCTTGTTGTGGGCCACCTGGCATGATGGCGGCACGGAAGAGTGACTACGATGTTGGCATAGCAGACCACCCATGCCAAAGGCAGCTGCTCCGGAACAAAAAGGCCGACCCGGAGATCGGATTTTGCAAAGCCTCTCAACTGTAACACGGCAATATCAGGTCTGGTGACTTTGGGAGGAAGTTGGGGATCCTTCTTGCGCAGGCCATCATCGTCAGCGTGCAGCAAGTCTTTTTCATGGGCTTGCTGCCTGCTCGGTCTGGGGCCAACTGATGGGTCCGTTGGCCTCTTGCTCCTGTTTGTCTTTGAAAAGCCTGTCCGAAGAGTTGCACCTTGTTGGGAGGCAGAGGAATACCCACCTTAATAGACAAGTAGTACAGTATAGGGTATACGTTTATGGTCAGTACAGGTCGTAGTATAGTAGTGTATATTAGGACCCCAATTTTTGGGTTCATGTGGTCCTCAGGGCATGCAGTTGGTCGAGCCGCGCGTCGCAAAGCCTCCCCTGAAAAGCCGAACCCTCTGGAAACCATGGTTGCGTTGTAAGACCCAGACCAAGACCGCGCCACACCCTACTCAGCGTGCAGCACGCCGGTGCTAAACCTTGTTGTTTCAATTGGTGAGGGGAAGGCCTTGCTTTGTGGCTTCAACTTAAGTCCCTGCTCATAGCTCCTCAAGTTACTGGGTCTGGGCCTCCGCCGAGTATGGCGAGTGACGAGTGATGGGTTCAGGTTTGACGAGCCCACCGCTTCATCGTTCACGTCCCAACAATTTCCCCGGCCCCCACCCATTAGGGAGGCTCTGAGAGATTTAGTGCTCATGCTGGTGCATGGGTTTCGAGGAAGCTTCACGGGGGTGCATTGGTCAAAGTCGGCAAACGACCTAGATGTTTTCATTGAGTACATGCCGACGACTTGAGAAGTGGCCCAGGTTGTATTTGGCCTCAGTGGCAGATATTCCACCCGAGGACCGGGATGTCCTAAACCAGTTGAATGGGTGAGCGGGCAGGTTTGCATCTTTTGAAGCCATGGAGGCTGGAGCCAAAAAAATTCTGCAAAAAGTATCAGAGGACCATGAAGTCTTAAATAGGGGCGGGCCTGAATCATTGGAATAGGGTCTTGGGGTGGTATTCTTGTATATTGTATCTTTATGAGGGACCATAACGGAAAACTATTTGTAGGTATTCCGACCCCTGTAGGACAGAAGTGTTGTCTCCGCTTGAGCGCGACTTTGTCCCTAAACCGAGATTTGGTGCGTGGTTGCTAGGTCCTGCTAGGTGGAGCCCCTTCAATATGCAACCCTACAGAAACCCCTCAACCCTGACCCCCTAAGGCGGCCAGCAAATGCCGGTGCATGTAAACCCGTTAACGCAAAGCCGTACGAAACTCCATAAAACCACATACTACACCCTTAAACCCTTAAGCCCTGAACCTTGATGCGCCGAGCACAAGGACCCACGCTTGATGGCGACGCTCAGAGCTGTGAGCCAGGCAAAGTGAGGGCTTCAAGGGTTGAGGGCCGATGGCTTAAGCAAGCTTATGGGTAGGACATTTTTCGGACTTATGTTTCTTCTACGGCCTTGGGTTTTAACCTTGGCATCTCAGGGTTTGACGTAAGCTGTCTCTCAGCTGGAGGCCTCTGTTGCGCCAGCCCATGACAGGTCTTGCTTCACGCTACGCTGAGTACTGTAGTAGGCCTTGCAGAAGTCCGATCGCCCATAAACCTGCAAATATAACTTGCCTTATTAAGGCGCAGAGCTCCACACCTTAATCTTCGTCGCGCAAAAAAATAGGCACGGCTCGCCAGCAGCCAGCCACCATTCTTGAAGAACGCAGTCAACTACTGTAAGGTGCAGGCGGCTAGCAGGTCCAAGTTGCACGGTCCGCCCTTGCCAGCACGCCCCAGCCAGGCGACCATTTTCCTGGCAGTCTCGTTCCCTCTCCGGAAGTGCCGCCGACAAAGTTTAGGATGACAGCCCACTCTCATGATGTGGAGCCATTGAGGCTTAGGAACCAGTCCCGCCCCCAAACCCTGCATCTAGACCTGGCATCGGCTCAAGTGCTCTGAGCAGCAGTCCAAAGGAAGTTGTGAGTTGAGGGTTTATAGGCACACGCTAGTGATGGTGTAGCACCTTCCGACTCCTGGCGCCATGGCAGACTCCGCCCGAAGGCAGGAAAGCCGCCATTTGCTCCGGGAAGTGGACAGTACACCATGCACGCCCCGGGATGGCTTCCATGGCACCATCAACAAGGAAGACCTTCCGAAGCTTGCAGCCAGCAAGGCCAGCAAAATCTTGCAAATGATGGAGGAACAAGGGTATTGCGAGCTGGAGCAGGAGTCCATTTACGGGGCAGCGATGGCCCTGCCCCAAATTGCAAGGAGCGCTGGCTGGCCTGTAACCTTCACAACCCTCGCCTTCCGCAGCTACTTCTTCACCTTGCTCAGCTTCTTAGTGCAGGGTTTCCTGTTATCGATGATCGGAGAGGAGCAACATGTGATCTACCCCTTTGCGGGGCAGATGCATTTGTGTGACTTCGGGGCATCAATGAGCCAACAGACTGCGGAGCCGTCCAACTGCATCGGTCCGGGTGGCACCACCTACTCACCGTCGCGGCTTTACTCCTATAACACTTGGAGCACACGTAACTTCGTCAGGGAGAGTCTCAAGACCATACTGCCAGAGAAGGCGCAGATGATCGACGAAAACGTGGATCCAGGTGAGTATGGCCTGGAGAGTTATCACTGCCGCATCGTTTGCATTTTCATCTTCTTGTTGTCTGTAGTGCACGATCTGAACGTGACGTTTCAGGTTGTGAGGACACTTTGGTTTGTGCCGACGTCTGCCGAAAGCTGGATTACATACTACTCTCTGCCTAGAGGGGCGAGCAAGGAGGACATCAAGAACAGCAAGGGCTGGAATGAGCTGGACATGGTGCAATTCTCAATCGCCGGCATTCCTGCACATTGGAAGCTGTTCAATGTCGTCTTCATACTCCTGCCCAAGTTTGGACTATGGCTTGGGGTCGCGAAATCTGGGGTTCACTACTTGATGGAAACCGATGACATTGTGGACCTCATCGTGAACTGCATGGCGTTGGCCTTTGTGCTAAACATGGACGAGCTGATCTTCAGCCGCTTTGCCACGTCCTTGACGAAGCACATTATGGGAAAGCTGACCAAGACTCCCCTTTTCGACATTCAACCCATAGAGAATGAGTCAGACGAGCAGGCTTTAGAACGCTTCGACTTCGAAGAGCTCGGACACCATGTGTCCTACTTCTGGCTGAGCATGCCACGTCGATTTGCCTTTGTAGTCCTGCTGCAGGCGTTGCTAATGTGGGATTACTACTACCACAATTGCACACAACATGCTGACGGAAGCTGGATTTCCAAGGATGTGTTCCTTCCGAAGGACTTGACATATCGTCCCTTGGCACTGATGTTCGGCTGGGTGCCCACAAGCAGTACAACGCCCATATGGACGATGCCGCAGGCGCCAGGCAGTGAAACGTAGCAGATGAAAAGAACAAAGTTTCAGATAGATATTAACAGGGCTTCACATATTTTTATTAGATTGAGGTTTTGTCTACTTAGTCATCCATCCAGATTCTCCAAGTTTCTTAAACCGAGCTTTTGCGAGCTGGCGCTGATGTTGGGCATGAAGTGTCCTCTGAAGCCTGCCGGTTCGGTACATGTCGAGGTTGGGTATTTCGATAGACGTTAAATCGGGTCCCCAGCCAAGCTGTTCTAGGCTATTGTTGAGCAGATCTGTTTCACGATGTATCCAGACCCGTTTCACACGAATGCTGCGACGAGGAGTGTTCCAGCATGAAGCGACATGTTTGTTTCCCAGCTTGGCGCATTTGCGGCCCCGGAGTTTACCACACCATACGACCGGGACTCGTAACGCTGTAGCACGCCATGCTGACAAATGGTAATGCATGATACCCTCGCTACTCTTTGCTCAAGAACCCCCAAAAAGGAAAGAAACACAAAAACTATTCTTCCTTATAATGGCAGTATAGGGATTACTCTCTTTCATCTTGTTAGGGGAATTCCAAAGCAAATAGTAGGAGAATCGGGATGATCTCGTAGTAAGCTCACTGTAGCTCCAGGAGACCTCCCTGTGTGGGTTGGTGGTATTTAAACAACCTTCCTGGGAGTGACTTTGGGCTTAGGGTTTAGGGTTTCGTGTTTAGGGTACCCGATATGTCTTTTCCTGGCAGTTGTCCGCAGTCCAGTTGCAAAAAAGGGCTTGGGGTACGAACACTGAGCCTTCGTGATTTGAGTGTCCTAAGCTTGGTTAAATGTCATGCCATCGTGAGTATGTGGCCCGATGCAGGGTCCTAACCGCCTGAATGTGTGCTTGGGTTTTTAGGCGACGGACCAGGATCCCTGAGTAGGCCCTGATTCCTTTTGTGGGGGGTGGGGGTTTAGGGTTCCCTTAACTGCACAGTACCGGCTACGCCCTCAGTTCCGGGTTCGAAAGGGAAACCCTCAAGCCTTACAAGCCTCTTTGTAAGCAAAATAGGGCACCCTGTTCGGTTACTCTCAGGTCTAGATGGGGGTTGACGGTAATCAGGGACCCCTAACAAAGACCCCAAAACAGTAGGACTCCCTTATGATAAGGACCCCAACACCTAATTTCGGAAACTCCCAGATCCTCGTGGAAGTGTCACGGCCAGGCATTGGGTCTTTACAGCTTCCCAGTTGCCGCTTCCAACCGGGACAAGGTGCGACCTTGGCATGGCGTAACTTGGGATGTTCCCCCTTTTTTTTGGGGGGGGGGATGGGGGGGGGGGGGGGGGAGGGGGGGGGGGGCACTATAATCCCTAATTTAATCCCTGTATACTACCCAGTAGTAGAAGGGCAAAGTTCCCAAGGCGTAACTGTGGCGTTTTGAGAACGAGCGGCTTATGGTTCCAGCATTTCGGAGTTTGGAGGCTTCCACCTCGTCACGGCATGCAGGCAGTTGCAGCTCCTCTTGACGTCCAACATGCGATGATGTCCCCCCCCCCCCCCCCCCCCCCCCCACCCCCCGCACCCGTAACTTCTCTCCGTGCTACTGGCCATCAACAGCTCGTCCTGCTTGGGCTTGCACCGTTCTTCTGTTGAGCTGTTTCTTGCACTCTTCGCAAACCCGGTACCAGAAAGAACTCTAACCACAACCTCCACAAGCCCATCCATCCAGCATCCCCTCAAGCCCTAAACCCTAAACCGAGCCTTGGGATGCGCCTCTTTCTCTCAGGCCGACTTTCCACCAACTGAAGTTGGCGGTCTCCAAGACCCAGGGCAACTGATCCGCTTTTAAAATCGTGATCACCCTAGGGCTCTCCCTAAACTTCCTAAACCCTCCCAAAACCTCCCTCCCCAAGCCCCATACCCTGTACCCTACCCGATCCTTCTACCCGAACTCCTGGCCTGAAAAGTCAAGCAATGCTCACTGCATGAGTCTCGGGAACATGTTGAGCTGGAAGATGCCAGGCCGTAGAGGAGCGTTCGTGGATTCTTCGAGTTTTCCATGTTGGTTTTTGGGTGGGGTGTGGGTGGGGGGGGGGGGGGGGGCTTGGGCTTAGTGCTTTAAATGGGTCACACCGGACTGGACGCAAAACGGGGGTGGGGGGGGGGCAACGAGGATTGGGCCATACTGGGCCCCTAAAAGAAAGGATTGCCGGATTGCTTTTAAAACCACTAGGAGCCTGTCCTTGCTTAGGTTCCACATATCACCCTCTTTTCCAATTTGCCCGGGGTTATATGCGTAAAAGGCTTCCCTCTCTTGTGGGCTGCCAAGCATTACAGGAGCTTTTTCATGGTTTGAGAGCGGATAACTAGACACCCTCCAACCCAAAACCCCTCTCAACCCTAAAGAAGGGACAGCCAGTTGGTGCCCTGTAGTTCTTCCGAGAGAGGTCAGCCAGGCGGCTAGTCAGCCAGGGGGGGGGCAAGCCCCCCCCCCCCCCAAAAAAAAAAACAAACAAAACAGAATGAGAAACAGAAAGAGAAAGCGGAGCTCAGCCTGAGACACGGCACCTCGAAGAACCGGTCGCGAGCTTTGGACTTGAAGTGAGAAGGTTACACAACATGCAGTGGTGCCTTCAAAGCACCTCTTTTCCTGGGAAAGAGGTTCTAAATCTCTGTTGGATGGGCTTTCAGAGGGCCAAGGCTCGAGGCGTTCTTCGTGATGATTGTAGCAGAAACCTCCCTGAGTGGTGCAAAGCTGAGCATCAGAGCACGCTCCATTTGGCGGGCGATCTGCATGCGGCAGACGGGGGCTACCAAGGTCTTGGGCAAGGTACATGGGTTGAGGATAGGATGTTCCCCCCTTAGAAGTATAGATCTTTCGAACTCTTGCATTGGATGTCTTGCCGACTTGGGGGGAGAAGATTCCGACTCTGCAGCGGCGAATCGCTGATGCACATTGTTCTAAAGTCCAGATTTTCAGGCTTCTCTGAGCCGGTCTGATTCGGCTTTGACAAGGTCCCGATGTAGCGTGTGCACGTGCATATCGCAAAGCGGGCAAGAAGCCATTGACAGAGCCGGAAGCCTTGTCATGGGAAAGCTTGTCATCTTTTTGAATGTGGTTCCTAGTTATTAGCGGTAAAGCCTAGCTAGTGAAGCCGTGGAATCGGTGAGGCCAATTAGGAAAATCCAGCAGTCTTCAGATGTAGCTCAAGCACGTTCGGCTACAAGGTTGTCGTGGACAGTTTGCAAGTGGTTTGTTTGGGAATTCCCTTTGTCGCTACGACAAGCATCTAATGAGTTGTGTGGGATATGCTTTGGGGGGGGGAAGAAATACGTCAATGCGGAGAAGAAATACATGTACTCATGACTCATCGCAAGACATGAGCCCACTCAGCGAGCAAAAAACTGAAGACCGGTCAAAACTGACCATGCCCTCAAACTGGCTGCTGGCCTACCACCTTCTCTTCAGGAAGATCAAAACGAAAGCCACAGATGTTCGACTGGTGGTGAAAAGCTTCCAGCATCCCTCCCACTTCGTCGTGATCGCCATCCGTTTTGCCCGAGAGCGTTCAACGAGCCTGTTTCGTTCGCGTGGCATTGGTTCTTCGTAAAAAAGAGCCGGAAGAAGGTGGTCGACCCACTAAGGACCACGGGTGCTCTTGTTGCTGTGCTTTATAAAAATGAACGAACACGGCAAGCGGGAAGTAATCATACAGTTTAGAGTATACTATATTGTTTATTGCTATTGGTATTATATGTATATATGTAGACGGGATCCCGCTTGCTGGGTCGAAGTATGCCTAGATGGGGACCTGCCGAAAGAAGCATGTACAGCCCCAAGAGCGAACACTCACATGACTAGCGACTAGAGTGTGACGAGTACAGTGACTAGTAGCGAGTCTTGCCTTTAGATATCCGATGACAAGGGGACCTTCATCATGGCCATTCGCGCCAATCGGTCAGCACCGCACTCGTCAAATGGACGAGCATTTTCCCAGCTGCCTCATGCCAGCCTGAGTTCGAAATACAAGCGAAGTGCCGCGAGATCGGATTTGAGCATTTTCGCTGGCTTCAGAGTCCCATCGCAAGCTGCACACTGTAACACATAGATGCTCAGCAGTATCATCCTGGTGGTCCTTGCTCTTTCTACGAAATCTAAACGCAAAGCTGGACCCTTGAAAGCAGAATGTATACACATATAATTAATATATATATATATATGCATACATATATATAGATACACATACATACATATGCATACGAATAATGTATGTATGTATGTATGTATGCATGCATATGTATATATATCTATCTATCTATCTTTATATGTATGTATGCTTAAATATCTATTTATGCATACATAATCATACATTTAGTATTTTATATAAACATGGCGGAGAGGCCTGGACTGGGTTTGCACCGTTCGGCTTGAAGTTTACCGCGTAGTGATCAACTCCCTGAACGCTACTTGTAGCATTGAATGTACGTTGAATGTAGGACAAGTATACATAATATTTATGCATACTACCTAGATTTCATACAGATATATAGAGTACATTATATTCTGTGTTGTGATTTATATATATATAGAGATAGAGAGAGCCCAACACGACAAGTTCGCTGTACCCCCCCCCCCCCCCTTCCCCCCCACCCCTCCCGTATCGTCCCGTATGGCATCAGAGAGTGGCCGCTGGCGCGCGGCCGGTGGCAGCCGCGCCGAGAAAGAAGCCCGAGGTGGGGTTCGTTCTGATCGGCCTTCGTTATCGGACCCTTCCCCTCAAGCTTGCTACCCCTTCAAAGCCTCAAAGCGTTTGGGGCATGTGCGGCACGAATCACCTTTCAAAAGAATCCGCACGGCACGTATGTTGTTATGAGCTTCAGGTCTGTCGCTAGATGTGCTTGCAGCGTGCTGTGCTTGTCGCAGCTTACAGCAGGGCCGACTCCGACTGCGCTACCCTGATCGGTTTAAATCAATGTTCCCGCTGGAAAGGAGCAAGTTGGGTCCACAGATTGCAGTCAAGCAGATGGTTATCTGCTTTGAAAGTAGTTCGGAACCAGTTTCCGCCAAAGCCTGCTGAAGCCAGCCACCTAAAAAATCACGTCTAAACCAAAGACCTTAACCCAGTCTCCGAGCGTTGCAGGCCTGCTGTTTGTCGGCAATTCCCACACATACCAGCCAAAGGAGCCCGCAAGCTGTTCCGAGTCAGATGTTTATTCATGGTTCACAACCCCCCGCCCCCCCCCCCCCCCCCCCAAGAGATTAGCATGATTGGCATGGCTCTGCATGCGCACATCGAGAATCGAGAAGTGCTCCAAGCAACTTAGGGTTACCCGAGTAACCCTAAACCCTATTAGCCCTAAGTTGTGTCCGAGCGTGCAATGCGCAATTTTCAAGGAGCTGGGGGGCCTTCCGGGGGCCGTTGGGCGCCTCTCCTCGGCCTTGGGGGCGGCGGTGCTCCTGGGCTGCATTTCTCTTCGTAATCAGGTCGGCCCTAAATCATCCCAAGGGTCCCCCTTGGAGCTGAAGCTTCGAGTGTTGAACGCGAACTTAGAGAGCTTGCAGGCTTGGGGCCTCGGGAATTCAAGTTCCTGTCATCGCCCACGTGAGGTGCCGGAAGATTCAGGCAAATGCTTTGCTGATCTATACCCCTCCAGTGTCTGAGCACCCTAAACCCTAAACCCTAAACCCTAAACCCTAAACCCTAAACCCTAAACCCTACACCCAATCAGGTCAACAGACAGCGTCACTCAGGGCGGCGCAGACCTCGTCGACTTGTGGGAGGACAAGCTGCGGAGTGGGGACTACCAAGTGACGACGGTTTAGGGTTTGGGGTTTAGGATGTTTTTGTTTGGGAGGCCTTGGTGATTGAATGAACCTCATAAATGGATCAAGACCATTGTCACGAAAGCTAGTGCAGCTTGGCTTGAGTTTAGGCACTGCTGCAGCAGGAAACCGGACCGAACCTCTCGGAGATGAGCGGGGGGGGGGTCTTTATTGAAGGATCAGGGCAGGGGGGGGGAGGGGGGGCATAGACCTTTAATGGGGGTATGCTTAAGGTTATTGTGCACGAGTAGAGATCGCGGTCCGTTACGAGCGCATGTCCGTACATCTTCTTACTGGAGCACGTGTTTCGAAGAGCTCCCGGACCTGGATCGTGGTCTCCATGAGCGCCTCGTGCTCGCAATATGCCGAAGGCGCGGCTCATCAAGAACACCGGCGGGGTATATTTGAGGGTTCTGTGGGGATCTTGACTACAACAAGTCTTTTGCGTTGTGTGTGTGTGTGTGTGAGAGCGCGTGTTCGTCTTTTTATCTCAAGCGCGTGTTTTGGAGAGCTCTGCATACCTGGATTGCGACCTCCGTCAGCGCATGTTGCTAGAAATCTGCCGTTTGCACGTCTTTCTCCTAAACGCGTGCTTTGCGCGATCTGTGCGAGGGCATGTTCACACTGCCAACTTTCCTGTCGGGTATTTAGCGACGCTAAATACCCCAACGCCGTTGGGGTATGGGGGGAATTGTCCGAACATGTGGCTCAAATACAATCTTCGTACCAACAAACATCAACAAACATTTTGTTAACCGCTAGCCCTGCCTATCCCGGCGTCAAGCCGGCTTTATGTCGTTTCTATAGGGGTGCGTAGCATATCTAGGGTTTATGGGGTCTGTCGTGCCTATGGGATGCGTAGGGTAAGGTATGTAGAGTATATGTACCTGTAGACTTAGAGTATATAGAGGGCGCATAGGGATTTTCGGATACTCAGATGGAAAGGAAGACGAGGACTGGGGGAGGGAAAAAAGGGGAGAAGTAGAGGGCAAGGGAGGCAGCAGAGGCATGTAGTGTAGGAAGAAGAAGCAGAAGAAGAAGAAGAAGTCTGATCATCAAGAAAAGGGGGGGGAAGGGGGGAGATGGGATCTTCGCCGCATTTGGCCGCTTGTTTACTTGTCCTGGAACCCGCCTTTCCGTCGCATGGAATTAGGCTAGCTTTCGTGGTCCACGGCTTTGCCTCTCAAGTTTGTGTTTTAGTTCCTCATGTCTACTGTGTAATATTATGTGTATTTCGTACATATTCCACACCGCCCGGAGTCCCATGAAAAGTACATTGTGAACCTCCTACCTTTGTCGTAGGGTTGAGTGGTTTAGTCCCCAAGCCCACCTGTTGAACCTTGAGACCTTGCCAGCGGGAGGAGTGCAGCAGCTTCATCACAAGCCGTCGTCCGCGCCTAAAGATGCCCAATCCGCGTAGGTCTGACCTGCGGAGGAGTAGGTGCAGGAAGTTGCAAGCACTATAGTGTCTAGTTAGCAGACTGCAGCTATAGGAGCTCTTTTGCACGCAGCTGCTCAGCTAGCTCTGAAAAGAAATGTTCCTAGAGGCTTTTGAGCGTGCCGACATTTTCCACCGACATTTTCCATTTACCCTTCGCATAGACCGAGGCAAGGACGGCACCGCGAACTGGGACGTTGTTGTGTTGCAGGTGGGCAAGGCACCATCTGGGTCGCCGATCATGCTGCGTCTGCAGTAAGCCAGCAGAGTGTAAAAAAAGAATTGAGTCGTCTGGCATGTGCACTGAAGTCCGCGGTTCGGAGAGGATAACCCCCAATAAAGAGCACTGCAACCCCGCTCTGCACCACACTTCAAGCCCAATACCCCCAAACAGCACAGTAACTAGGACCCAGAGTAGGCATTTAGGGGGTTTAGGTTCCATTTTCAGCCCCTTCGAGAAAAAAGGGCACCCTGCTTATTCCTAAGTTCCTCTTGGGTCTAGGAAATACCCTGAGCCCAGGGCACCGAAGAAGGCACTCGATTTGCGATGGCCGCAGCTCGGCACCATGCAAGTCCGAATTCCTACGTGATGGCCAAGGTATGCTTTCTGTATTGCTACGAAACTACTTCTTGCACTTATTTCAGTTCTGACTAAGTTACATGTTGGCTATTATTGCTATGGTTATTGTTGCCGTTGCCGACAATTCACGCATGATTTTTATGGTTGCCGTTGCCTTTCTTATGGTTTCCCTGCCCGCGGGCATTGTTGGCCCCACTCGAGGAAGTGCTCCGCCACCGCTACGCAGCGCTGCTCAAGGAGCTCGGGGCGTCGCAGGTGGTCCTCTACCAGACCTGGCACCTTAGCCTTGCACCAGGGTTGTAGGTGAAAGTTTCGGGTTTAGGGTTTAGAGTTTAGGGTTTAGGAGTTCTGGCCTAACACCCAAAACCCTACACCCAGGGGGCGGATAAGGAGCACCTTGCTAGGTCTTCATGCGCACGTTTCCTGGTTGCCGGTGCCATTTCGGAGATCCAAGATGGGTCTCCTTATGGGTGGCTTTCGTAGTGGAGGTTCCTTTCAGAAAGGACCTCTGGGACCCCCTATTTCAGCACAACCCACGGTTAGGTCAGGCCCCTGGCCTGAAGACAACGAGGCAGAGCAGCTCAATCGAAGTATGGAGGAGACCTGACCTTCTTCAAAGCCATGTGGTCTTAAGTTGCTTAAGTTTCTCCATTTTGGGGCTTATTCGGTTAGGGTTTAGGTGCTGGGGCCAGGGTTTAGGATTCTGCCATCATGTGGGTTCTGGTGAAAAATGCTCGCTAATAATGGGGTAGCCGTGCTCCTAAATTGAAAGCGCATGGCATGCCCTCGAAGGAGTACGCCGCAGCGCTGCTGTCGGCAGGGGTGCAGGTGGCGTCAGACATACTGTTTGCGCCTTTTTTTCATCCGGGTGTCCGTCATGTTGAGCTCTTGGTCTGTGCGCGCACTTCGTATCACTTCAAATCACCACCCAAGGCTTGCAGGGCAGCATCTGAGTCCTTTTAAGCACTGCCCTCCAACCCCAGATGCACCCAATGCTTCGTGTAGAATCCTTCAAAGAGGCCTGAATCCAAGATCTCTCAGGCAGTGGTGCCTGCCAGGGTGGGTCACGCCTTCCTCCATGTCCGAGCTGCACGGGCCGAGAATGACCGGATCTACCCAGCCTTGTGGAAGGACGGGTGAATGGCTAAAGTATTTTAATTGCGGCCAGAAGCTGCTAGCAAACCTGATGGCTCTGGATCAGAACCGAAATTTCTGACCGCCTGTGGATGTACAGACCCTCCTCGAAGACTTGTCGTCTTATAGTTTCAAGCCCTGGCACTCGAACCGAACATCCCCAAAAGCTAGCAACATGTTCGCCAAGCCAAACTCTGTTGCAGGATGACATGGGCCATGGCTCGGCGTTGGCAGGCATCGGTTTGAGTGCCTGGAGTTCCCTTCGTTCTCGTGTGTACTGTCTCTGCCCATGAGTCGTCGCATCTCAGCATCTCCAAACCTGGGAGCTCCAAGCCATCCTCGATTTGCAAGATATTCGGTTCAAGCTGGCAAAGCTCCCGCCTCCCTCTGGCAATCCCATTCGTCGAAAACGATATGGCAGCAGATGGGGCTGCAAGTGGCTCTGGCCCGATGCTGAAAATGATGGCCTTGCTAGCGCGATGCGCGAGGATGTGTCAATCAGCACCGTGGCCGCTTGCGGCAATGAAGAGCGACACTCGTGATGCCACGTGGGCTGGCCCTCAGGATGCGGATGGCAAGGCTCGCGTCGATGAGAAGGGTGCGAAAGGCGGAGGCAAGCGAGTGAAGCTTGTAAAGCGCCCGGTTGGCGAGATTAAGAAGTCTGACTTCGAGGTCGTGACGGAGAGCGTGCCCGAGCCAGAGCAAGGGGAAGTGGTCATCAAGCATATCCTCATCTCCCTTGATCCTACCCACCGGCTTTGGATGTCAGACCAGCCGCAGTACATGCCATGTGTGGGCATTGGGACGGTCATGCGCGCCTCTGCTGTCGGAAAGGTGATCAAGTGTCCTTCCGGCAAGTTCAAAGAGGGCGCCTTCGTCTCTTGCCAAGGGGGCGTGCAGGAGTACTCCGTGTGCAAGGAGGCGATGGTGAACTCCATAGTTCCAGGCACCCCGTTGGCCGCGAATGTCTCCATCTTCAACCCAGTCATTGGCCTGACTGCATGGGTCGGCATCAACATCTTGGAGCCTAGGCAAGGACAGACCATGGTCGTCTCGGGCGCTGCTGGCGCTGTCGGCTGCATCGCCGCGCAGCTCGCGAAAGCCCGTGGCATGAAGGTAATTGGCATCGCAGGCGGAAAGCAGAAGGTCCAGTGGCTCAAGGATGAGTTGAAACTCGATGATGCCATTGACTACAAGGGTGAAGGAGTGGCAGCGGGGCTTGCCCGCTGCTGCCCGAATGGCGTGGATGCCTACTTCGACAATGTTGGTGGCGAAACGCTGGAGACGATTCTCACACACATGAACCGCTTTGGCTGCATCGCCTACTGTGGCCACATCTCAGGCTACAACTCGGAGAGCGCGCCCGTGTCCGTGAACCAGTTCCAGATGATCCTGATGCGGCGGATCAAGATACAGGGCTTCATATGCATCGACCACGTCAAGGAGCTTGTGCCTTGTTTCGGTGAGCTCTTGGACCTATATGCTCAAGGCAAGCTCAAGGTCCAGGAAGACATCCAGGTCACCGGTCTTGAGAACTATGTGGACACGGTCAACATGCTCTTCTCTAGCAAGAACCAGGGGAAGCTGATGATGAAGATCGCTGATGCGTGAGCCCAGGGCAAGGGTCGGAGAGATCGGGTTGAGGCCCGTCTGAGGTGTCAGGATACAGATCAATGAGTTGTTGTATATATTTAATTTCATAAAGTGCCAACAGACGATGGCACTTTATGTTTAGGTTTGTTCCAGCTGCTCAGCTGTCGAGATATGAGAGTTGGTCTAGAAGTCGTTGCCTGTACCTGCAGGATCCCGCAAAAGAATTTTCGGAGGATGCCCTTCGCTTGGCATCATATCCCTCCACTGCATCGCTTAGAGCAGGCCTTGTCAGCAGCCGACGCTCCAGAAACCCTGGCTGGAAGGCTCAGACATCTGGGCCGGAACAGCCGCTTTTGCCAAAAAGCTTTTTCGTTGAGTGCCTGGCATTCAAGCTCACAGGGTGTTTACTTGGGTTTTTATGATGTGAGGAACAAGTTCTATTCGAGCAGGGGTGGGACAACCAGCCGAACCAGGTTAGGAGCCACGGAGCCACTCCTTCTCCTCACTTGCACAGGGCCCTGAGCCCTGAAGCACCTGGCAATTCCTCTCATTGGCGCGTCGAGCTTCCATGTGCCACGCTTAGGCAGCTGGCAGCGGGTGATGATGGCAGAATTGAACCCTCATTTCTAGACCCTCGAACCTGCCCCTAAGCCAGATGACAGGATGGGGTGCGGGTGATGCTTCTGAATCCAAAACCCCGTGAGGTGCTCTGGCGGCTGCAGTGCTCGTCAGAACCCTGGGCCTGGATGAGGGCCGTCCGCTGGGAAGGTCCGAGTTTTAGAAGACGCGGGGTTTCGATACCCTAAGCCCTCTAAACCACAAACCCCAGAAACCCTGAACGCCCTTAACGTGTTGGCCACACAAGTTTGAGCCCTAATCCCTCGACATTCATAAAATGTCTCGAAATGAATATGTCATGTACGTTGAGTAAACATATTCTGCTCCATTATCCGTGTCCTCCCCAAAGAAACACAACGAACGCCAACACCAAAACTCTGGACCCGCGCAACCCGAAACCCCCGACACCCCCAAAACCAATTCACAAAATAGGCCAGACGCAAAGGCTCTGCACCCCCCCCCCCCCCCGAAACCACAGCGAAAGAACAACCCAGAAAAAGCAAACACAACCATCCAAAACGGCTGGTGCCAGAAAGCGGGTTGCAGGGAAGCCGAAAAGACGACGAACGTTTCAGAGCCATTTAGCTGAGGCTGCACGGATGAAAACGGGCCTTCCGTCGACATCTTTCAAATCCAAGCATGAAACAAACCCCAAGCGATGGACCTATGTAGTCTATACCTGGGCCCTAAAGCTACTTTAAGGGAACCCGTTGAGGCCCAAGTATAAACTTATATAGGTACATGGACCCTAAAGGGAAGGAGGTTCGGGACCAGGTTGGACAACCCCAAAGCGCGGCATGAGGCTCTGAAGATTTCGCTTGCTTGGGGGTGGATTCGAAAATATGTTCCTTCTGGAACCCCCACAATTATGGTACATGATTCTTCTTGTTGTTGGCAGTACTGTTATTATGAACCCAGCTGTGCAACCCAACAAGCCAACAATGCCGGTTTGGGCTCCGGAGTCTTTTTATATAGAATCCACCTCTAAAGACAGAAACGCAACCCTTCGGCTGTTATGAAATGTCCGCATCCAATAACCTTATCAGAATTTCCGCTGCCACACGATATTTCCAACCCCCCTAAACCCTCAACCCTCAACCCTCAACCCTAAACCCTAAACCCTGGCCTGCCTTGTGCGAGTGTGAGAGCCGAAGCCCCTAAACCCTATAAACCCTATAAACCCTATAAACCCTATAAACCCTATAAACCCTATAAACCCTATAAACCCTATAAACCCTATAAACCCTATAAACCCTATAAACCCTATAAACCCTACAAACCCTCCAAACCCTATAAACCCTATAAACCCGATAAACCCTAAAAACCCTATAAACCCTACAAACCCTCCAAACCCTATAAACCCTAAACCCTACAAACCCCTGATGTCGCTTCGTGAGGATCCTCGAGGCCATGCTTCCCGCAGCGTGGCGCACTGCCAGCCCAGGCTTCGCAGGCCCTCCGCACCCCAAAAAGAGGAGTCCAGGTCTTTAGGTGGTTAGGGTTCATACACTTGGGTTAGAGAAAACAGGCGTCCAGGTGTTTGGGAGTGCTGAGGGTTGATACACTTGATAGGGTTTACTTAGGGTTAATCTATTTAGAAGGGTTGAGGATTGCTTAGGGTTCATATACTTAATCGGGTTTAGGGTTAATATACCTATAATGGGGTTTAGGGTGAATATACTTAATGGTGTTTAGGGTTTCTACTTGGTAGCGCTTAGGGTTTGCCTCAGTCCTGGCATAGAGCAGTTTCGGGGTTCAAATGGTTTAGAGTTTAGGACTTCCTGCCTTTCCTGAGGGTGTAGGGTTTTGGGGTTTGGTTAAGAAACCCCAACATACGATAATCCTGATTACAGGATTCTCCCAGAGGGGGCGAACACCCCAAAAGTGCTTCAAGTCTGCCTCCTGATGGGCAAGGTGGCGGCGGGTGAGATATTCATAGGTGGGGGGGGGGGGCGCAGGTCAGGTGTGCGGACAGGGCCCCCTGCCTTCCATCCCACACGTGAAATCATACCGAATGAAGCTCAGACCGACACCTCCCAAACCCGAATTCGTTGCCGCAAATCGACCCTATAAGAGTACCCAAAGCCCCATGAAGCTTTCAATGCCAGAGCCGGCGAACATTCAGCACCTCCATGAGAAACGAGCCGATGATGAGGCCAAGCCGAGTTTGGCCAGAAGGGCTGGCGAGACGAAAGCCAGGGCCTCGATCTTCCTGCCAGGTTTGGGGTTTAGGGTTGGGGTTGATGCATGTGTAACCGTCGATCATTTTTTTTGCTAGGGGAGAGCTGTGTCAGAGCTGCCCATGAAAGATTGTCTGGCTATCTACACCCCTCCGAGCTTTAGCTTGCAGGTAAGGGTACCACTGCGGAAGTGATGCATCTGCTGAGCAACACAGCCACCTGGACTGAACTGTTCATGTATAGCCGTGGCCTTGAAAGGCAATCTCAACTTCGGGATAGTAGCTGCCGTGCTAACACAAGGCATAGGAATCCCAAATTGGTATGTCGACGGTTTAGGGTTTTCAGTAAACTTCGAAAAGTTGGAAACCTTGTTAAGGACAACTCGTGCTGAATTTGTCCCTATATACTTCACTCTTAGGGAATGAGGCTATTGCGTTTCCATCTTTTTGGCCTCTGCTATATAGGGTGATTCTCTGTAGACCTTTACCTTTCGGCGAAGCTGAGCGCAGATACCCGAAACCTGGCTTAACCAGATGCAGAGACCCAACTCGTTGTTAAGAATGTGCAAGCCCTGATGTTCAGCATGTCTGCGGTGGCGGAGTGCATGGGGTTACTCTTGAACGCGCTGACCATGCTTGTTGCATCGAGGAGGAGGACCTTCCTCTCAGCAAGTATCCTCCCGGCATGCGCACCGAAAAGCGCGACCTGGGTTTTGCCTTCGGCGCCTTGACCTGAAGATAGCATATGGAGGTTTCGGAGTTGCTGTGTGCATCATGCCACCTTTGCTTGTCTAGGAGTGTCGTGACAGCTTCCCCTTGCAATTGAAGGCGACATTCTTGCAGCGGCAGCTTTGAAGGCTGTGGACACATGTGTAGCCTCCAAGCTGAGCTCAGCGGGGCATGCGGCGGCGAGTGCTTTTTTTCGGGTTGTTCAGGGTTTCGGGTCTGGGTCTGAGGGGAGCGAGCTAGTTTCTCTTGCTTTGTGTTTTTCTGCCCACATGTTCTGAGGTCGATGTCCCGGCTGCCCGTTCAGGAACTTCAGGCCTTTGCCTCTTCTCACACGAACCCGCATGGACCCTACACCAAACCCTATACCCTGGCCTGCAGGGTACGCAGCGCAGCTGCCTTCCGCAGCACCTTCCGAAGCAAGCAAGTCAAGGAGGTGGAAGCGCTGAACAAGAAAAGCTGCAGCATGTGAGCTTATGGAGTTGAGGGTTGGGGTCTATAGGCTTTCGGGTTTGCACAGGATTGTTGGAGCCATATCCTCCAAGCACCTGGCGGTCAGCACTTTTTCAACATAAAAGTTACTGGAAGGGACGCTGATCGATGTTCGTTATGGGCCTTGCGTTTTGCCCTCCTGTTCGATCAGGTCCGTACCAGAATAAAGGTGGGCGGAATGCAGAAGAGTTTCTTCCCACTTGCGAGGAAGACACACGCTGATGCCACGCCGTGCCTTCTGGCTTATTCTGCCTTGCAAAGCGGGCGACTATGAAGCCCAGGAACAGCACCATGCCCCCTGCCCCCTTGCAAGAGTGTACAACCAGCAGCTCACCAATACTACAGCAGCAACCCTGACCTACGAGGCACTCAGACCAGCGCTCTTAGCATGACCACCTTGCTTTGCATTTGATAAGTTTGACTACGTGTATGTAAGAAGCCCTGGCATAGACGAGTGTGTGCCGCTCTGTGGATGGTTACAAGTGTCCCGGCTGCCAAGAAAGCGAAAGGGTTCGAGTCTGGGCATCAGGCTATCAGGTTTCGGCAGTTGAGCCTAGTTTCGATGAGCCAGAACTATGGTTGAAGGAGTGTTGTTGTTTCTTTTTGTTGCGTTCGCATGTACTGCGTTCTCCAGTTACCAGTTGCTCCTGCCGCTTGAAACCGCGGGGAGGCAGGGCTTGAGTTTTGCGGAGCGTCGCCACTCCTGGCCCATGACGCACCCTTATCATCCTGCACCCCTTCCCCGACAAGCCCTCTACTGCTGAACTTCATTCACTCTCCTCCGGCGAAGGCCATGGACTTCCGGCATAAGGCAGTGTGCCCACCCCCACCTCCTCCACGGAGAGATACATGGGGCCTCACACCCAGCAGTGACAGGTCGTAAGACATCATGAGGTGCGCACACTGCGCTCATGGTTACATGGTTTTCAACATCATCATGGGATGCGATGTGTTTGTGGGCGCTGTTTCCCATTGATCATTGGTCTGTATCCCAAACTGAAGCAAGGCCTGCATGAGCCGGTCGGTTACCAGGAGGCTCTGAAATGTTGGAGGATTGAATACTGCGGCTGCTGTGACTCTCAGACTATCTAGGGCGAGGGCCAGCGGATCTGCAACTTGATCATGCTGCTTGAGATCTTCTCTTCCCAGCTTTTGCTTTGCAGAAGAGCTTCTTTGCCAGGCTCCCTACTTTCCGCCGGGAGCCCCGCCACCTCCACCACCTGGGGGAGGTGATCCTGCCATCACTCATGGGTAGCGCGCTGTGATACGCATCTGCTGGCCGTTCGAAGCTTTGTCACTTCGTTACCTCTTGCTCGCCTTGCAGCTACCACTATACCGCCTTGAACCTGCCTCGCCTCACAGTCCCATTGTAAGAAATGCTTCCTCGCGCTGCGCCTACAGGGCTTACAACTTAGGGAAGCTCACGTGACAAAACATTCCCAAATCCCCGCTCTTTGGGGGCTTGCGGACTTCTGGGCTCTGCAGCCCCCTCTAAGCCTTGAGGGTCTGTGGTCACCTGAAGCTGTTGACCTGCTCGAATGTGACTTTCTGTCGTTGGCTTTTCGAGGTGGTGGCAGTACTTGCGGTTCTTTGACAGTTTGCAGGAGCTGCGGTCGGACTGTGGAATGTGGTAGTTTGAGCCAACTTTTGACATGGGAAGGGGGTGCTGGCTGCATCGGCACTCCCCCACCTTCAAAACAAAAACTATAATTACGTCTTCCGAAGCTCTGGGAGACAGAAAGCTGGGTTGCAGGTGGGTTTGGAATGCCGGACTTCTCGCACGGCTTCCATGGCCTGGGTGACTTCTTGCACTCCCGGGTGCATGAGGCACGAGCAGCGCAGTGAGTTTGGGGTTGATAGGTTTCTAGGGTTGCACAAAAGGGCTTGGGATCCGCCAAGCAGGCCGTTGCGTGGAGTTGCAGATAGGGTTTGCTTGCGGTGTAGGTTTCAGGGTTTCTTGGGGCTTGGGGTTTAGGATGAATGTAGAACATTGCAGTTGAAAAGGCCGCGAAGTCATTTTTTGCTGCCGAGTTATGAGCTGCAGGCAGAGATGCGTGTGCCTCGCTACTCCCAGCAGCCCATAGCCTACGAGGCCTGAGGGCTGTGAAGGATCCCTCCCCAGAGATTCCAAAACCTCATTGAAAAATATCCGTAGCTCACATTTCGACTCAGATTGGAGTAAGGTAAATGTTGGCGTCTCTGGCATTGCAATTCAATTTGTCTCCAAGCTACTGTTGCTGGTTTCAGGGCAGAGGCACAGAAACGGGGATGACGGCGGAGCTCCGCATGCGATTTTTCGTTCGCTGAGCAAGCTTGATGTCCGTTCTTGGCTGGCACGTAGCGCTGTCTGAAAAACGGCCTGCCGGATGAATCTGCAGGGTTCATGGGGCACGGAAAGCTACATGCTCTGCCACCCAGACCCAAACAGTCTGAGACAATCTGAGACAACCTCGAGAGCAGCTGTGTCTGGTGCTCCTCAGATGCAGGCTGCCTTTACGCCCCCGGACAAGCCACAGAAACCCAGACACTCGGACGGCAAGAGTTGTACTCTAACAGTCTTTGGCTCGCAGAACTTCTAGAATTCGCATGAGCTTTCTCTCGAGCATCAGTTCCCCAAAGCTATGAGGACTTTCCCAATTCCTTGAGCGTGTTTAGAGGGGTGAGCTGGGGGGATATAGAGCACTACTTGAATGGTTCCCACTCAATGCGGACCAGAATATGATAGTCCTTGGGCCAATTTTTGGGGCTTTGGGGAAGCAAGGAGTCCTCGGGAGTTCGACAGCGTCTCACTTTTCTTTAGTCGGCTTTATCGTCCAAGAGGTGAAGCACCCAAGACTGAATCTCCGAACTTCCCGCGTTTGGCGCCCGAAAAGTGCAGAATCTTTGGACACTGTTTCTAGGTTGTGGCCTTAACTTAACAGCTCACTAGCCCTCTTGAGGTCATATACCCCAAAACTAGTGCAGAGTCCGTCGGTCTTGAAACCCAACACGCGAACCCAAATATGGGGGGGGGGGTAACCCTCCTGACGTCAAGAATTCGAAGGGCCAGTAGCGGGCGGCATCATCGCTGAGCTCACTGGCGACGGCCGCTTCTCATCCGGACGTCCAGGGCATGCAGGCAGGGGTGGTTTAGGGTTAAGGGTTTAGGATGGAGGGAGGAAACGTTGGCTTTGGTCTTTTTAATTTCGGAATTGGATGGTACTGTACCCAGTATTAGGTTTAGGGTCATTGAGCACCGGTATCCCGCATAGGCCTGGTGGTAAAATCCATGGATCCTAAAAATGCCCAGGAGGAGTCTTCCACCCTCGGCAAGACGACGAGGGACACCATTTCGGAGCAATGGCCGTGCCTCGGGTCTTTTTGGAGCGTCCATATAAGGTTTTGGGTGTCCTGTGTTCGGATTTACGTCTTAGGTTCTATGGTTGGGGGTGTGAAGCAAGACCCAGACAATAATGAGCCCGGATGCAACAAAAGCTAGTGTGTTGTGGGATGCGCGAAAAGCGGCACTTGTTTAGGAGCAAGGACGCTGACAAACCTCTGGAGTGTGCTTGGCTGTATTCAGCCCCGACTTCAGCGCTAAACCGCTGGAACCAGAAGTTGCTTCAGACTAGAGCTGGAGGTACTTCCATGACAACTCTAGCACTGCCGTTCCGCAATTCGAAGCTGGCATCGGCCCTCGCAGCATATCCTGTTTGCTGTGCCGGTTGACAAAATTCTATCGAACTCAGGCCGTGAATCCGGATGACGATGATTGGGTGAAGAACCCGGACTCCTGGCACTACCTCTATACGGCTTTCAGGATTTGGGAAGACACAGTGCAGCCGATGCCGAGCATCCTCTACAATTACAGTTGGCTTTTTGGGTGTCTCAGAGCTCGGTTTCTTTCGAAGTTCCGAAGTGACGTGCCGAGGACATTCGAAGCTACTGGACGGCCCCTGACGCCAAGCTTGGGGGCTCCATTAGACAAGTCCCCTCCCCAGCGCGATGCTTCATAGCGCGATGCTTCATAAAGAAGAGATAGCGGGGTTAGGCTAGGGTTTGGGATTTCGAAGCTCGGCTTGAGCTTTCTGTGGCGAATGTCCATGTGATAGCTGTCCCTTGGCGGAACAAGGATCTCAACAAAAAAACAGAGTTGGTCTCCGCAAGGTAACAACAGCCTCACAAAGGCTGTGTGTCCTGATCTGTGTTGCTCTTGGTCTCGCTGTCTTCTGGCTCTGAATCCATCTGACCTGTCAGTCTGTGGTGGCGTTTGTAGTTTTGATTGTGCGCGCACCTTTCATCCCACGCCAGAGCATGAATTGAGCCTTTCTTTGGGTTGCTCGAGGTTCCAGTTCCAGCTGCTGCATCTGGCCGCTATGCCGGCATCGCGGCAGAGCTGACAAGCTATCCGGGCATGTGGGCGGTCTGGGTAGAACCTGCCCTGTGCTAGGTTGGAACATGAGCAGCCATAGCACCCAGTGTCTCCTGGAAAAGGAGTCTGACTTGATTGCAACCGACAGCTCGTGCCTTCATGAGCACGGCTAGGGTCCCGGTAAGTCGTGGGTTCGTTGCTTTGTTGCTCTATCCTGGTGGAGATACCGGTGCTTGCGTTAACAAGCTGATGAGTAATGTCTTGCCTATGATCTAATTAGTTTTAGACCATGAGCCCTTAAGCTGTCGTGCTGATGGACAGAAGTCGGCCAGGCGATGGCCGAATCGACACAGAACCCTGGCAAGGCTGGTTTGGAGCTATTCGCCGATGTTCTCCCTGCATGGGGTTTTCACTGAGTGCCCTCGCTGCCAGACCCATGGCACACATGTCACTGCTCATAAACGGTACCTGAGTCGCCGTCTTCATTGCAAGCTGCGGGTATCCGCCAGTGCCGCGAAATCGCCCTGCGCGCCCCGATGTTTTTGATATGCAGTACAAGGTCGCTTGCCTCCTGGCACAGGCCCAGGTCACTGAATGAATTCAGAACTTTGAGTCCTATGTTGAGGCAGCTACCAGCCCACTGCGCCTGCCGGCAAGGCCAGCAGGGTTCGGGTTTAGCGCTCTGTGAACAGCAATCAGTCACTCGCGATTTCGTCAAAGAGTCGCATGCGAAAGCTTTGCTACGGCCAAAATGGTTTTGGCTTTCTACATAACTCATGTGCAGCAGGCATGTGAGCCCGGTTAGGCTGACAGGTTCATTTTGCCTCCGCCCTGAACCGCAATAACCTGTAGGGTATAGGGTCTATAGGGTTTAGGGTTGAGCCTTTTTCAGGGATTCCCCAAACCGGGAACTCCTGGCAACGACTGGCGGCGCGAATGGCGCGGAGAAGAACCGAGTCGAGGCGGGCCGCCAAAGGGTGCATACCAACATGCAAATACTTGTTCATATTCGTGTACTTAATCCGTAACGATGCACATTTGTATATAGAAATATGAGTGTATATCTCTGTGTGTGCGTGTGTGAGTGTGAGTGTGTGGGTGTTTTTTCTCTCTAGACTCTAGCGATCGATGCAAGGCCCGCGGCCCTACACAACCCTCCAAGCAACATGAGATACGTGTGGGGACCAGCGGGGAGGTTGTGGGAAAGTAAAGCTCAGGGAATGAGATCCTAAGCCCTAAACATAAACTTACCCTGAGCACCCTTAGGAATGAAGAACGCCGATGACCGCTGGAACCAGAGAGCGCCAGATGCTTCCAGCAAAGGCGTGGCAAGCTCAATGCCCAGAAGGGCTTTCAGGGTTTAAGGGTTTGTAGTTAGAAGGGCTTAAGGGTGTTCACTTTTGCTACAACAGTCTACAATCGGCATTCTATTTCTGAGCACCCAGTACACATTGTGCTGACTATTGCCTGGACCCTAAACCCTAAACCCTCAATTGCTCTATGGGGACATTCCTAGGCATCCCGGAACAAGTCCAGGCTTCCAGGCTTTGCTTCAGAGTTACTAAGCCCCTGGCCCCTGAAACCTGAGTCACACGAGACTTTTCGGTGTACGAAGTCTTTGAAGTCCGCCTTCTTGACCTGGGGGGCCCTCCAGAGCTGGTGCCTGGAGGCAAGGGGAAAGGCAAGAAGGGCAAAGATGTCCGGGAGCCCCAGGTTTGGAGCAGGGCCCACCTTTTAAATGGGAAGGCTTTCAAGACTCTTCAGCGGCTACACCAGAGTCAGAGTCTAACTAGGCCTTCGTTGCGGCGCCTTCTTGGAGTTTTTGGGTAGAAGAAGGTTTGGGGTGTATGTTTGGGTTCAGCGTCTTTCTGTAGCTTAGCTGAAGGGCTCTTGGCTGGCTCCCTTTGGTGCATGGGGCGGAAGTGGCGGAGGGGTCCTACAAAGCCTTTGCCCTTCCCGAGACCTCGCGTTGGAGTCTTGCGCAGCCGGAATTCAGGGATGCGGTAGTTATTTCGTGTGGGTGGGGAGAGTGGAGAGGTGGGAGCGGTGGTGAGCTAATCAAGGGATTAGTTAGCACCAGTGTTATTTCATATTGTGTCAGATTGATTGAGTTGGCCCCTGTCCTGGACATAGTGGATCTGTTTGCTGCAAGCCGTCAGCTGCCCAAGCCGGCTTGAATCAGGCCTTTGTCTCTCCCCCGCTCTCTCGAATTGTTGGGCTCTTTTCAGTCTTGCTGATCCCAACCCGCAGCCCTTTCAGCTTGCTTGCCCCAGCTCTTGGGCTGCCATGGCCGTAAAGAATCTTGATGAGGCCACGGGGTTGTTGTTGCCTGCCCTTTGAAGGAGCACAGACGTTCTGGGTCACACTGTGTTCTTCCATGGTCTGCACGGGAGGCGATATTAGAACATTCTCTGTTGCGTACAGCATGGGAAGAATGGGGAAGCAGGTCGTGGAGCTCCTGGGCGAGAACGCAGAGGCCAGGACTGTGAGGACGCAGTTTCCACGTGGTTGAAATATCGTTCAAGAAGGTTGAAACATCGAAGGATGGGCGGTTGCAGCTTAGAGTGTGCCAGGGGAGCGCCAGGGTTCCAGGGGAGGGCCAGGGCCCCTTACGAAACGAAGCCCTCTCATTCGCTGCTCCCCCTGAGGTGAGCGTAGTCGGCCGAACGGCCTTTATGGTTGCGGCGGAGAGGGCCCTGGAAGCCGACAGGGGCGAGGACGCATAGCCTTTTTCATTCTTGATTCTTGTCTTCAACGCAACATGGTGGCTCACCCGATGCTATGAACAGAAAGCAAAAGAAAACAACAAGATCGAGCGGGAAATCTCAAGCCCCAAAGCCTTGAGTCCTTTTCCCTTTTGATCCGGAGGATGCCTTATTCAGCGATCCTTTTGCTCACATTCTCGCAGGAAAGGATGGGCACGCACCACGTCTGAAAAGAGCTCAGGCTTGAAGACTTGAACACCGGTTTCGTTCAGGTACGTTTCATGTTGCTCTCGGGTCTGTGCGCGACATGCTCGTATTGCTTGCACACCCGTTAGGCCCTCGAGAGCCCCAAGCCCTACGTAGCCCTGTGCATGCCAGAGAAAGTCTTATTTTTATCCGACGTGAACCCTCAAGGCCCGCCGCGGCGTCCGCCCAGCCCAACCATGCCGGAGCGAAGAGAGTAAACTGCCCATAAACCTATAGAAACCCTAAATCCCGAAGTCCCACAATCCCTGGAGCGTAAGGAGATGTCCGACAAGCTTGGGGAAGCGGCGGCACAGTTTGGCTTTGATGGCTGGCCAGAGTTTCACAAGGCTACTTAGTTACTTAGCCTCTTCGATGGTTTGGGTTTCGATCTGCCTGGAGATTCGCGAAGTGTTTTTTTCTATGTTTTTCTGAAATGCAATAAGTCGTTGTGTTTTCTTGATGTTCTGAGCTTCAACCACCACACCTTAGGTGTGGACGGTGGTGCGGACAAAGTTTATCGACGACATCATCGGCACCCCAAGCCCAATCAAGCTGCCACCCTCCCTACCTCAAGGGTCGGACAGTGGATCAGGTTCGCTTTGCATGAAGACCGGTTCTTTTCAAGCCTCCGATGTGGTTAGTTCATCCCCGAACCGTACGGCTCAGACGGAGGTGCATTGTCGCAATCCTTGCCTAACCTTGCCTTGTGACATGATGTGTTTTGGGTCCTGTTCTCTTATCTGTGTGTCTTTGCATCAATCTACCTATGACATCCTTCGTATCTATCGCCACCTGTCTCTGCAGCTAACCTGGTCCGACTCTGGGAGACAAGCAGGGATTTAAATAGGCCGGTTGCGGCTGGATTTTCGAATCTCGAGAGTCCGAGGCTTGTGGTTTAGGATTCTTGGAGTCTGAGGATTTTGGGGTGGAGCAGAATCCCAGGTAACCTATCGGAGCAGAAGCAGATGGTGAATCTGGGAGCCGGCGTGGACACGCGACCTTATCGGCTGGAGGCCACTGACCGGCGACAGGCTTTTCTAAGGCTTATAGGGCTGAGGGAGGTAGTTTATCGGATTATCAGGTTTGGCCTCCGCATAAGAAGCTTTCGGGAGATTGTGCTTGGAGTTTCTTCGGCCTTGGTTTGGTGCTTTCGGCTGCGCACCATGACGCAGTGTGCACAGTGCATTGCGGCATTGCAGTCCCTGCTCGACAGCTTTGCCCTCCGACAGCTTCCCAAAGTCCATTGTTGATACAGGATAAATGGATTGAAGGTCTGGGGTTTAGGTTTCGGCTTTTGGCTTGCCATGCGTTTTGCAGCATTGGCGATGACAAGCCCCCTGTTTCAGGCGTACTCCAAACTCACCGCTTCATATGAGGTCGACACACCTGAGGTGAAGCTTGGCTGCACGAGCTCAACAGCCCTAAAACTAACACCTCAAAAAGCCCCACAGCTCTGTCAACCTAAACCCTATAAACCCGTATAAACACCAAAAAATCCTATAATCCCCCAAAAGATACTTACCCTTAACCTGGGCACCCCCCCCCCCCCCCCCCCCAAGGAATGCCGTGAAGACCGCTGTCTTCGAGCGGCTCGGGGCTGCCTCCTTCTGCCCGGTGGTCACCGTCTCGGCGGACTTCCGCGCCCCAGGACAGCTCCCTCCGTCGCCTTTTCAAAAAACAAATTAAAATAACTAAGCAAATATGGATACACACACACACATATATATATATATTAGTAGTTTTTTGTTCGGCCTTCGGGTTCAGGGTTTACGGTTTGAGGTTTAGGGTTTGCCCCTCGGTCCTGGCATGAAGCAGCTTCCAGGTTCAAAAGGGTTTGGGGTTTAGGGTTAAGGGTTTGTAGGGGTTTACAGGCTTTGGTATGTTTTTTACGGTTGGGTAAAAGCTTCGTTTGCTGGTTTGCATGTGTTGTTTTTATATCTACACTACTCCAAATCCCAAATCCAATCCGTAGGGTGGGGCTGAGGGAGCAGGAGGGCTTGAGAAGTGGTTGGGGGATTCGCCCTGAAGAGGTTTGTCCCAGACAATCAGTGGATAAGTGTGCTGTATGCTTGCAGGGACAGTTTAGTCGGGATGGGGATAGTGGGATGCCTTGGCTAAACTGCGGACTGACATCCTACCAAGCTACCAGCATCTATATGCTGTGCACTACGCTGCCCCCCCCCCCCCCCCTCCTCCGGTCCCAACACCACCTCCCCTTCCATTTTTTCAATCACACCGGCTCATGGGGTTTAGAAGGACAACCGAAAATGGCTGTTTATGGCTTTCAAGGCACAGAAAGAGGTCAGAAGTGACATCTCAGAACATTGCCATCGAGGGTCCGTCTAGAGTCACCTGCCATGAGCCGAAAACTTGAGCAGGAGTTTAATATAAGTATTGGGTCTTCCGTTATTTGGAGTCCATGACACCCGACTTTGCCTTCTGCCCATGTTCCAGGGGAGCTGGCCACGGCGCTGGCAAAATCCGGCTTTGACGACCAGGTGCCACGCAGGGCAGATCGGGGCCGGGTGACTTTGGAATATCACTGCCCGCTTCAGACCAGAGGAATGTCGAGGTCCGTTTACAAAGCCTCCCCCCCCGCCCGCAGGAGTTTGTTTTGACACTGGGATCGTAACAATGCCGGTTGGAGGGAGTGGGGCCTCTTCTGGGCCTCTTCTGGGCGTCTTCAACCCACAGCTCCCTTTCGAGACGTCCACTATTCACACCCACATATAACAACAATCTCCTCAACATTCCTGTATGGTGCAGCCAAGTACTCCCATGATGAGGGCACTAAATTCTTGGAGCTTCATCAACGTGCCCCGCGGCAAGTCGCCGAGGTGGCTTCGGTCTTCCTCATTGAGGGTGTCCTCGACTTCTTGGAGGACGCTGCGGCATCTTTTCTGAGCCAGGCGCCAGGGGAGGTTGTATTCTGTATATATATATACATATATGTATATATATATATATATACATAGTTCGCGAGATGTGCCACACTCGCCCATGCGGATGACCGTGTCACCCGCCCCAACTCCCCCCAAACCTCCGCCCAAGCAAGGAAGCAGAGAAAGCCCGTGCCAGACTAACTAGGACCCAGAGTAGGCCCTTATTCCGGGGTTTAGCTTCCCTTACCCCATGAACCCCAAAAAGGGCACCCTGTTTATTCCCACTTGTAGGTTACTCTTGGGTCCAGATGAGCCACCGGAAGGTTTCCAGCTTGGCCGCCCCCGGGTCGTTGGCCGTGATTAACTACGCAATCGGGCCTCCAAGGCGGGTCATTCGCACCAGACCCATCGGGGTTTCAGCTGATCTTTTCAAGTGCAGAACCACGGGTTCAACTGTTCGTCTGCCGTGATCTGATGATTGGATGACTGGCTAGACACAGGTATCCAGAGGTTGCAGGTGGCTTTCGATATGGTTGCCGTACTCGGCCGTACTCGTGTATGATGTTGCGGGCCGGAGTTCTAGTTCTCTCTCTCTCTCTCTCTCTCTCTCTCTCTCTTGCTTCCATGGGGGTGTTTCCGGCAACAACAACGATCCGACAACTGATAGGAGGCCGCGCTTTTAATTAAGGCTCTTGTCAATACCATATTTCCTGCTACTGTCAGATGTGCTCAATCTATATATATATATAAATATACACAGTATCTGTGGTACCACTATGACATTCGTGCTACTTGCTCGTTGAAATTGTTCGATTCCTGTACAGGCTTCGATGGCAAACTCGATCCTGACACTTCGTTCTGTTGCGACGAGTAGAGTTAGAGGTCAGTTCAGTGAGTATTTAGATAGCCCCAATTACCAGAAATAAGCAACCAGCACTGGATCAGAACATTTACTTCGCGTCGGTCGACCCTGTGGCTGTCCTTCATCATGTTCCAGTATTCCTGGCCATCCACACAATAGAACTTCAAGATTCATACTTGGCCTCCACTCACGCTCACCAAGCTATCCGAAATATTTGTGCGGTTTAACTTAGGGTCATGGCATCCACAACTCCCGACCGTTTAAGGCAGCAGAATTTAAGATACCAGAACTTATTTGAAGCATCGAATTGCCCTCCAATTATGCTAATCAACCCAATGCCAATGTTTGCATTTTGTTTAAAGCTTCTCGGGGCTTTTCTCTACGTAGAGTAGAAGCCGATAATTTTACTCTTTCCACTTCACAAAACAGACCATATTTTCAGTTTTTAACCATTGTTACCGCAATGCAATGAAAATTCCTAGCCCTACTTGGTAGCGCAACGGTTGTCCTCGTAGCTGGCCTTCATTCTCTTCCAATATATCCGACCACTCAAACTACAAAACTTGAAGTTGCCAATGGACCTCCAATGATGTTAATAATATGCACCGAGCTGTTCACACTATTGAATTTGGGGTGGGCGCGCTTACATGATTACGACAAGATGTTCATGAACATCGTTTAAAGGTAAACACTACTGGGACCATCAGATGGCAAATGCATCTTCAGGGGAAATGCAAAGCTGCCATCTTCCAATACCACCAGCCTTTAGAAGAGGTCATTCGACAAAAACAGTTTACAACCAATTCTGTAGAGATCAAAATCTATTCGGAAGAATGCTTAACTTGTTATTTTAAATCGATGAATAAAATGGAGTTGCCTGGGCTAATGACAACAATCCCTGAAACATGTTGTAAGAAAACCTTGGTTCCTGGGCTTATGTGCTTGCAACCCTGAACCCTAAACCGTCAAAAAAATTGTTGTTTGAATCGTTTTAGACGTTTTAAGCCCGTCGAGCAGTTTTTGCAAAAAATGCTTTTAGGTAAATGTGTGTGTGTGTGTGTTTGTAGGTGTTTGTTTGTTTCCTGCTTTAACTTTTTGTTTTTCAGTGTGTTTTCTAGTTTGCTTGTTTGTGGCGCATGCATGTTTTTGTTGTTTGTTTTTTTGAGTTTCTGTGTGGTGAGTGAGTGTGTGAGTGGGTGGGTGGGTGACTGAGTGAGTGAGTGAGTGAGTGAGTGAGCAGTGAGTGAGCGAGTGAGTGAGCGAGCAAGCGAGCGAGTGAGCGAGTGTGTGCATGTGTGCATGTTTGTATGTATGTGTGTGTCTCTTTGTGCGTACCTAGAAATGTAGTCATGTACATGTCGACTTGCACACGTACAGCAGATGGATGAATGCCGATCTGCCATTGCCAACTTTGCTAACGTCGTCGATTGAATGGAGCCGGGCTTGGCTATGCGGTTTACAGGTTTAGGTCTGGGAGGGTCGGGCCACAGTCTTTTGGGAGCTCTTTTGCTTGCACCTTTTCACTGATGCATTCTGTGGTGTATCTCATCTACCGGGTCAAGCCTCCTTCTTGGATTCAGCTTGCCTTGGCAGGCCAGGCACTTTCACCGCCAGCGAGCTCCGAGAGTTGCTGGAGCCATGGATGTCCCTAGAAGCTGGCTTGGCTCCCTGAGTGCTCCCCTAAAGTGAGCAGCAAAGTTGAGGCCAGTGGCCCATGCTGCCTCATGGGACGCAAGAGACGAACCACCCGAACGCAGACCGCAGACCTCCGCCGAACCCCTTTGGCAACTGTAGGCAACTTAGGCAACTGTAATGCAGAAGAACTAGAACCATGCACTTTGTTATGTTGTGTTGGGAGGCCCGACATCATGTAAGGTCTGCTTTCAAGGAAATTTACCTATGCCTTTGAATAGGAGTAGCCAGAAAACAAGATGAGTTCGGTGGAATTTACCATCAGTGGAAAGCCCTATGAAAATTCCATTGGTGTTAGAAGGCTACTGCTATGTAAAACATATATTCCCTTCAAGTCATGTGCTTGTAGACTTACGTCTTTACATTGGTGGCTGTACTTCTCAAGTTGTGGGTCAAAAAGGTTTGTCGCCAGTTAAATCCTTCGCTTGCACAGTTAGGAAGGTCAAGGTGGTGAGATTCGGCAGAGGATAGAACGGCTGTGTGCTGTGTGGGAGAGTTGTCGCTGCAAACCCATTGTCCACCTAAGCCCAAGCCCCACAACACCTCTGCGTCATACGCCATGCATCGCCCTGTGGGCCAGATCCTGCTCGTTTGCATGTTGTGTGTGAAGTCTTGTCGCGAACTCACCCGCCGCTGAGGAGATGGCAGGCTGGAAAGATCTTGAGCTGCATGTGCCTTGCTACACAGCTTAAGGATGTTCAGAACTGGGGGGGGGGGGTTCAGCTAGTACTAGATGCGCTCAGCAAATCCAAGAACTCCTGTTCCCTTCCCCCTCTGCCTCTCTCCAGCCTCTCTTCGAATCGACTTTGGAATCTAGAGTCTTGGTTTGGTGAGTTAAGTGTGGTAGGTTCAGAGGTTGAACAGCAGGTGATTGCGTGCAGGTTTTCGGAATCGGTCACGTGCTGAGTGTACGGAAGGGGGGAGCCCGTGTAGCTTCTGGTACGGGTTGCCCCTTGCATAATTTCACGACCCTAGCGTGAGCCTGCAGCTCGTCGGGTGTAAGGAAATACGAAGATGGATCGCTTGCCGTTGTTCACCATCATTCATGACATGTGTGGTGGCCTCTTTCTTGCGCTTTGCCAGGTCTTCGGTGGAGACCGCCTGAACTTCGGCCGCTATAAGGATGGCCTCCCCCCCAACGAGCAATGGGCTTTCGCAACTTGCGTCAAAGGCCGACCATAGCCGGCGACACGCTTTGACAGGTTTTGGGGCGGGCCGCTTGAGTTTCCCGATGTACATTCATCCATCCAGTCTACTGACTGTGTCCTGCACCTGATCAGAAAGGCTGGGAATCGGACGGGGATTGTGGAAAGTACTCAAGCCATATTACAGGACACATGAGTCGGAGCCATCGCTAATGCCTGGCCGCTTGCCAAAGTTTAGCTAACACCTGTACAGTGTACAGCTTCGGAAAAAAGGATGAGTGACAAGTTTGCAGCGCGTCGCCATAGCAGGTCCTAACCACAGGTTCTGCTGCTGCCCCCAACCCTGGGCCCTAACCGCCCTACTTGCTGGTCCCAAGGCTATGCGGCCAGAGTGGTATGGCTGGAGCAAGGGTGCCCATGAGGACTGGTTTGGGTCAGGAAGGAGATAGGCGCGGTTGAAGGTTGCTGTTTATGTTCCACCCGCAGGGCTGATGATAAACGGGCTTGTGCAAAGGACAGGAAATAGCACCTTCAGCCTCACTTGAAATTCTTCGCTCGTGCATGATCGTCATGTAGAATTCGCTGTCATGCACAGACGACGAGCAGTATGACCATAGCAGCCAGGAGTGTTGGCACAAATCCGTTCAAGCAGTGCAAGAGCTTCTGATGTGTCCCTTTCCTTTCCGTGCTGCACGCGACACCCTAGTAGGCTATCCAAATCATTCGGCGAGGTGGCCCGAAGCCACTTGAGTCCTTGGGCCCTATCAGCACTATAGGGGTGAAACCCATACAAAGACGCCCATGACGGCACCTAGCTTCCAGGATGGCGACCGCAGAGGATCAGCAGATGTGTGGTCCTCGAAAGGGTCACATGTCCGTTTGGGTGTGGTGCCCTGGCAATTGATAAGCTGCTACGCTCGGGAGTCTTCAACAAACCTCATGTCTCCACTTCTTTAACGCAAACCTCCAATCTTCAAGTGTCAAGCCTCCCGTCCCCAACGCGTTCAGGGCCAAGTACTCAAGCCTCAGAGTCTCAGAGCGTCTCGGCTCCGTTCGCGCGTCAGCCGGCCGATTTCTTTGCCCATTGCCTCACCGTTCGGCGCACCTCGGCTTCAGTTTGAGGATGGTTCGGGTTCAGTGCATCGACAGCAAGAAGAACCATCACATGAATAAGCAGAACCTCCACGTCATAAATTTCAGAATGCCGATATAGACTTGGATTGTTTCGCAATATTCACCACAGACATGAAATGATTTCATGAGTACATAGAAGCATGAACAAAAGTGGTATAAACACTCGAGCAACCCGGTGACTCCGACTCGTCGCAATAGTCTTGTGGATTTGCTTTAAAAAGACAGTGCTGTCATGACAACAGTAACAGCCCCCCGAGTTTCAGGGAGGCAAAGAGCCTTCTTCGCCATGATCGCCAGAGAAACAGTGAAGCAGGAGCTCGGGCAAGGCATGAGGCTGGACGCCGGCCGTTGTGAAGAAGAGCTGGGCGGTGGTCGGGGAAGGCCACGCCGCAATCAGAATGCCGGCAGAATACATCCCGGGAGCACTAGACCAGGTGTTAGATAGGGTTTGGTGGTCAGGGTCTAGGGTTTAGGGTTTAGTTATTGTTGTGATCCGCAGGGTGGGAGCCGGGCTTCTTTCAACCTTCTAAGGCCATGGCAGAAGAGCAGCGCCCCTCAGCCCTTCAGATGCAGCTGGCGCGACAGCAACCTGGCTGAATGGCGTCCATCTCCTTGTGGATTCTACTTCTTTTTTTGGTGCTTGTTCAAATCGTTATCGAGAGCATTACCACACTCAGAAAAACACACACAACTAGGGTTTTGAGCATGTCACTATGGCTATTATAGTGGTTCTGGCGACTGATTATTTGCTTGGCAGACATTCGCGTCACTGAACAAGGCAACGTAATCCTAGCCTGAACCCTAAACTTGCACAAGCCCTAACCCTAAACCTTGCAGGCCATCCGAACGCAATCTCGGGCCAATAGAGAGAAGCCGCTGGAGGGCATAGCGGGTTTGGGGTTTAGGCTTCGGTCCCCGGAGTCAAAAGGGTTTAGGCTTTGCTAGGGTCTTGGCCTGCATTCAAGAAGGGTTTCGGGTTTTGGGTGCCTGGACATCTTCGCCAGGATGCATGTTTTCTAAAGGGTTGAGGGTCAACGTGTTTCATTCTTTGAGCTGCCCTCGGGGCGCCCGCAGAGACACGTGGACCCTGGGGCGGTAAAGATCCCACAGGCACCCAAACCACCCTGAATCCCGCGACTGCTTCAGGCAGATTTGTCCTTCCATTCTTGACCGTGTCTCCTCGTGCCAGCTTCAGCTTGTCCTTGAGGTCGCCATCCGGGCTTTTGGCAAACCTTCGCGCCCGCCGCTTGGGGCTCCCGCTCCCGGGGCTGCACGGGCGAGAGAGCGAGAGAGAGAGAGAGCGAGAGAGAGAGAGAGAACAAAAAAAGAGAGCCAATATGAGCCAAGAGCACAGTGCGGATGTCGTCTAACCGTCACGCCACCCCCTAGCAGCTCTATGCCCTGGGCCCTCAACCTTGAATCCTGTGAAATAAGCCCTACCATGAACCGGAGGTGAATCTTGAAAGGGTGCATCCAAGGCTGCCCTTCGCTGCCGCAGCTCCACTGCGTGCCGACGTTGGCCACATCAGCAGCAGCCAGAAGACAGGGGTTTAGGGTTAAGGGGTGAGGGTATAGCGAGTCTGGGCAAAAAGGGTGTAGACTAAGAGAGTCCATCTGGCAAAAGGGTTTCGGGTGCGGGGTCAGGCTTTAGGGTTAGGACTTATAGAGGTGCTTTGAGCATCTCTGACTTCCTCCACTCCAACCCCCTCCCCCCCCCAGCCGTTGAGTCGAGAACACCAGCCTTATCCCAAACAACCCTCTTGATTAGAACAGCAGTCATAGTCAGAACCATAATTGCAGTGACCATAATCGTAACAATAGAATATGCAGGACCAAAAGAAATCTACCCGGTGCTGTTGTTTCGACTGTCGGTCTGGTTGTTTTTGTTATTATGTCTATTCTTGATGTTTTTTTCTTGTAGCTGCTGTGCTCTTCATGTTCTTGCTGCCGTTTCAGCAGAATTTTTGACTTAGGAGATGCCACTGCCTTGAGCCTTGGGGTTTGCAGCTGCCTCTGAAGGCTGGCCCTGGCGCATGGACTGGGGTGGCCACGACCCAGCCTCGCCCGTGGCAGAGATGTGCCGCGGCTGGGAGGGGCTTCGGGGCTCAGGGCCTAGGTTTCTGTAAAGCTCTTCGGGCAGACAGGAGTAAACATGCCAAAGTTAGAGTTGTGACTTCGATTTTTCGCGAGAGCGCCGTGTAACCGCCTATGGCATCATCAGTATTGCTGTTGATGCGCTTCCTCTTCGGAATGATTCTGCTGCTTTGAGTTGACGTTGTTGCTATAACAGCACTTTTCGTGATTGAGTTTGTCCATTCCTAGTAGCTGGTATGCGATGAACACAATAGCAAGTGCTGCTACAACAATCACTGCTGCTCTTGTCTCAATAAGACTGTTTGGACCAACTGATCTGCGCACGAGGCACATCAACTACCACAACACTGGCTGGGGAATCATGATTTTTGCTCCATGGCTGGAAGCAGTGATCATGTGGCCACGTGTCTGCCAAACCCCCCAAGGGCACAACAACTCGAGTCAGCTCCTGCACCCAAACTCCAAAGACCTACGCTCTCAATCCAAGTCTCTGCACTCCCCCATCAACCCTGATTGTAAACTGGAAGCCAGGCTTAAATGTGATCAGGGTGCGCCGAGGTCTGTGGTTTACCAGGAGGCAGTTCACTCCAACAAACAAGTCAGTGGCAGCACGAATTTTCATTTTGGTGTTCTGGTAGACTGCGGGATCTCCTCTATGCAGGTCGCGGTGCATACAAAAGCCGTCAACCATGTGTAAATCTACAACCCCTCCTCAATGTCCTAACCCCTTACATGCCTGTCGCAAGATGCCGTTGGCCAAGAAGACAAGGTCTGCACCTCTGTCCTGTACCTGATGTCCAAGCGCTGATGCCCCGAGCATCCTGAGCCGCGGGCCCTTACGTTGGCACTCAAAACTTGCCCGCCCGTGTTTCCAAAGGCCGGAGAAGATTCCTGCAAGATGGAGAAACACCCTAAGCCCTAAACCCTGGAAGGAGAACAGTTTCCCATGTGGCGGGTAGGTGGAGCCTGTCGCCTGCTCTCGTCGCGCAGCGGGGCTTGAGCCAACCAGTTGTGTTTGTCATTCGTGCTCCAGTTTGCATATATCATGTTGGCCCAGCTAGCTACAGTTGATTACAATATATATATATATATATATATATATATATATATATACGTTTGTGCATACACTCGGCACTCCAGCAAGGCAAGAATTATCTTCCCCCAATCGGTTCGGATGCTGAGAAATGGGAGATCTACTCTGGCTGTGGCAAAAAGAGTGAGGCACGGGAGTGCTTAGCCGCCATTTCGACTTCAATAGCACGTTTTGCAGACAGGAAGGCCACTCAGACCCCCATAAAGCCTAATGACATACCCCTAATCCGCTCAACAGTCGAAACTCCAGAGATTTATCAGGAAAGCACGGCACCAAAACAACCTGTGTATCGGTATAGTGGTGTTGCAAGGGATGAGGTCCTGTGAGTGTAGGCTTCAGGGCTTAGTCTAAGAAGGACAACTGGCTTGTCCCACACAGCCAAAGAAATCCCTACATAACCCTTATACATCGGGATGCTCCCCCTAATGCCAGCAGTCCTATTAGGGATCATCGGTACCCCCCCCCCCCATTACAATGCCTATAAAGGACTGCTAGTATGAGGGGCACCATGCCAAGTCATACAGCCCTAACCTACCCGAGTCAGCCCTGTGCACCCCAAAGCTCCTCACCTGCCCTTGAAACCAAGGACCGGCACCCTCGAAGGGCTGAGGCCGGCGCATCGAAGATCTAGGAGTTGAAGCCTAAACCCTACACCCTGAAATCCTAACCCTTCGGTTCCGGCCTCATATCAGAATACCTGCTTTGGGGACTCTGGGAGGCCCCTGTAATAGGAGCTGTGCCCTGAACATGCTTTGTCCGGCGCTGTAGAGAAGAAGTGTTCTCTCCCACAAACTGAGGTTCTTGAGCAGAGGCCCTGTGAATGTGTACGCGGCAAGCCTTCGCAGAGTTGTTTTAGGACGCCCCACAACCAGAGATTGAGATTGGGGTTGAAGGTGAGCTTTGTTATGCACGTTTAGTCTCCCGACGCTTCAGCCTGAAACACGTCCCTAGCACAACATGGTCTGGGAGCAATGAAGGGAATCCACCGAGCCCAGCACCCCCTAAAGCCTATGTAATACCCTAAGCTCTGCAGAGTATGGCCCCGAACCGAGGATGACTCTAATCCACAAGCCCCTGAATACCCACGACGCAGCACCTTTCGGCCTAAGCGTGGTTCTAAGCAAAACCAGCTCCACCGCCTCGTGCCTGTGCGCCACTTTGCAGCGATCTTTGTTCTGGCTTTTGGGGTTTAGGGTACTGTTGGATGTTATTTCGGATGGGCGCGTGCGAGACACTAGTTCTTGCGTGGGTGAGTGACAGTCAGCCAGTGCTGTAACTTGCCTCCGCCTCAGTGTCCCAGTGTCTTAGTTGGTGTGACTTGCCCGGCAGTGTTCGAAGAGGCCGGGATGCCAAAAAGGTACTGTTGCACTCGCTGTAGTATCTTAGATACCCCCGCCCCCCCCTTGACGCTTGAGGGTCTAATCTTTCCACTTCCGGATTACCGGGTACCCGAAACAAGATACTCAAGCGCATGAGGGCAGCTTGTGGGCTAGTCCCTTGAAAAAGTGTTCGGGGGCTTGCCCCGTAAAAAGGAGTCTACGCACATCATGCCGGACTCCAGACAATTGGGAGCCTGAAGCTGGAATCGGGCCAAGCCTTGAAGATTGAGGGTCTAGGCTTCCCAGGCCTTCTGAGTCAGGTTTTGGGGCACGAACTTCGCTTGTGGGTAATCGTTTTCAAAAGGGGTACCCCGAACATGTTTGTTGGAGATTCGCACAAAACCGGCAAGTGACACCAAAGGCAGTGCAACATTGCAATGTAAAGGAGTGCCGGAATGGATGTTCCACCGGTCAGGCCTTCCCTTTAAAAGCCGAGAGACAGGTTCATGAAAAGACTGCATCCCTGAGAGTTGCCCTAAACCCTAAACCCCAAACCCTAAACCCCAGAGACAGCGCCAAGTAAACCCTAAACCCCAAACTCAGTTGCAAAGAGGACCAATGGCAGACGAGAAGCGCAGCCCTTCCGCCTTGCAGATGCAGCTGGCGCGGCAGCTGCTGGGACACAGTTTGGCCTACACTGATTTCATTGGGCATTACCTGCGGAGGGGCTAGGGTTTCGGGTTTAAGGTTTATAGGGCAGGGTTCAAAAAGGGTCTTTGGCTCCTCTAAACTAAATGATGGAGTGGACGTCGCTCAGCGCATACAGCTCATCCCAGCTCAGGTCTCCGTCTGGGCTGCTCGCGAACATCCGCGCACGTCGATTGGGTCTCCCGCCGCTTCCCCCGCAACCAGAAAGAAACCAGAAAGGTGACATACGCTACTGAGACCAACAGCTCATGCTGAACGATGCTGCGTGGGTTTTGTTCTGTTTTGGGTGGAACTTCCCATCCGCTGCCAACTTCTCGTCGTGGAGGGGGGATGATGAGACGTGTAGTAGCCCCCGAACGGGGCTTCCATGCACCACTATGAGCTGCTGACGGAACCAGGTTGCCATTCACTGCCATGGCTCCAATGCGCGCGGATGTTGGCCACCTGGCCCCTGAAAGCGTCCAGCAGTTTGGGAGTTTAAGGGTTCACGGCGAATGAGTTCATAGCCTTAATGATCCTCCCTGCGATTATCATGTCCATGTATACATACATGTTTATTCGAGCATATATTATGCTATCTGTTCATATGTGTGCAAGCTTCAGCGGCTTGCAAATACAAAGTTTCAGATATCAACCAAGCAAGGTTGATGGCTTCAATCTGGGAATACATACTTGATGGTTAGTTGCCTGCATTGCCAAGGCTGGCCGTGGAGGATGGATTGGGGTGGGCACGACCCCGCGAGCCCTGTTGCTGAGATGTGCCTTGTTGCAAACTTACATCTGCTTTTGATCCGTGGTGCCTTGTTTCACAAGCTGCAGCCAAATTCCGTGTGAGGCACATCAACTACCACAACACTGGCTGGGGCATCATGATCTTTGCAGCTTGGCACAGCAGCATTTCTGGGTATGTTTGCGCTTCATCTAGGAATTGCTGAACTTGTTTGCCCCTCAGTCGGTCTTTCCTGACATCCGCGGCGCTTTTGTTGAAAGATGTTTCAAACGGGAAGACGCAGCGCTGTCGCCGCATTTGGCCGGCATTGCGCATGCATGCATCCTGGCGCAGGGAGGCGACAATGAGAAAATGCCAGGTACCCCATGAGGTTGTTCTCAGCTCAGGGCTCAAGCCGGGATGCTCAGGGTACGTCTTCGACTAGTAACGAGTATGGCTTTTGGGTTTTCGGGCTGGAACTGGATGGTACTTTTGTCCGCTGGACATCTGAGCTCAGGTTTGCACTTCCGTCTTGTACCTCATGTCCAAGCGCTGAGCCTGCTTCCGTGGCCATTGGGGGATAGGGACTCTGCGTCTTGTTTGGTTTGGTATGCTCAGCTTATGGCTTAGGAGTTTCGACTGAAGATATGTCGATGACCCAATTTGATTCTCCTCTGTTCCCAGGCATGTCATAACATGTCTGCGGGCACAGCTGGGAAGCGACGCAAAGAGCCCCCCATCCTCCAAGCAACTCTGTGGCAGTTGCACTTTCCATCGCACTGGGCACCGGCGGTGTAAGCGCATCCTCGAAGTGTAGAAGGACTGATAACCGGGTCCTGCATTTTGCCGCAAGTATGATGGACCATGGTGCTCAGGGAAGGAAAGGTGCAGTGGGAGAAGCCCCAAACGACACGGCTAAGGTACATCAGGAAATGTGGCGGAGTGGAAGTCCGAGATGCCGTGTTTTTGAAGACTTAGAAAAGAGGCCCTTCCCTGCAAGGAGCCTGGGATGCTGACTGGCTTTGGCGACGGAAAAAAAAAGCGGCAACGGGGGGGGGGGGTGGGGGTGAGGAAGTGTGGGCCTGGCGATTGAGGTGAGCATAGCGGACCGAAGTATTGTGAGCCAGCTCTCTCATGTCTCTTTGAATCTCATGCAAAACAACCCCAAGACATCCTAAATTCCCAAAACCCTTGGGAAACCCTGAAGCCCTAGAAAGCCTAGGCGAACAATTTGGTCGTACAGTCGGGTTGAGTCCAGGCGCGGCCCCGAGGAGAGAAAGGCGGACCGAATCGATACAATCGGCAGGAGGACTTCTTGGACTTAGCATCTTTCCCTGAACACTCCAAATTATTCCAAAAGTCCAAAAGTACCCATAGCAACGGCCTGTCTACCTTCACAAAGCTGTTTTGAGCATGGGTGTGTCGCACTATTATGGCACTTTGGGGCCGCAGAGCGTAGGACCCCGCTTCCTTGCCCCGGAACCACACAGCATGTGGGCGCTTCGCGAGGAGAGGCGAGATGAGCGAGCACCGCGTGAACGGCGTGCCTCGAAATGCACACCGAAAGTCCGGCAATATTGGGGGGGGGGGGGGGGGGGGGGGGGGAGGAGAAGGCCGGTGAGCTCGGGGACACTGTGTGCAGAATGCCTGCGAGGCCATTGTTCTGTAGTTGCAGTTGCGCTTGGCGCAGTGTCGCGTTCCTCGTGCACTGACTCGTGGCATGTAACCGCAAGAGACCCAATCGCTCGATCACACCACGCCAAGGTGCTGTCCATGAGGCGAAGAAGGCGCTTGTTCAGCTTGTTCCAAATTCGGGGCCCTGATATATGCTTCTCTTTCTATATTGGACCTATTGAACTTTTGAGGAATCTTTGCATCCAAGTCATGTCAGGGGGTTTGAGGCTGATTAGGCGGAGGGTTTGAGTGGTTGACCTGTGTCGCTCCCTAGTGTTCTTTGTGCTGTACTGGCTTTGTTTTTGACTTCCGTCTCTCTGTCTCTCCTCTCTCCATCTGTCTCACTCGGCTCTTTGTTACAGATTTCCCCATCTGAATGGTAGCTTGGGGCTCTCTGGTCTGCCGGGTTTTTGCTGAGATTCTCACTCAAGTGCCTGACAGCTCAGCAGTTGAGCCTCACGCCTGACATACAGCCTCTGTCAGTTGCGGCTTCTTTCTCGATTACCCGTACCGAGCATGGATGAATAGACAACCGGTGCCAGAGCCACGGTGGTATGGTAACGCGCATGTAAAGCTCAGACCTTTCCTGAAGGAGCCGGACAATGGCGGCCGCAAAGACAGGAGACTGTCGACATTTCGTGAGGGTTGGGTGCTGGCTTGCTCACGGTTCAGATTGTGGTAGAGTTCCTCACAGCCAAGTGATGCTAGGCTTTCATTCCTCCCCGTGCAATCGAAAGAAATATGCAAAGACCTCCTGCATGTCATCGCATGGAAACGCACTTCCGTCTTACTGCATTCCGCTTTCTAATGTCCTGAGAATGCTTACGTTCTGCCGGAAAAGGTACCTGAGCAAAGTGGACATGCAGAAGGTCACTTGATCCTAAGACTCTCTCGATCCGAAACTTGCACAGAGACTTAAGTCCATGGCCCGTTTAGCAGGAATCAGAAGAAGAAGAAGCCGGCACAAAAGGCCTCTGATGCCTGGGTTTAAGGGACATATGTGTGGGTGCAGGAATCTCAGCTGCTTCTTCGGCGGAATACGATCCTGTACCCCCCACCCCCCCTTCCCAGAAATGGGCATTCATGCGAAGAAGCCAGGCAGTTTAAGATGGCTCCTGAAACAGGATCTTGTTCCTTTCGGCTTTTTCGAACAACGAACCTCCGCGCGTTTTCACAGCTACTGGCATCTGCTACACTTTTGACGGCCAGCATGGAAAGTAAAGGGGCCTCTACTTGTAGTTCGAGGATGTGTTCGTTTTGCTTGGGCATCGGTTTAAGCCTAAACCCGAAACCTGGGAGAACTTTGAGCCGCTTGCAGGGTGAATCGCAGTCCCAAGCTCGGCAACCACAGGAGAAGGACTTCGTGCCACGTGTTGTGGTTGGTCTGCCTGTTGTAGATTGTGCAGGGTTTCGGGTTGCAGAATTTACTTGTATAGAATGGCACAGACATATCTCAGGGTTTGTCTTGCTTTGACTGTGATCAGCGCTATGTGGCAAGGCAGCTCTCACCACGGCAGAAACACACATGTGCGGCTCATATGGGGATCTTTAAAAGCCGAAACGGTGGTGGGCGTCCGTTGGTGTGACTGTGAGGGTGTGTGTGTGTGTAGGTGTGCAGATCTCAATCTCTGTCACTGTGGCTGTGGCACCACAGCAAGTGCACAGTTGAGAGAGGATGCCGGAGACCCCTGCGTGATCCCAGCCTGACTGCAGCGTTTCGGTTGAAACCCAACACCGCGAAGCGACCACCCAAGCAACACAAACTTGATGCTTAAATGCAAATTTAACCCTACACCAAAAGCCCTGCAAGCCCTAAGCCCAGCACAGCACCACAAGAGCCTTTGCTTTCGGACTAGACCTCACCCCCAAGTCAAGCATCTACCTCCAGATTTCATAGCCTTTTGCTAGCCATGGAGCAGGCCTCAGAGGAGGATGCTAAGACCCATGCTGTGGGTATTGATCTTGGCACCACCTACTCCTGTGTGGGAGCTCTCGGGACAGAAATGTGGATTTTCTACATGAGCATCGGACAAAACCTCTGGAAGATGTAGCCATGATTAGAGGAGTCATATGAACTATGACGAAAACCGATAGGGGCCGACCCTCAACCGATACCCAGCTCCCATAGATAATTCCTGCATAACCGATAAGGGGGCCGACCCTATTCCACGCGGCAGTCAGGACATACTAGAGGTCTGGACCGCTACTCACATGACCTAAATATGTGTCTTGCTTGTTCTTGATTTGGGGTGGACATATATTTCAGTTGAAGGATTTTGTGTTGAATGCAATATATGTTTTGGAATTTGGAGTTCCTACCTACGGCAGAAACCAAGCCTTTGAGCATGTGCCGCCCAACGAGCTGTCTGCAAAGGTCTACAAGGATGGAGAGGTCCAGATCATTGCGAGCCTTTGCACAGACTTCCAGCAACACTGCAAACAATGCTGAGTGTAATGGAATCATGTAGTTTGGCGTGTATTGCTTCTCTTCTTCAAGGGAGTTTGCGTACACTTGGGTCCACTTGAAAGCTTTTGTTGTCGTGAACCCCACGAAGCCTGGGCTACGCGGCTGGCAAAAGGCAAGCAAGCTTACCAACTGGCATGGAACACCTGAGCTCGCAAATGTCACGAGGTGCGGTGGCATCCATATCTGTCAGAGTTGCGGTTCAGGATCATAAGGGTCTATGGATTATAGTATCATTAAAGTAGTATAGTAGTTTTGTCGTATAGTTTTAGAGCATTACAGCATTTTAGTATTCTAGTATTGTAGCATTATCATATCCTGATTGTTTGTTTATACTATTGCTGTCTATAGGGCTTCGGGCTGCCAGACTCAGGAACGACCAGGGGAACCGCACGACGCCATCGTATGTGGCATGGACGGAGCAGGACCCCAAAGACGTGTAAGGAATGAACGTAGCCTGTGGGACCTCTTTAGCTTCTGTGCAGGTGTAGCATGGTTCAGGCATAATTCCTCTGCGACTCCTCTCATGTCTTTTGGCCCAGGGCAAGTTTTGGAGGACTGTCGTCAAGCAGATCCGTGGTAGCACAAGGTTGGACGGCTTAGGATGCAGTCCCCTCACTTTGCCGCGCTTCAAAGCCTACAGCCCACCGGAAGAAAAGAGCTGCCTGAATTGAATTCAAAGAAACTAGATGTAGTGGCGCAGTGGCTATGATTTGCTTATGACATCTCGCGGACATCCCTGCAGCGCGGTTCGCCCAGCAATATGGCGGTTTCCGAAAATAGGGGGTACCTTTTTTGGGGGTCCCTTTAAGGGGATTCTATTCTATTTGGACATAAACCTCCCCCTAAACCCTAAACCCCTATCTTGGGAACCCCCCCCCCCCCCGTAGAGCAATGTTCCAGGAGCGGCTCCTCGGCGATGCTGCGAAGAACCAGGCGACACTGAAGCTCTTTGAGTCAGGATTCTGGACAGAGTGCAAGTGTAAGTATCTTGTAGAATTAGCAATAGAAAAATAGCAATATATAGAGATATCGCAGAAAAGAAGAGGCTTCGGCTGGTTTGGTTGGTAATCTGCGGAGGTTTCTGCAGCACCTAAAGGACTTTCCTCCTGTTGGCCTCCACCCATGTACGAGGTCGCGAGCAACCCGACCAACACTGTCTTCGATGCCAAGCGATTAATCGGGAGACGGTTCGACGACCCAGTGGTGCAGGCGGGCTGAAGGTAGCACGTAGCACGAAGGGCCCACCATCGCCCATCTTTATTGGGAGTCAAGGGTTTGGAGTTTTTTGTGAAGCAGGTTGAGGGCCTTTGCGTTTTTTCAGGGGGTCCTGACTAAGCCGGTTGTTGTGAGTTTGCTTGGGGATTTGTTTGTTTGGGGGGGGGGGGGGGGCTTCTCGGTTGCGGGCGCCTAGGCTCTTTTTCTTCTAGCAGGTTCATTGCTTGGAGGTCTCGAGGTGGACACCCACGGTCGAAATCCAGGCCAAAAAACATTGCGAGCAAGCTAGTACGCCATCTGGCGGCGGTGGGGTGGGGGGTGGGGGAGGGGAGTTTGAATGTTTGGGCCCTAAACCCACCCCCCCCCCCCCCAAAAAAAAAAAATATAATAAATAAATAATCATAATAATACTAATAATCATAATAATAATAATAACAGTGTGAGAGTCCAATCCTAAAACCCCCTCTCATGAGTCCCTGTGAGGCCGACCTTAAGCTTTGGCCATTCAGAGTTGTCTCGGATGGCACGAAGGATGACAAGCCTTTGATTGAACCTTCGGCAGCTTTGGGACATAGGCTTGATTAGGGCGTTTTTTTCCCCACCCTCGGTGTGGGGTTGTTAGATTTCAAACTCAACTCGTTTAGTAGGGTTTGTAGGGCTTAGGGTGAAATCAGTAAGCAGAAACTGGTGTGCAGACCTGCAGCAGAAGGGTGCAACAGTACGACGTGTTGCCGCTTGCTTTCCATCACGCTGTAACGCGATGAAAAAGCTCTTGTCCAAGGAAGTGCTTTATCAGGGCGTCCTCAAGAAGTTCCATCCTGAAGAGATTAGCTCCATGATCCTGACCAAGATGAAAACAACGGCAGAGGCATACCTTGGACATCGCGCTGCTGTGGCCGCAGCACACCCATGCCATAGTCACAGAAGCACAAGAAAACTAATTATCGCCACAACGCCAAGACACTAATGGCACTGATGTCACTGATGTCGGTCTCACGGTAGGGAGTCGTTGGTAATGTTGGTAAGCCGGTGCTTGGCTTTCTGAGCCCAGCGAAGCTCAGGTCAAGGATGCCGTGATCACTGTTCCGGCATACTTCAACGACGCCCAGCGCCAGGCAACGAAAGATGCAGGCGAGATTGCTGGCCTGCGGCCCGGGCTGCAAAAAGACTGCAGCCATCTACAGACCCTGGAGCTAGAGGGGACGTGGGGCTCCTGGACAGGTGTTCCAACCGACAGTCTGGCCCTACCAAAACTTAGATTAACTTTTTGAGTTTGGGAACCAGGACACTGCCAATGAAGAAAGCCCCTCGGCGTGCTTTTCGATGCTCGTACCCCACTTCCTCATTCCATCCCAGGCGGGTCTTAAGGATCGTGAACGAGCCAACAGCTGCGGCCATCGCGCATCTTGGGCCAGTCTGGGATTCCTCACGTAGTCGTTAGGTTCAAAGGGGTTTTGGGATGCTCTGAGTCTGGGTTCAACAAATGGATGTCGCAAAGTTGCTCTTCCAGGGCATTTGGCTTCAACAAAGGATGTTTGTAGCTTATGATATTTACAGGATCGGTTTCAGGGCATGGTGGTTATGAGGAGAGGTTCCGATGAGGACTCCGTGTCATTCCATGGGTCAGGCAGGCAAGCTTGTGGCTCTTGCACGGGGCGCTTAGCACGTGTTTTTGCGGATTGAGAGACATGGCGCAAGAGGGGAGTGAGACAGAGGTATGGCTTGGACAAAGACTCCACCGAAGCGAAGAAGTCAGAGAAGGAGACGACAGACCCAATTTCTACCTGGCACCTGCCACATGTTCGGGATCGGACGTGTCGAAGTAGACCTCCATCAGCAACCTAAAACAAAACACGGCTGCAAGGCCATTGCAGTACCTTGGCATCGAGCCAACGATGCCCTGCTGACATCTCCGTGTGAACCTCTCCCGACTCTAAACGACCTCCCCACAATGGGTGCGGCACGGGGGAAGGGGGTGTGCTTAAAAACATGAAAAGTTGCGGCTGCGTCTTCACCCCCAATAACTTCCTTCCTCACAATGACTGGGCATCCAACATTTCATCTTTCGCTTCAGCACCTGGCAGGAGACGAATATCCTCGTGTTTGACATGGGTGGTGGGACCTTTGATGTCTCAGTCCTGGCCATTCAGGCGGGGCACTTCCGATGGGTGCCATACACAGTCAGGAAGAGTGAAACCTTGTCACTGCCGTTGGCATTCTTGAAGTTGGTAGAGCTTCTGCCGCCTCGAGGCCGCAGTCCTGATTACCTGGACTGCAATACTTTTGTTCAACCTTCACCTCGCGCCTCACACCAGGACTCTGTGTTCGAAGTCAAAGCGACAGCTGGCGACCCCCATCTTGGCGGCGAGGACGCTCCGGGTCATAGTTGCTTCTCATCGACTCCGCATCTGAGGGCACAAGGGTCCTCGAATGTGCTTAGCGTCGATGTGCCAGTGTGACACTGTAAATGCGTATGCAACCCGGCCTGCGGGCCCCCCAGCGTTTGACTGACGACAGAACATGCTCAAACTTCCAAGGATTTTGACAATCGAATCCTTAGCCACTGCATCGCCGACTTCCGAAGGACCCGCCTATAGATATTGGATGAGGTGTAATCATGTCTTCCCATGTGCAGTGTCCATTGCAGTATGACTGTATGCATGGGTTTCTCGACTGCCACGAACTGTTCGGCAATTGAATGCGGTGGGTTGTTTGTCTGTCTCAAAACCTGGTAGTTACAGAAGCCTCAAGCTCCTCAGTCCTTTGTACCCAGAGAAGGAAGTTTGGGGTGGACCCGACTCGCAACCAGCGCGCGCTGCGCCGCCTGCGCACTCAGTGCGAGAGGGCGAAGAGGTTCGGCTCGTAGACATCCCCAGTTCAGGGTTTGCGCATCTGCAGGGGCTGAGAAACCCAAAGGAGTTTTCATGTCGTTCAGATCTTCTTGTTAAATTGATAGGAGAGCTTTCCGGCCCAAGGGCAATTGAACTGAGTTGTCCTAGGGTTTGCTGCGCTTGCGGTCTGCATGTAAGTTCGACACGGAAATCGCAAATCGAGAATCTCTAGCACGGCCACATGCCAATCCTATGCTCCTTCATACATCTTATTTACCTTCACCACAGGCAGCTGTCAACACAAACATCCGTGACCATCGAGGTGGATTCCCTGCACGATCCTGGGCCCTGTGAAGTTTGCGGCTGTTCGGGTGTAGGGTTTAGGGTCTAAACCGTGGAGAACAGAAATTCCGGCAAATTCGATGTGAACTTGCTGTGTTGGCATGAGAGAGTCAATTAAATAGGGCGCCCGATACAAACCCACAAAATCTCAGCGCAAAATACAGGGTCCACCTGTCTGAGGTGCAGAAGATACCTTCCTGTCGTTAGTTTCCTCTTGGGCCCCTTCTTCAACCTTCATCCAAGGATGGCAACGACTTCAGCCTCAGGCTCTCTAGAGCCAAGTTCGAGGAGCTGTGTATGGAGACTTGCCGGAGAGATCAAAGGAAGGCCCGCAACCCTGAACACTCCGCCGGAGCACCTTTCAGGGTTGCAAGGTGTGTGTGTGTGTGTGTGTGTGTGTGTGTCAGCCCTGGGTGGGTACAGAAAGGGTTGCCTCAAAAAAGTTTGTGCATCTCGGCAAGAAGATGTACTCACAGAAGTCCGAGCCAATGACCATGGCAGCTGGAGAGCGATTGTCAGTTTCCGAGAGAGAAGGCAATCGCAACTGGCCCAAAATCCCCCCGTGCTTAGTTTCACTGTAGGTTTTTGTTCCCAGAACTTTTGTTGTCCGCACAACAACGCCCGTGCTTCTTTTTCACAGCAGATGGGGTGAAAACAGTTGCAATGAACTTCCGCAGTCAGTGAAGCGAGACGAGTGAAGAGATGCCCACCGGCCACGCAAACAAGCTGTGAATCTTACATCCCTTTCCGAGTATAATCCCGGAGCAGAAAACCCAAGGGCAGGAAGAGATTACATAATCCTCTTGCAACGTGCTTCCAGAAGCTGCACGCAAGGACTACTTCAAGAAGGCAATGGAGCCTGTGGAGCAGTGCTTGAAGGAGCTCGTGGAAGCAATGGGTTAAACTCAGCCGAGTTTAAACGGCCGCCTGAGAGGCACAGTGAAAGTTGCATAGACTTGCTAGTGTTAACGCTTCTTTTTGAGCTGGATGAACGAATCACAGTGATAGTGAGACGAAGCGTGGAGGACAGCAACCTACCGCAGAAGGCGATCTCGGATATCGTCATGGTAGGAGGCCGCCTGGCGTACTCCGTTCATCAGCTTGGTGTAGAGGGTTAATCACGGCGCGGGGCAAGTAGCCTTCCACAAGTCGACAGGCTTCATGCAGTGGTTTCGCCAGTGATGACAAAGTGAAGGGCTTTTGAGCAAGTCAGCGACACTCGTGCCACACAGTGGCAGAGTCGTATGAGTCTTTTGGCATCCGAGCGGCGCTGGCTAGTTGTTTGGAGTTATCTGAAGCCTTGCCTGGCGCGTGCGAGTGCGAGAGTAGGTGGCTGGCAAACAACGCTGACCCTGGCACTGTGCAGGATCCACGCGCATCCCGAAAGTCCAAGAGCTCATCAAAGGACAAAGCTACGTATCGGGGCATCGAAGCAGTTCCTGGACTAAAAGTACGTAGGGTTTATCGGACGGGGTCCTCCTCGCATCGCGGCTACCCACAAAGACGGTTACATGGGTATAGTGTCTTGGAGTGGCCGGGTGGGCTTAATCAAGGAGGCCCCATGCACAGCCATAATCTATCGCCCGGAGTAGGGCCTAGCCTAACCTACCTCCCGGCCTTGGACGATGGCAAACCCCTTCCATTGGTCCTGAAAACAAGCAGCAGCGAAACCTGTGCAGGACACTTTGGCGGGAAGGAGCTTTGCAAGAGCATCAATCCGGATGAGGCTGCCTAGACGTGATACATTCGTGGCCCTAAACCTGATTCCAAACCTGGTACATCAGGTAGCTGCGGTAGTACAAATTTTGTTACATTGCTTTGGAAGTCTCTGCTGCCCGAGGTTGAGCACAGGCGACAGAGACATGTTCCCCTGCCCCCTGCAGTGACGCGAGAAAGTTGCCTCCGGCCATAGCTAGTTGACTGTTAGTTGTTCTCAAATTTGTCTACATGTGGCAATATAAAAAAACAAATTCCAACATCACAGAATATAATATATTTAAATACAACATGCGCAAAGTGCGAGAGTCAAAATCCTTCTCTGGTTCAGGGAAGTAATTAGGTCGTCATCATGACGGACAAGCTCAGTCCTGGAGTGGAAGCTATGGAAGGTCTATTGTGACCTTGGGACCTTGAGTCTTTGGGGTTTGGGGTTTGCGGTTTAGGGTACCCTAAACCCTAAACCCTAAACCCTAAACCCTAAACCCTAAACCCTAAACCCTGTTTAGGGGGTGTCAAGCCTGGCTCTCGTGCCGTCGTTGCAGGCTGTGGCCTACGGGGCTGCCGTGCAGGCCGCGATCGTCTCTGGCCAGGGCCATGAAGACGTGCAAAACATGCCGCTGGATCCAGAAACACTGTGTTGGTTCAGGTGGCGAGATTCCGCTAGATTCAGGGCCACTTCAGGTGATCTTCACAGCCAACGAAATTTCAAGCAGGAGTTCAGGTGATCTAGGAGTTGTGCTTTGTGCTCAAGGTTAAGGTGTTTTGATCGCTTACCGTGCAGGCTGTACGGAGCTGCAGCCCGAATACTGCATATGCAGCCGGCAGACCGAAGGCAATTTGAGACACGTTTTCTGAATAGGAAACGCCTAGGACATCAGGCATTTGATGCGGGCACATTTTGCACGTCACCATCCCAGCGCGCCTGATTCCTCAGGCTTTTGCTGGACGTGGCCCCGCTGTCTCTGGGTATCGAAACAGCCGGAGGCATGATGCAGGCAGTTGGGGCTGAGGTTTTGGGGTCAGGATTCTGGGTTCAGGGTTCAGTTCAGGCTCTCGCTTGCAGATTAGCGGTGTTCTCGTGCGACTGCCGGCTGCTCCAACAACGACCGACAAGTCCGGCGGAATCGGTGGTAGTGCACCACTGGCCGCTGAAGTGTTTTCAAATTGCTCCGTAACTGGCTTGACCCCATCCTGCACGACAACATCTCCTGCTACCGTACATGCATGCCAGTACACACTGAGCATCTCTGCTTGACACGCTCGATGCTTTGTCTGGGGTTATGGCTATGGGCCATGGTTCTGCTCATTCTCAATTAGTTTTTAAAGACCGGTTGCAATGATTCCTGCCTCTGGCGATGTGGCTTGTCAGGTCTTGATCGAGAGGAACAGCACAGTTCCCACGAGCAAGAGCCAAGACTTCACCACTTTTGAGGACTACCAGGACTGGGTATTCACTTGGCGAAACTCACGGCTCCCCATCGCCGACCCAAGAACACATTCTTGACGCTCAACTGTAAACTCTGTATGGGGGGTTTCCGAAATTAGGGGTACCGTATTGGGGTCATTATAAGGGAATCCTACCACCATTTGGGCGTCTCTAATAGGCGTCCCTTATGTTCGTAAACCTCCATATGAACTCTATGGAAGTTACATATTTCTGTACAAGCCAGTCGTGCTGTAAGCACCGAAACATCTGTCAAGGCCTGGCTTGTCGGGTCCTGAAGAGGATCACGTGGACATCTCTGTCTATGAGGGGGAGAGGGCCATGGTCAAAGACAACAACTTTCTGGGCAAGTTCACCTTGAAGGACCCATCTAATTCTCCCCGGCAGTTGTCCCCAGAAGCTGGTGCTCTGATCAGAGACTTTGGGAGACTTGGTACCCTGCACAATGCCTGGAAAGGACATTCCTTATTTGTATGCATGTATGCATATATATACATATATGTATACACACACACAGAGCTCAGGAAGCCAATGCTAGAGGTGTGGCACCGCATGTTTCTTGCTTGATTCCGAGGCACAATCTCGAGAGGAGGCCCTTGAACTCGCCTGAGAGGACATCCCGAAGTCTTTGCGGGGCGTTCCAAAGATCCAGGTGACCTTCACCATAGACACCAATGGCATTCTCCAGGCCTTCTTGGGGGTGGAGAGGGTGGAGGGGGTGGAGGGGGTGGGAGGTTGAGGGTTTAGGGTTTAGGGTTTAGGGTTTGTTCTTTGCGGAAGGGGGGTGTAGCAAGCTCTGTTGACCAATATGAACGGACCTCGCGTGTCGAGGACATGTCCCGATATGCAGGTCAGTGCCGAGGACGCGAAGTCCCAAAAGAAGAGCTGCTGGTCGAATTGGGTCGTGTAAAGTCGTAAAGGGACTCTTCATGACAGGCCGCTTCTGCGTTCGTTGCTGTTTAGCTTTGTTTGGGGCACACAGGTTGGAGTCCAGCATGGGACCAAGACCGAGATCACAGTTGCACACCAACCCTCGCACCTCAGGCGAGATCCAGATCGCGAACGAGAAGGGGCGCCTCACGCAGAATGATATTCAGAGGCATTCCCGCAGGGTCCCAGGGGCAGCCCGGGCTGTGGGCATCGTCCAGTGCTTGTTTTGAGGGTTTCGCTTTCACAGTCTGGTGTCCAGATGTTTCGAAGGCGTGTAACAAGCATCTGAGCATGTGTTATTCTTCTTCCTGAATCGATCATCCCACTGCCAAGTCCTGTATCAGGAAGTTAAATCAGTTTCTGCCCCTCAGCACTGGATCCCATGCTTGATGCACCCCCGGGTTTCAGAGGAGTTTGGGGCTTGCAGGCTACAGTACTCGTAGGGCTCGTATAAGGCAATCTGTTACATCTGCCATGCTGGGGCTCACAGGATGCTTCAAGAGGCCGAGCAACACAAGGGCGAGGACGAGATTCCTGCCTGAAAGCCTGGGTTTGGGGACAGGGCATGGGGCTTAACTCGAGGCTTTGTGTGTGTGTGTGGAATTCTTCATCATATCTGGTCCTAAACTCACACTTCCTAGCTTCCAGCTCAGGATATCTCGTGGCGACCTCTTGGCCAAGGAGGAGTTGAAGGACGGAGATTGGGTTGGGGCCATCGGGTGCGGAGTGGATTGTGACCCAATCTCCAAGGATAGAGCTAGGCATGGTCAGAGAATTGGTTCTGAGAGAGGGTCAAGTGCCACGCAGCAGGTCTACATGCAGCGCTTCGAGAAGGGCTTTCAGGACGAGGGACACTGTATCAAGACTGAGAGACTCGTGGCCAGGTATTGGTGCGAAGGTGTCTGAGGTGCGTCAGAATCAGCAAGATTCGGGAAGCATGGCCGTGAATCTGACCCCATTCCACGTTCCTTCCGTTGAGAGGCTGAGTTTCTGGCACAGGGGCACAGGGAACCAAACTCGCCGCAGTGGACAAACACTTCGTGACTGGATGTTTCAATTTAGTCTGTTTTTCATGCGAATGAAAACAGCATAGCGTCATAGCAGCCAACCGGGATATATATAATATGATATAATATAATATAATATAACATATTAGAATATAATATCATATAATATCTTATAATATCATATAAAATAAAATAAAATAATATAATATAATATCTTATAACATAATATACATACGTGTACATATATACCTGGGGTCGATTTCAGAACCACAAGAGGAAAGCCTAAAGCTTCGCCAAGCCGACCAGGACCTGGACCAATCCAAGTTGCAACCAAAGGACCGAGAGCGGCTAGCACCTGGGCTTGAAACCCTTCAAAGGCATGTCTAAAGCTTTGCAAGCTTTGGGGGCGTTTAGGGTTTAGGGTTTTGAGTCCAGTGGGCGAAAGGGCTTAGGGTTTAGGGGAGAGCACCCTTTAGGCTACGGAAGCTGAAGTCGGAGCAGGGAGAAAAACTTGGCCCATCTATGACTGCTGGTGGGATAAAGCCATAGACCGCCTTGACATGGTCTTTTGCTTTTGTTCACCTTGGGGGGGGAGGGGTACCTCGCCCTGCGATGTGGTCTGGAGACTTGGCGTTTGGGGCGTAGATTGCTTGATCAGAGAGGCTGAAGATGCAGGTCAATGAGCTCGCAAGGCGCTAGCTCTTTCCCGTGTCGAAAGTGCCTTGCTGAATGCTGCTGCTAAGGAGGGCAAATTGATGGATGCACAGAAGTGGCTCGAGACGGAGGGTCTCAAGGCCTGCAGCAACATGGGGGCAGCTGCCAAGATAATTTGTGGATGAAGCTAAGCTCTCGGCTCCCGGCGTTTTGTGGACCAGACTACGCAGGCGACCCGTAGAATGTGTCAACAGTCTGGAGGTGGGCACAGGGCACCAGCTCAATCGAGGAACCGTAGAGCTAGGCAAGAAGTTGTGCAATGAGGCGTGCATCAAAAACGGAGGCCATTTCCCATTCCCAAGTGCCTCACAGCATGACAAGAGGCTGGCAAACCGGAGTTCGAAGCCAAGCAGAAGGAGCTTCAGGCGGCGATCAACACCGTCACCCAGCAGCACTTTCCCTTTTGACCACAGAAGTTTGAGGTCAATGGCATGTGGGCTTCCAGTCGGATACAGGGGAGAGAGATAGTTGAAGGCCCGGCTCCACATGTACTACGTGGGAGTTCTTTATGCAGCTATGCGTTCATCTGGCGAGCTTACGCCGGACTTCACAACCCTCAGAAGACGAGTGTATGCCAGCAATTGCATTATCATTGCTGCTCTGTGCACATCATTAGAATTTTGGGCAGGAAGCCCAGTTCACAGCCTCACCTTCTTGCCAGCGTGTTGACACCGACCATCAACGAGTTCAAGTTACACAGTACTGGATGAGAATGCCCACGTCCCAATCCCTACAATACCCTGAACACCAAAGTCTCATGCGTGAGGGTCCAAACCTTCGACCTGCTTCTCAGCCCGGTTCGGGGAACCATTCGCGAGTTGTGAGCGACGAAGCCAAGAAGGTTCAAGGTGCCGACCGGGAAATTCCGTTGAGTCTCAACTTTCGCACTCCAGCAAAGGTCATGCTGCGAATCAACCGAGCGCAGGCCGAGTTCTGGGATCAGCAGGTGCCTCTCTCCAACAACAGTGGCAAGATCTGTCCCTGTGAATTGGGAACGTGCGGTTTGCGTGGTTTAGTTCGGTGTGGAATGCAAGTTTCGAGTTTCAGTCGGAGTTTAATGGGCCAGTTGCTGAGACTGTTGAAAATCGAAATGGCGATTCAGATCTTCCGGGATTTAGGCAGCCGTGCTCCCCCGCCAACTAGCCCATGCACACAACCAGCTTGCCTATCTGTTTTCCCAAGCAGGTTCCAACCAAAGCAGCCAGCTCGCAACTGCAAGGCGTAAGTCAACATCAAAGTTCCATCCTGGCTTCGATTTGATGTAATTATAGGATGGTCAGAGATCCCAACCTCCCAACCTCTAGCAAGTCCCGCAAGCTCCAGAAGCACGGAGGTTGTGCAGCATGAGGGTGAGAAGAGCATTGCTGATGGGGGCTTCATCCTCCAGTGCGGGGTCGACATCCGCGAGCTGATCGAGGAGCCGCAGTGAGGAGCCCCTTGGCCCATTGGCGTTGAGGGTTTTAGGGCGGGACCTTAAACCCTAAAGCCCTCAACTTCCTAAACCCTACAGTTTAGGGTTGGACCTTAAACCCTAAAGCCCTAAACTTCCTAAACCCTAAGCCGGCGCAGCTGCTGCGCTGTTTCGTGGCTGGGGTGCACCCAAAAAGCCCTAAACTACCTCTGAGGCTCGGCGCCGAGCTCGTAGTGAAGCAGTTTGTAAAATAAAAGCATGGTGGGGAGGGGTGGAGCAAGTGCGCCTTGACATTCCCAGGTCACATTTCACTTTCTGGGATGATTTGCTCAGGGCTGAAGGTAGGGTGTGGGCCCGGCCCAGAAGCACGTGACGGCCCTGACAACATGCCATACCATGCTACCATGCCTGGACTTCTGTAGCCAGCAACAAGACGAAGTTCATGTGATCGGCGGTATATAACGGACACATCCTGAGAACTCGCCCCCTCAACACAGTGCCGACCGAGTGCCAGCAGCAGAAACTGGACTTGAGGTCCCGAAGCATCTTCAACGGTCAAGACGACGTCAGTACCAATGCTTGCATTGCAAATGCCGAGCTGTGGCTGGGTGGAGGTCGCGGACGCAGAGGCTGCAGAAGTAGATGCTTGTAGCTCCCAGACTCCCAGATTGCTGGTGATGGAGAGCTGGAACCAAATGGAGGCGAAGCTGGGGTGCGAAGCACAACATAGTTTTCAAGCTAGTCTCAGTGTTTCTTTGACAACGGCCTCCGTTGCTATGCAGTCTGTGCCTGACAGCTATGTGGCAAGTAGGCCTTTTGAAGTCACTGTGTGGTGAAGATCACCTGCTGTGACTCAGCGCTTTTCCATTGCTGCCACTGCCTCTTGCACAGGGGGCATATGCTTCAGACGATACGAAGGGATGATGGAAAAGTCCGGGCAGCTTCCATTTCACCAGTACATTTTGGACTCTTCAGAGAGAAAGCTGAGTGCTCTTCAGTCCCAAAAGCCCAGCTGACGCTAAGACTCAGCCCGAACTTCCTCAACTTCCCAGAGTCTAGAGCCCAGTATGCCTTCTATTCTGCCAAGCTCGCTTCTGCCAGCCTCTTGTGGCAGAGTAGGAGTTCGATCTACGGCTTCGAAACAGCCTCCTCCATTTCAAGAAGCGAGAGCCCAACACAGGTGTTTTTGCCAAAGCCGTGACATCGGCCGGGCGAGTGGCACCAAAGCCCGAGTCAGATACATCCCAGCGCTCCATCTCTGCTTACATGGAGCGGCCTTGGCAATTGCAAATGTGACAAGTGCAACTTCTGCATTCTGTCCGATTCTATCCATGCCATGTTTGGTGCAGCAAAGGCTTGGACAAGAGGGACGAGGGGAAAATTCCGCAGCGTTCGGCCCAGAGGGGGGCCTTGCCAGCCCCCCCCGTAGGCGGGGGCGCAGCCATGGATCCCACAATCATCCTCAACACCTTGACTGGCATCGATGCAGCGAGGCTGGTTTAGGAGCTACATGGAGGCCACTGTGAGATGTGTAGGATCTTAGGACTGGAGTTGGGCTTCTCTAGCCCGTTTGCCGCTGCATGAGCTGAGTATGTCAAACAAGTTCTTTAGCTGAACTTTAGCTACCATCTATTTATGTACTGATATGCTTGATAGGAACTCTTATACAGAGCGGAGCATCGGCTCTGTGCCAAGGACAGCATTCTGGCCACGGTTCTGGCGCAGCTCATGCAAAGTAAGCCAGAGCTTGCCCCAGGACTGGTCAATGTAGCTGGGCAAAGCTTGGCAGGCTTTCAGAGTGTGGAAGTAGGGTTTATGCGGGTCAAGCAGGTGTTGTGAGTGCGCAGACTTTTTTGTGCATGCTCGGGTATTCTGGGAGGCCTCTGCAAAGCCCTCCTCCCTCAAGCCGAAAGGACCCCAGTCTCCGGGATGGGGGAAGACGACACATGGAATGGGGGGGAAATGCTTCAGAGTAAAGAGGTTGATGCGAAGTTCACGGGCGATTTTTTTGACAACCTGAACTCTGGACTCGCATGTGCCTCGCCTTGTCTCCGCTGTGTGTGGCCGAAGCTGAGGTTTGCGTTCCGGACTTGACCTTTGCCCCCAGCAAAGCGCTGACAGAGAAGCGCTGCATAGGCACCATAGGTAATCTGAACCCAGCCCGGGCCCCAGCGTGCGGGCTCACTCGGATGCTCCACTCTGAGGCTCCGAATTGTTTGCTGTTACTTCTTTGGCCTTCGGGTCGCCTTCTCATCGTACCTCTGGTGAACCTCTGCCATTGCACGTCAAAAAAAAGACTTTGCAACACTCAGTGCCGCCAAGCGCTATGGCCCCTGAACTTTGTGACATCGTCGGCTGGGAGAACGCGCTCGCTCACCTTTAGACCGTGCTGTTTGCGTGCACCGAAATCGGCCGTCGTTCCCTCGAGAGATGCCCTTTCAGTCCCAGAGTCTCCAAGCTCCGAGGCGATGGGTATGGGCTTCATCAACTGCCCTGAGCTCAGCGCGGCACCTCGACCTCTTTAGGGTTTAGGGTTTAGGGTCCCAACTTGCGTGTTTCCGTTGGGCTTTGGAAGGCCTAATCGTGGTCGAATGCAGGGTGCCTGATATCGGCAAGAATGGCTAGAAGGGTTACAGGGTGCACCTTGGACAGACATCTTGGGACGCCAGCGAGCCTCTGAGCCCTTTGCAGATTCACTGCACAAGTGGCCATAAGTGGCCTTCTGGCAGAAATCCATTACTTTTGGGAGAGAAAGGGTCACAGAAACAAAGATCCCAACGGCACAGATAGACGTCCGATCCTGACGGCAGTATAGGAAAGTCCCGTGGCCACCTTCATGTGCCAGAGGTCTTCGGCTGCGATGTGATGGTGAAGGCACTTCAGCTAGGCAACTTCGTCGAGGGTCCGGCCCCAAGTTCGTTGGATCTGGTGGGATATGTTGAGTGTGCCGGGGTGCATCATGGGTGTCTTTTAACGTTAAAAGGCCACACAAGTTCTCGGATAAGTGTGTGTGTGTGTGTGTGTGCCCTTTAGCTTGGTGCAACTTGCTTTGACTACGTATGATAGTATCTGGCTGAGGACAAGAGGTCAACTTCGCTGTGACCTTGAACGAGGAAAACAAGCCTCAGGCCTTCGACCTGGCAGACAACAAGACCGGTTTGAATGGTGTCCCGCCGCTGGGCTGTGGCATGGGTTGTGGAGGAATGCCTTCAATGGGAGACATGGGCTGTGGTGGGATGGGCTGTGGGATGGGTGGCTGCGGCTGTGGTGGCTGCGGCGGTTGTGGCTGCGGAGGTTGCGGCTGCGGCGGTGGCTGTGGCTGCGGCGGCTGCGGCTGCGGCGGTGGGTGTGGCTGCGGTTGTGGCTGCGGAGGCTGCGGCTGCGATGGCATGGGCGGGGACATGATGGGCATGACGCCACCTCAGGTGCTAATGCATTCTACATTGTACTGTAGGCATAATCAAGACGATTTTGAGCTGATTCGCTTGTCAGACGGACACTCGTAGTCGATGCCTGTGGCACACAGCAGAATCCATCTTTTGAATCGCCCAGGATGGGTGGAATGATGGGAGGTCCCGGACCCAAAGGTGGTGGAAAAGCCAACGAGGAGGTCCCTCAGGGCGCAGCGGTTGGGGTCAAACCGAAGTGAGGGATAGGTCAGGTATGCCACATCTTATCACAAAGGCTCTTATCATCACACAACATCTCGTAAGATGAAGGGGCAAAAAGTCGCGAAAGAAACAATATGTAGTAGGCGGGGTGTGATGTTTTCCAGCTGCCGCAGCACTGCCTCGCCAGGTCCTGGGAGAGTTCTACGGGATCATTAAAAGCTACAACCCAGAGAAAGGCTGGAAGAGGGGCCATACATGGAGGGGGGGTCAAATTAAGAGTGCAAGGCTGCTGCTGCAACAAATGGTAGACCTGCTTTGCTGTTTAGGTTTGGGCAACACGCAGACCCCTTAGGCAGACTCCATATAAGCAAGCCCACAGACGGGGGTCTTGTGGGAGGCTTCGGCTTCATCGCGTGCGATGCGCTCAAGCAGCAGCACGAGGGCGATGTCTATCTTAATAGCAGGCAGGGCGGCAGGGCGTTGTTCTCGTCTCTGTCGCATCGAGGACCTGTCAGATGTGGGCTGGTGAGGGGAGCGAGACCTTGCGAAGATTTTGGCCTGCCTCATGATGTCGCAAACTTTGGTGGTGTTAGGTGGATTTTCTTAGTGAATGCCAAGTGCCATGGTGAGAGCTGGTTTCACGGCGGCCCCATCTTGACACCACTCCTTCTTCCCAAAATATCCCTGCAAATATACACCCCAGGATTACGCCGCTCCAAACACCGACCAAGAGCCTGCCAGGCATGTGGGCGACTTCAAAGTCGGCCAGGAGGTGAAGTTTCTTCGTGCATATGAAGCAAGCCCACGAAGCTCTAGTGTAGCTGGGGACTTCTCTTTATACCTATCACCCCCTACACTCCTCAGCTTCCTGAGCGTGCGACATGGTGTGCCAGGCAGGTGCCAGAAAATCCTACAACACCTACATATTATTATTAAAAAAATATATATATATATATATATACCTGTCTATCTCGTGAGTTGGGTGTGTTTCGCGCCGAGTTTGCGGCGGTCCGCGGCGCGTTTTGGGGGGCCTCGGCTCGGGCTAAGGTTCCAAGCTTTCCTGCACAATGGCCGGCTACAAGGCATCTGAAGCGGCCAAACTGAGACTCCTGTGCTTGTTAGGGTTTCGAGTTCCTGCAGTTGGGTATTCTCCTCCTGGCTCCCCTCCAGCCTCCTTGCGCAGGCCGCGAACTGCAGGTGTTTTGGCTGCATCGGGAGCTCAGCCCCCAAATATCCCTTCAGAGAATCCCCTGCGTTTGGAGCTCACATGGAATCTGAGCTTGTTGTTGCTGACGACCCAAGATTCGGAGGTTCATTGGATGACAGGCTTGATCTGAAACCTACAGAAGCAAGAAAGAATCCAATGTGGAGTAGCTCTTCTAGGCTAGGCCCTTGGCATCGAGAGATGATTCAATGGGTGAACCAATTCCACGGGCTGAGTCTTGAGGTTCCAGAATCGGTGGATCTGGCTATCGATTCGAAAGAGCTATAAGTCCCCCTAGGTCTCGCGTTGAGACCTAGTGCCCGACCTCGGAAAACCCCCTAAAATACCAGTTCAGGTGACCAGCGGTCTTCCTTTAAACTGAACATGGTTCTCAACACTATGCAACTTACAACCCAGTTCTAGGCTTGTACATGTAGCTATCTAAGGCACTTGTAGGCATACCCCCAAGTAGGATTGTCTAGTTTAGTGACGTAAGCCTCTTATAGGCGTACCCCAATACCCCTAACAGGGTTATAGTTGGGTTCTTTAAGTACCGCACCGTGAACCTCCCCGAGTTGATCCAGGATGCCACTGGGCTGGTGGGTCCTCAGAGTGGCGCAGCCCCTGGCTTCGCTGAAGAGCAGGCCTTGGGGGTTTAGGGTTTAGGGTTTAGGGGGTTAGGGTTTAGGGTTTAGGGTTTATAGGGTTTAGGGTTTAGGGTTTAGGGCTGGCTGAACAGCCGAGGAGGCAGCGCTGGCAGTCATCAAGTCCGGTTTCAAAAGGGTTTATGGTTTAGGGTTTAGGGTTCATTCGTAAGCAGGATGGGCTATCATACCCTGTAACCATCCACAACCCTTTAAAAAGGCCCTTTCATGGGTTGATTATGGGAGATTCTAAGGCCTCATATAACCAGTCCTGGAATGTAAAGTTTGAAGGAACGCGGGCCGGGTGTCGTCTTAGGCGCGTCAGAGTTGGAGGCCTTCGGGGGGTCATCTGAGCGTCAGCTTTCGGTGCGACTTGCGCTGGGAGCTTCTTTGTGGCCTTGCGCCGCTGAGCAACTGAGCAGGCGCTGCAGGCGGCAGCCAGGGTTCAGGGTTTAGGGTTCAGGGTATAGGGTTTAGGGTTCTGGAGCCTTTCTGGCCATGAAGACACGCGAAGTGTCCTTTTGGTCCTTCCGTTGGTTTCAGGAGCTCGGCATCTTCACCGGGAGGATCAAGAACTTTCATCAGGCAAGGGGCTGGGTCACAGGAAAGACTGCGGGAGCGAAATTCTGGGCCTTGTCTTCTTCAGAGATACAAGTTGTTTGGGCGAACTTAGGGAAGAGAAGGTAGAGTAGGCGCTTCTGGAAGCACATGGAGGACAGCGGAGGCATTGATAGCCATTGATAGCGCCCTGAAGGTCTGAGAATGTGACTTGATGAAACTCACAATCCCGAGTCGTCTCAGTGATTGCAAGAAAGGCTACTTCTGCGACTCTTTTGCATCAGTATATCACATGGACACGTTGAGGTTCGGGCCTTTGTGCCATTGTGTGCACCAAAGCACGAAGACCTCGCATCCTCCGCCATCAGATTTCTGAGGCCCCTTGCCCCAGGCCCCCTCGAGCCACCCCCCTCAGCGAAACTCACCGATAGTACATGTAGTCAACTGTAGTCATGTAACATACATACGCAGCTGCATGTCGCAGCAGCGCCCATGCTATCTACAAGTTCCTTGGCTCCTTGATGCAGTACTCTACTTTCTGAGCACGAAGTCACAGGACAAAGGCTTCGGCTTCATCGTCTGCGAAGCGCTGAACATGCAGGGCTTCCAGGGCGATGCCGCTCGGGCGGAATGTGGGGCCGAGGTTTTGGATTCCGGGGCTCTTCGTGTGCGGAGCTGTTTTGCTAGGCGCAGAGGCGAAAGAGTCCGGCGCCTGCAACTGCAAGTCTTGCCCCTCTTGTGGTGTAGGTGATCGTGAGACCACCCCTAAACCCTATTAGCCCTCGCTCTTGGGTGGCAGAACCAAGCTGAAGAGAGAGAATAACTTATTTAAGGCCCGTGGGGTCCCAAAATGTCAGAAGTGCAGCCAGGCTGAGTTTTGTGCTTTCGTTCGCTGCTACACCTCCAGGTCTTCCTGCATCAGAGGCACAAGGGGGAATTCAGGGAAGGCGACTTCGTTGCGTTCATGGCCGTGCTCCGAAATGGAAAGCTCCAAGCCAAGGACCGGACATGTGTCTCAACACCACTAAAATGGGCTCCCATGCTTGCAGTGATTCGTGAGGCTTGTGCTGCAGGGTACGGCCCTTTGCGGCCTTTGCGTCTGTCAGGACCTCGAGCAAGCCCCGCCCGGCAATGACGGATGCATGGGCGGAGGCATGGGTGCAGGCCCAATGGGGTGTCCTTGCATGGGAGGCCCAGGCCCAATGGGCCCCATGGGAGGGCCCTGCATGGGCGGTCCTATGGGCGGCCCCATGGGCCCCATGGGCATGGGTGGCCCCATGAACGGCCCCATGGGCTGTATGGGTGGGCCCATGGGTTGCGGCAAAGGCTGCGGCAAGGGCTTCGGGGACAAGGGCAAAAACGCCGGTCGACCTGGCCCCTACTGATTCTGATCTTTCCCGCGTTGCTTCAATCCGCACGACCGAATCTTACTGAGAGTAAGCTTAAGGGAAGCTCTCCGCAGTCCTCACATGGGTGCAGATTGAAGAGACTCAGCTCGCCAGCTGATTCTTGTTTAGCCCGGCATGGGCTACCGAGAGCAACCGCAGCTTCAAGATAGGGTGTGGGGGTTTAGGTTCAAAAGGGTTTAGGGGCCTGCAGGTGAGGAGTCTGGGTTGAAAAAGGGTTTAGGGGCAAGAAACATCTTGCATGCAGAAACAGCTCTCAGCAGGAATCACGGCCTTCACTGACCTTGCAAGAGATGGCGCCCAATTCGCCTAGCGAGCGACCCATGGCGCGTTCAAGGTTTCAGGTTTTGGTTTCACACCAGACTTATGAGCGATAGCGTACGGCTAAGCCTCGTGAAGTGACCAGGAGGAGTCGATGTTATGACAAAAGGGGTACTGGGAAGTACCATTGCTAGCATGGATCCACGCTTCCTTCCGTCTACATGCATTGGCTTCACGATATCTAAATCTGCCAAGGCCCATGCCGGCCAAGCCTAAGCCCGGAAAGGAAGACAACTCCCCAGGTCATGCTTCATGGGGCTTAGAGGGCAGACAGGATCACACCTCACCTGCGGGGCGAGCGAGAAAAATGAGCCGCAGCCATGGCACATCGAAGTCCTCAAGCGGCATATGCAGGGTGTGAGAGGTTGAGGGCTGTGTGCTGCTGTTGCTGACTCAGCTCTACAGTGGAATCAAGGGTTTCCCGAGACCCCACGACCACCTTGCATCACTGCATTCTACGACCCAGAGTAGGCGCTTATTCCTTTGTTTTTCGAGTTTAGGTTCGCTTATAACGGTTTTTTCGCAGACATTGTCGGAAAGTTCGGATCCGGCTGAGCCTGGAGTCAAAATTTGGTTCCCTTATAAGCCCCTTTAAACTACGGGCACCCTTTTTTCCTAGGTTGCTCTTGGGTCTAGGACTTGTGATAGGGCTCAACTGACCTTATGGCCAGGAACCAACAGATGGCAAGGCCTGGGACTGCTTCCTGCGTGCGCTTGGTGAACGGGTCTTGTACTTTTGAGCCCTCATGCGCTTTGACTTCACAGTGCCGCCCGGCATGTTGCTGCGATGAAGTTAGTTCTTGCGCAGAAAACGCGGTTCACGCTCACGGCATGCCAGAAGCCCACGACCCACTGAATGGAACGCCCGGGTTGCCTGTGGCGTTTGCATTTCAAGATCAGGGCCAATCTAACAAAAAGAGAGCCTCAACGCCCCTGCTTTTGGAGTTCTTGGCTTGGAGGAGACGGTCACCGAAGACGAAGAAAGTAGCAGCGGCTCCGGTGATGGAAAGGATGAGACAGGCAGAGCGGGTGACATGGATCATTTCAGGACTTGGGCGACTTGGGCTGGACTTCTGGGTTTGGTTCTAGGGTTGAAGTTGAGGCAACATCGGCCTAGTTGCGCCGCCATGTCTGCACATTTTGCGAGTCCTGGCGCCGCACTTCAGAAGTCCGGGTGTCTCCGCTGTTGGCCTCCCTGTTGAAGTTCCTTGAGGACCAAATGAACCTTAAAATTGGGGTCATATACCCTATACTACTATAATCCCTATATTCAGGTATATGGACCTTAAACCGTTTAGGGTTCATTGGGTCCCAAAGGTTCGGCATTGTTCGTTCAGGGCTGACACTGCATTCGGCTCGTGGTTTCGCAAAAGGATGCGCTCGCAGTGTCTTAGATCCACGGACAGGGGGTGGATGGGGTTCCTGCTTTGTAGGTTCTCGAGTGATGCAAACTCTTACTTTGGGGGTTGTAGGTTCGCATGGCTCACTAAAATCCAGTTCGAGGGCTTTTTATACTTTCAGGCCTAGGAGCACCAGTCAGAACTTAAAGGCCCCCCACCTCCAAGTCTCAAGATCAATCTTGAATTTCTCCCCTCCCCCCCCCCCCGGGGAGCCAAAGTACCCTAAAATAGGGGCCCAAGGGTACCTCAAGTCCTGGAGGACGTTTCTTAGGGACCAAATGGTTTATGGTCCATATACCTTAATCGGGATTGTAGATTGTAGTATAGGGTATGTGAACCAAATTTTAAGGTTCATGTGGTCCTCAAGGTTAAGTGCTGCAACAGGCTCCGCCACTCAAGCAACAAAGCAGAGATCTGGTCCTCGCCAACCTCGCGGGCACAAGCAGGCAGATCTGGCATACGGGGTCATAGGTTTAAAGTGTATAGCTCACAACCCCTTAACCTTGAAGCCTAAAAAGGGGCTTGAAGGTTGTACATAGAGGGTATTCGGGCTTGGGCCTGTGGCATGACTCCCTGTAAGATGATCATTATCCTGTAGTGGTTCAAACTCTTTTCTATCACCCGTAAGATTATCATGAGTCGTAGTATTATGACTATAAATTTTATTGAAAGCTTACTTGGCTCAAGTCTTGAATCTCATTGCTAGAGCCGCTGGTTTTCTTGGTGTTCTCTTGTGGATGCTTGTAGCTGTGGAAGCTTTAGCTTCAGTCGGGCCACAGCCCCAGGACCTGCAAGCTTTCTTGCCACGCGCATGAAACAGATATTGGGGTTCCATAGCACTTTGCTAAAGTCCGAAACCTTTGTTTGTCCTGCAAGTAAACGATGTCTTGTTTCATTCGGTGAATAAACGGTTTGGAGTTCGTTCCTTGATTTTGGCTCGCAGTGCAGCATGGGCAAGAAGTCTTGGAACGGCAGAATGCGGCACGATCACCCCGCAAAAATTCGCGAATCACAAAACCCTCTTCGAGTCTTTCCCTTCAGCAAAAATAACATCAATAAGAATAGCGGAACACTAGCAACAGCAAGTGTAATGAGTAGAAGTAGTAGTAATCCGATTCTAGGGTAAGGATATGGGAAGGCAGGAAGGCAATTTCCTACAGTTCCACTCCGAGCCTTGAATGCAAAGCCTGACACCCTGCCTTCCTGCTGATTGAACCTAACCCGAATGTGCAAGTGCAGGCGCCTCATGCGGGGAAAGCGGGTCGCCGCCGGCGCGTTCAAAATGCCTGCTCCCCCTCGTTGCGGGTTGGTGATTTTAATTTGCGGGTTGTTGGATTGACAATGAATCATTAAAGGCCTCACGATGTTCTCCTGGTGCGTCCTGAGATAGGACCCGAGGGCCTTTGCAAGACTTCTGGGGCCGTGGGCGTTGGAACTTTGACCTGAGCCCCTGAACTGTGCAGGGGTTTTGACCCAAAGGGTCGTTCTAAGAAGGAAAGGATCACTACTGTATTACCGTATCTGTAAGGGGACCTCATTTTCGGAAAACTGCTGTCTTCTTGAAGCCTTGACGATGCTCTTCTGTAGGGCGAGCTCGCCGATTATAAGCCGGGAGCACCGATTCTAAGACCCCATCTAGGCCCTTGTGGGACCCTTCTTCTGCACCATGTGAGTAATTGCACTTCGTATCCCCGAAAGTCCCAATCGTCCCAATCCATCCAAAGCTTGGGCCTCCATACCGATACTCGTGAGCATCCTCCATGAGCATGATAGAGATAGAGTTCCGACAATGCTCAGGGATTAGCAAATGCAGGCGCCTGGCGGCCAGGGCCAAGAGAACGCTAGCGACGTCTGAGATGCAGCTCCGGTGATTGAGTTTTTGGGGTCTGGAGAGTCGGGTTTACAGATGGTGAGGTGGTGGTGTCACACAAAACCAAAGCATGGCTTTTGGCTGACCTAGGCCTGGCATCATGGTCAAGGCTTCTTGCCACGCCAGCCTCGTGTTCCATAACCGATGCACGCATCTGTACAGGTAGTGCGCATACATAAATGTTTTTTTGAATAGAAATAAGTGTGTGTATATATATATGTAGATATGTGTATATATATAAGTGTATTTATCTATACAGTTATTTCTCATCTAACTAGCTCTTTCCACATGTCAAGCATCCCCATGTGCTGTTTTGTTGTCTTCCTACGCGTGTTTCCGTGCCTCTGTGTGTGCATATGTGTCGATATATGGATGAAATGGTTTTCTAGCCCTGCAACAGAGTGCATGCATACATACATGCACAAGTGTGCTTGCCTGTATCTCTTTGGTGGAGCATTGCTGCATGATGCATGTGACGCAGCCAGGATCCCATATGCTTCTCTGCATTACACTTGGGGTGCGCCATATTGCATTTGGCTTTCATGTGCGTGTTGGTTGTGTTGTGCACATGCACGTACATGGTATGCTACTATGTATGTCGTCTATTTGTGCCCTGTGTTGTGCTGGCATATGACCATACAGAGGTACGAATCATTTTGTTTAACTGGACCAGGTGCGCGTCTAGATGTGGTTTATAGGCTAAGAGGTTTTCGGAGGGAATTGCTGCATAGGCGCCTTCTTGCGACCTGCAAGGCCAGGTCTGTTTCTGAGCCCACGAAGTGCCTGGGTTGGCGCGCGTGAAAATAGTTCGAGCCCGGAGCTGTCGGGAGCATGACGCCCTGCCACCACTCCATCCGAGAACGCTGGTGGATGCTGGCCCCGGCTCAGAGCCCACCAGAATGGTGCAAAAGTAGCATTGGGCAATAATTTTCCCTTCATCTGCCCGCGGCGCCCACCATGAACCTCTTGTGGCTCATTTTCGTGGTGGCTGTGGCCGATGCAAGTGTGCGGTGGTGGCCGGCAGCCAGTGAGGCGCCCAGCGGCATGCCAGCAGGACAGATGATCATGACCATGATGGTGATCTCATTCCTCGCAGCCCACGCGGCTGTTTGCTACCTGGCCACATAGCACCTGCACCTTTGTACATCCAACCCGTGCCCGGAAACACAATGTGCGACCCCTTCCCCCCCCCCTTCCCCCCCAACCCGAGGTTGGCATTTCCACAAGCGCCGTCACGTGGCCGACTTCTACAAGCAGGCGATAGCAGAAGCCGGGTCCTCCACTACGGCATCCCGGCAAACTCAGCGTTGGGGAAGTGTGTTCAAGTCTGTTCAGGCTTGGGGGGGGAATGTTGTGCTTTAGGTAATCAGGGCCCAACCCCCAAACAATTTAAGAAGAGCTAAATACCCAAGTTTGGGGCTTTGGGGGCTTCAGGCTTTGAGCTTTGAGGGCTGAGGGGGGGCCTCAGGCCCTGAAGCATCAGGCCTAGAGTGCCGAGAGGGATGAAGGGTTTGAGACGCCCTATTGGGCTCCGGATGAACCATTCCGGACTCCGGACCACCTGCAGTATATAAACGTGCTGGAATGGGAGGTTCCTTGGGGGCCGCGTTTCGCAACGTGTTCTTTACATGTGAAGCCCGGGTCCAGACATTCGAGAATCGGAAGCTGGAATCTTCAGGCTTTTGGGGCTGAGGGGCCTGAAGCCCTACAAGGGACACCTTTTGGCCTTATGCTGTTTTGTTAGGGTCACCCCGAAACCCGAAACTTCGTCAACCTAAGGAGGTCGCAGAATGGCATACGAGTGATACTAGTGGGCCTCCATTCTTCACCAGAAACAACTTCGTCCACTAACCCTTGTTCTTTGCTAGATGTCAGGATGCTAATAGCTATTGGGAATTGTATAGCTGCGTGTCCGGCGGTAAGGACTACTACACTGTTGGTGCGGACAACGAGCCCATTGAGCACACATGGTGCCATCGCCGATGTTCTGTTCAGATTGCCCAGCAGTTGTTCATCTTGCGGTATCTTGTGATGGGGATTCCGGGATGCCGTGCATCCACTCTTTGCTGTGGGTCCGAGCGAGAGTGTTGTACCTGTTAATCATCTGAGTGAGAACCATTAAGCGCCAAACCCCCAGGCACTACATGGTGCGCCGGCAGGCCGGGAATATTGGTGTCAAGGCAGACCAGCTCCTCAATGCCTGATTCAACAGATATGTTTGTTCTTTACGGTGTGTGTCTGTGTGTGTGTGTGTGTGTGTCTCTGTGTGTGTGTAGTGTGTGTGTGTGTGTGTGTGTGTGTGTGTGTGTGTGTGTGTGTGTGTGTGTGTGTGTGTGTGTGTGTGCGTGTGCGTGCGTGCGTGCGTGCGTGCGTGCGTGGGTGGGTGGGTGGGTGTGTGTGTGTGTGTGTGTGTGTGTGTGTGTGTGTGTGTGTGCGTGCGTGCGTGCGTGTGTGTGCTTAGTGTGTGTGTGTGTGCGTGTGTGTTTAGTTAGTGTGTGTGTGTGTGTGTGTGTGCGTGTGTGTTAGGGTGTGTTTGGCGGGGGCGATCGTTTTGGCACTGGTGTTGGGGTCTGGGGCTGCGAACCTACGCGATCTTCGCAGCTTTGGGGATGTTCGACATCTTTGGAGATAGTCGGTCACGTAGCGGGCTTGAGGTTTCTCAGATTGTCGGCGCCCTCGCTCATGCAAGTGCTGCTGCCGTACCTGTGCTCCTCGGACTTCGCAAGGTTGAGGTTTCGGGCATTCCGCCAAAAAGCCTGCATCAAAATGATGCCAAAGCAAAAGGGCTTCAACTCCTTGAAGGCGTGCGTCGTACAGTAGTCATAATTAGTCAGGCTTCAAACTGGGAAATGCACAAAAAGCTACACCGCGCAGGCGCACCATCGTCACAAAGCTTAGACACACGCAAAATCCAACGGTGATGAAACAACAGCAGCAGCACCACACCAACAACAACAAGAATAACCACAGCGACAGCACCAGCACCACAGAACCACTACCAACAAGACAAACAATAAGCAAGCAAACAAACAACGAAAAACGAACAACGAACAACAAGCACGCACACACAGACACACACACACACACACACACACACAGACACACACAGACACACACACAGACACACACACAGACACACACAGACACACACAGACGCACACAGCCGCACACAGACGCACACAGACGCACACAGACACACACACAGACACACACAGACACACACAGACACACACACACACACACCCACACCCACACCCACACCCACACCCACAACACACACACACCCACCCACACACACACCACACACACACACACACCCACACACCACACACACCCACACACCACACACACACCACACACCCACACACCCACACCCCACACACCCACACACCACACCACACCCCCACCCACACCCACACCCCCCCCCCCCCCCACACACACACACACAAAAAAAACAATAAGCAATCCCAAGAACACAAAGAAGCACAGCAGAACAAAGCAAAACCCACACACACACACACGCACACACGCACACACGCACACACGCACACACGCACACACGCACACACGCACACACGCACACACGCACACACCACACACGCACACACGCACACACGCACACACGCACACACGCACACACGCACACACGCACACACGCACACACGCACACACGCACACACGCACACACGCAACACGCACGCAATCATTCAAGCAAGGATGCAAGCTAGCAAGCAAACAAACAAAAGCAAGCAAGCAAGCAAACAAACAACACACACCCGCGCACACACCCCCTCACACGCGCACACACACACACACACGCACACACAGAGACACACACACACACACACACAGACACACACACAGAGACACACACAGAGACACACACCCACACACACACACACACACACACACACACACACACACACACCCTCCCACCAGCGCACGCGCACGCTCTCGCGTGCTCGCCCAAGACGAACAGCCAGCCAACCAACCAGCCAGGCAACTAAACAAAAACAGAACGAAACAACCAAACACCCAAACGCATACACACAAGCAAGCAAGCAAGCGAGCAAGCGAGCAAGCGAGCAAGCAAACAGACACGCGCACACACACACACACACACACACACCCACACGCACACGCACACGCACACGCACACGCACACGCACACGCACACGCACACACACACACACACACACACATGCGTGCGCACACACACACACACAAACACAGCAACAAAGCAACAAACAGCAACAAGCAGCAACAAACAGCAACAAGCAACAAACAATGACGAACGACAACAAACGACAACAAACGACAACAAACGACAACAAACAGTACCAAACAACACCAAACAACACCAAACAACACCAAACCACACCAAACGACACCAAACAACACCAAACAACACCAAGCAACACCAAACAGCACCAAACGACACCCAACGACACCAACAACACCAACAACACCAGCAACACCAACAACACCAGCAACACCAACACAGACAGCAACTACAACGAGAACGGGAACAGCAACAGTGACAACGACAACGACGAGAGCACGAACCATTGCAAGAACAATGACAACAAGAGCCAACTGCAAAACTCCAACAAACAGTCAACACACCAAACCAGCTAGCAGACTACAAACAACCAACGCAACGCCATCAACGACAAACAACAACGCGCGACAAACAGCCCTTCAAAACAACGCAGCAAAAGCACCAGCTACAGCAGCAGGACTACGATGACTCACAAAAGGGAGGAAGAATAACACATTTTGGGCTCGGGAGTTGGGATGAGTTGGGGATTCTGAAGCACGAAGGGTAAGCCCTACAGCAGACAGACCGCTGAGGCCTCTTCGCGTTGCGCCATGACCACCATGCATCTGGGAATCGGTTTGATCTTGCTTCTTTTGCTCTGAGTATATGTCCTGAGGGTGAGAGAGAATGGCGTTGCGATTCGCGCAACCCTTTTTGTGTGAGCTACGGGGTCGGAATAGGTACTTAAAGTAAGAACTTATGGGCCCTTAACGACGATGACTTGGGATGTTTCCCCTTCTACAAACGGGATTATAGTACATTTATGACTACCAGCCCTACGAAGGACTGTTAGTATAAGGGGAATTCCTAAAACCCGATTGGAATCATTAACGCCCCTGTATTCTGCAGGTCTTCCTTGACTTGCTTTATCTCCGTCCACGTCATGGGAGCCTTGGGCACACATGCGCCGACATTACAGCTTGATAACCCCAGTGTTACCCTTTTGCCTCTTTTTTGGTTTAAGGGTCCAGTTATCAAGTATATGATGTGGTTACTGGTCTACGAAGACAGCAGGCCACACACTTTGACTTGCAGCAGCAAGCATGCCATGCACGGCAATCGCTTCCCCCTTGTATGAGATGCTCCGTAATTAGAAAAAACACTTTTCGGAAAATTCTGCCGAAACCGACCCCGCCTTTTGAACCCTACTCCGAATTCGGCGGGGGGGGGGGGGGGGGGTTCAGGGCTTCAAACCTTGAAGCCAATCCAAACCCATCCCAAAAGATGGCATATGGATAAACATCCCCATAATCAAAAAGGGGGGGGAAGCGATTACTGGGTATGCAATGGAATGCACCGGAGTGTAGTTGGGGGCTTGTGCTTTTGGCCAGCACGGAAACTTAGGCTACAAGTTGCAGTGCTTTAAATGCCACCACTGTAACCCTGGCATCAGGAATGTGTACGAGATCATTGCCTGCAAGACCCGACAGCAGAAGTTTCTGGAGGAGCGACAGCAACAGGAGGGCTTGAACTCGGTCCAGCCCCTTGCTTGAAGATTGAAGGGTCAGCAGGGGGATCTTGCAGCTGAGACTTGAGCACGTGCATGCAACGAGAAGGCAGGAGGTCATGGTGGTCGTGCCCATTGCGTCCTGATGCCTGTGCAAGTTTCCCCGCAACAGCCCCAATGCCGCAGCGGTAGTGCAAAGTCCAATATATGTTGAGATGCATGAACAGCTGCAATAGCTAACAATGAAGTATGCAGCCTGAGCTAGCGTAGCATCTCAATTCACGACCGTTTAAGGTAACGACGTTAGTTATTACAAGCAGATGACGACATTACAGGCCTGTGCACCTACCTAGGGGCGTGAATTCATCAGCTGGACGAGATGATGTGAACCTGGATGCGCGCACATCCCTCGCCACCAACTACCACCCAGTGCGCCAACGCTTAAGTCTGCCAGCTGCCGTTTCTTCAGGTTTGTGAAACGTATCGCGCCCTCCGATGGCGACGAGACCAAGATATTCGTCAAACCACGCTTTGGAGCCTTCGGCGAAGATTGCTGCGCACCTGCGGCTGGAATGAGATGCTTCCATCGTTTAAGTCGGGACGATGTTCGACTTGAGATGAAGACTGTTGAGCGCTTAAACAACCACTCGCGATTGAGCGATAGAAACATTGCCACATTTGATTCGAGCTGGGGCTGCCAGAGTGACAGCTTTACGGTTGGAATGACTCCCCGATACCATGCAGGGCAAAGGAAGAGAGAGAAGCGTTAGTTTCCTTCTTTGGGAGCATAGAAGTCGCGTCAGGTAATGACTTCGCACGCAGCCTTCCACATGACGCCAAAGCGCGCGCAGCACATGGTCTTTGAAGAGCTGCTGCGACTTGGCACACTCAAAGGCCAAGAGGTTAAAGGTGCTCAGGGATGAAAGGAGTGTCAGTTATAGTGGGGACCATTTCCATTTTCGAACCATGCACCACCCCCTTAGGCCCCCAAATCATAACAACCTAAACCTCAACCTTCAACGCACCAAAAAGCAACATTTGCAGAGAATATTGTTTTTTTCGTCGTTGATTGTACTCGCCCAACTATAACGCATCAAGGACTGACTTTAAATAATTCAACATCCAAGCAATGGAATAAATCACTGTTGCTTTCGCTGAAGTCCTTACTTCTCTAGTTAATATAAATGTAAATACCACATTCGAACAAGATGAACTATATCATAACATGAAACGACAAATTCAAACAAGCTGGGATGGCGTGGGCTCGTGGAAATTTACTCCTTAAACAACTGTATTATTAGTCGTAAGCATCATACTTCTGGTCGTTCCTACCCTATCCCTAAACTTTATTCCTATTCTCGATAAAGTATTCAAGAAGACCATTTCCCATGTTCTGGGGTTAGGGGTTTCCGGTTGGCTGTGTTGGGTTTTTGTATCGGGCCGGGCAGGCTATGGGTCAAGGGTGCTATTTTCTAGTGGTGGGTCGGCACGGTTCCATAGGATGGTGTTCATCATTTGGGTCTTGTCTTGGGGTCTTGGGTGCTAGGGCGCCTAGGGGGTGGTGCATGGTTAGAAAATGGAAATGGTCTCCACAAACTGTCGGTGACTTGTTCCTCCGATGCATGGATGTTCCCCAGATGCCAACAGATTCGCAGCCAAGACATGTCTTGGCAAGCACCGCTGCTGTCAATGTCAAGTCCATCACTCTTGAACCTTCCATACCCAAACCCCGAAGTAAAGCCCAATCAAACCCTAAACCCCAAAACAAGTATTCCGGCATGAGGCAAAACCATCCCGTCATCGAGAACGTGGTCGGGGAGAAAGCTCCCCTTTGCACGCTGCGGATTTGGACGTCGCGGCTTGGTTGACTGAACCCAGCTCCTGCCAACTTCTTGTGTCGTAGCCATCGCGTCAGTCCTGATGGTATCAGTCCGAGCGTCAAGCGATCGTGAATCCACATCTCAGCCAGGAAGCGAAACACACCCAGTATTGAAAGGGCCCGAAACCCTAAACCCTAAACTGATGGTTCACATATGCTCCACTGAGGCGATGGGTCCCTAACCGGCCGAGCGTGCAAGCAGCCTTCTTGGTGGCCCGCAGCGGTTGCATCAGCATCTCGAGCACAGCCCGGAAAGATTCGTAGGTTGCACTGGGTACGAAGGCCACAAAACCCCCTTTTGTTTTCGGGGCGCTTCTTGCGTCAAGCTTGGGCCTTCGCACTGCAGACTGGGATGATATTGCTTCGCAGGGTTCTCGGACAAGGGTTTAATTCGTGCTTCGAATAGTTTGGGGCAGACCCCAGGTGACGTACGTGCCTATGACCTTATGATGAAACTTTGCAGGTCGGCAACGAGTCAGGTATGGCTTGCAAACCGTTCGGCCAAGGCAATTGCAAGAAGAACGAGTGCTGCCAAGTTGACCAGAAGACCCAGACAACTGCCGTCAAGAGCAGCGAGGCAGTGGCATTTGATAGCCGAGCGATGCTCGAGGGGTCGAGGGCTGCAGATCTGGTTCGAAGCAGAATTCCAGCGTAGAAGGCTTTCCTGGTGCTCCATAGCTCCCTGAGTAGAATAAGTGCGTAGAGGAGAGGGTCCAATCTCCCATCGTAGGAATGCGTAAGTGACCCTTTTGATTCCCAGCAACAACACCAGGACCCTCCCACATGCAAGGTCACTTTTGTTCTCCCCTTCTTCCGGGAGGCCGGCCGGTGATGACTGTCATGCCAGGATGCTATAAGATGCTGGTGTCTTCCCTACTTTGAACGTCTAATCCCACAGCCCAAACTCCCAAGCAACAGCAGCCGCAAGGGTGTTGACTGGGGTATCACTTGCGATGCGTCGTCTAGAGCTAGGAAACTTTTGCCCTCATGCCATCATTCCGCCCCAACAGAACGCCTCTTGCGTCTTGCCCAGAGGCGCTCTTCACGGCAAACTGGGTCCATGACCAATTTCCCGAGGTGCTGTGGCCAAAGGGATGGCCATGAGTGAAAGCTGGATGTGAAGAAACTGCAAGTCTTTAAGTCAAAGGTAGGCCCAGCTTAACAGGAGCGCGTTGCCAGATCAAGCCCTACTGGAGAGGACTGTAACACCAATCGGCTTGCGAGTATGGTTCCTTGATTTATGCTGTAGAGGGGCCCGCTCTCAGTGGACTGCCATGCGTCCGACGTATGAAGGCTCCGGCTTTGACGTTAGACTAGCTGTTCTCTTTTGCAGCCCTAGGACAGCAACTGCCGACCCCCAAACATGTGTTTTGGAACTTGCGCCTGGCGCACCAGAGTCCCACATCCCGGTGATCCAGGCCGATAGTCCCACCACACGTTACACACCCTTACGCTGTAAGAAACCGTACAGTCCTTAGAGGCCGCATGCAGCAGCCAAGGTGCCGTTTCTTGGCACAGATATCGCTCTCACGCCCACAGGGGCAGTGCTACTGGAAACCAACTTGCTGTGCAGCTACAGCATCTATTCGAAACAGGCTCGGGCACAACTTTGGGCCATTACGGGCTTACAGACCTGCAGGGGCGGGCTTGGGACATCCTTGGCTGAGTGGGGGCCATGAGCTTCAGGTTTTCGGTCTAATTAAGGCTTGGGCGGCATAGACGTCGACGGACCCCTACATAGACCCTATCCCGAACAGGTACCTATCTCACCCGTGCCACCAGCGCAGAGGGCTACAGAAAACCCCGTTGCTTTTCCGATGTGAGCGCCTATCGATTTCAGTCGGTTCCTCTGCCTGGTCTCTGCTGGGTCCTACCCATACCTATGCAAGCAGCCCCTTTTTTTGAAGGTTTTTTTTCAGCATCGTGCCATCACCTATGTATCATGCTCGTTGATTTTTCTTTGCCCTTCTTCTTGTAGCCAGCTTCTAATGCGCTATAATTCAGCGATCCTTGTTTCATACTGTCGTTTGAATTGCCGCTGTCGGGGAGGGGGGGGGGGGTTCGTTTCCATACTCTCGCGGGTGGCAAACCACTCAGGCCCAAAGCTCAAAGCTCTTTGCTCTTTTCGCATCTGAGCTTTACCCCCCCCAACCCCCCCCTAACAGGGAGCTTTCTTGGGTTTTTTTGGAGGTTGTCAGTAATCCCCTGGCAAAGCTAGAGGGCAGAAAAGTAAGGTTCAGGGGGCCGCAGCAAGGGTTGGGGTCTTAATTGTGTAGCTACGCTACAGAGTAAAACGCGCTGTCCGTAGATAAAGGTCAGCTCCTACTCAGGCATCCTCCGTAAAGCAAAGCTATGCTTTGTCTATTCCTGCTTTCAGGCATTTTTGACACAAGAAAGGTCATGCTTCCAGCCGAACCAGGCCCCTAAGCGACACAGCCCAAACTCCATGTAAATCCTGGACCTGTCTCTTTGATGCATTGTGTGGTTTGTCTTTTTCATAGAACTTTCTAACAAAAGGGCACCCCTCCACCACATAAGAGGGCATCCCCTTACCGCCCAAAGCGCCCAACCCCGCAACGTGACCCTGGGCTAGGTGGGGCTCGCCTATGGGCTCGACGATGTCGAGGCTTTCTTGGCTTTCCAGGCCCTTTCAAAGTTGGCGGCGTGGCCAGGGACTGCAATCTCCTTGTTTCAAAACGGGTATCACTGTAGATCAGATTTTCAGGAGTATTCTTGAAGCTTTAAGTAAGGGGTGTTGGAGTTTAGGGTTCTTCTACCAAGATGGCCAGACTGTTTGGAGGGATGCATGGTGTTTGGTGTCTGGGCCAAGGAGGCTTTCCAAGGATGGTACAGATAGATACGGCTTTAATGTCTGCAGGTCCTATGTGTTAGCTGCAGCCTGCCACTTCGGGGGTCGTCAGCCGTAGTGAGCTTGCCGCCAGACCTTCCAGGCCGCAGATGAGAAGGTGGCGAACCTTTGAGCAAAGCAAGCCGCTTTTTGGGGTCCACTGGTCAGCTGCGATGATCGGTACACGGCGCGCATCAGCGCAAAACTCCCATCCGCAAGGTGTCGTCAAGAAGCATCCTTCTTACACATGCAGAAGTGCAGTGTAAATGTTGCCGAGCAGTGCCTAGCCTAGCATGTCCAAGCTGGATGCGGCTCTGGATCGATAAGCTGTGGACCCCAAGACCAGCCGATGGCTTGAACTAGGCAAACTACGGAGGCAGCATCCTCTTAGTCGCTGGGACTAGCAGCGCGAACAGCCAAAGCGGCCAAAAGCAAGACCAGTGAGCTTAACATGACAAGACGGGCAACAGCAGAAATTCGACAGTCATCCCAAATTCCCTACACATGGCTTCTCATCTTTTCCGTCCCCCCTGCTTCGGCGAGACTGTCTGGACGTCGCAAAAAAACTGCGAGAAAACATACTATGCAGGTGCCAGCTTGCACCATATTCTTGGGCCAGGTCGTCTCGTCGTATGAATTTTCAACTTACATTGGAGGTCTCACACTTCATGCATCGCAATCATTCAGATTTGTCTTCAGAAGTCCTTCATTCTGCCATGCGACATTCCACATGTGTCTATAGATCATGCTAGGGGGGTGCAGAATGCCAAGAACCCATCCTTCGTGTTGCAATCCCTTGGACTTCTGGTACCAGTATGCGGCTTGGACATTCGTGGCAGTACCATGGTCAACATGCGCCGACCTCGACAGTCAAGGCGCTGCTTAGAGAACTGTGTTGTGCCCTCTGCCCTAGTCAGGCTCGACGAATGACAACCACACTTGGGAAGCAAGTTTTGTCTCCACGCTTGTCCAGGCCCCTTTAGGTCGATAGTCAATACTGACATACTGCGTTTTCAAGGGCCGGTCAAGGGAAAGCTCCATGAAACTCCGCATGTCGAAAGCAGCAAGTTTGCTCGGTTTCATCTTCGCAAGAGGTTGCGCGTTGAAGTGCTCTTTCCTTGATATTCAGTCTTTGCGATGCCAAAGCTGCAGGGCCCACTTGAAGACATTTTGTGGCAAACCCGTCATCTGCTGGGAGTCACATCCGTCGACTTAAGTCCCTTATACTGCATCACACAGCTTAGGTCAAGATAGAAGGTAGCGAAAGAATGAGCTGCGACTCCCTCAATGGCTACTGTACAACGAGCCAGTCGTGGGTCGAAGCGCGCACTGAGAGACCAGTGCGAGAGCTTTTTCTTAGTGCGGCCTGCCTCGTTTCGCCGCAGGCCAAGCTTGTCCCGGGATGGGCAGTCCAGGTCGCCGAAAGAGTCGCGGTTCCACAACTCGGACATTTGGCGACGAGCGGCCGTCAAGGGAATTAGAGGAGTTTGTGAGACTCTCCCAATGAAGCACGCAATTTTTTGCTAGTCTCACCTCAATCTCATGCAGTTTTGGGTCTGTCCGATGGGGCGCACGTGCCTGGGGGCCTGGGAATGAGACTGCTCCCAAAAGACTTTGAGGCACGAACAAGAGGCAACGGTCAAGTCACGAGTATCCCAGTCGTGGATGTAGTAACACGATTATTCTCATTTGAAGTGCAAGAAAGACATTGAGAGAGATAGTTCTTGCACCACCAATGTTGGCATGAGGCAAGGGTCAGGTACCCAGATTTCATGTGGTGTGCCCCATACTGGACAGAAGCGCGTCGAAAAAAGGAGCGTTTTGAAGGACTGCCATTTGCCAAGCCGACTGCACGGGTCTGGTATAGACTTCCTGCGCACAGTGTTGGAAAGCAGCTTTGGCTGAAGACAGTGGCATGGCCGACAAACCAATCCTGCAACAAGCCTTTTGCCTCATCACCAAGCAGGCATAGGCGGCACAGACATCTGGTGGGTTCAGATCCAAGCATACGGAGGATTTCAAGGCTTTAACCTTCCGAGCCATGACGCTGTCGGCTGGGCTGGCCAAGCGGCTGGGGCTGTAAGTGATAGAATGCGGGTTGTACTTTCGAGCTCCAGGTGGGGGGGGAGTACTGGTTTATCTGGTTGTTTAAGCTGCAGACCTTGTTTTTATCTCGTCGTGATCCAGCATCAGACAAATCAAAGCAAGCGCCGTTGTGAGTCAAATGTGCCCCCCAACACTATCGACCATGCGAGTGGTCATAGATAGGTATCTGACCCAAACCCTCAGACCCCCTCGCACCCGCCCCCCCAACCCCTCTTCCCCACCCCCACACCGTCCTCTTCCCCACCCTCTCCCCCTCCTCCCCACTCCCCCCGAGGCCTGCTCGCTTGCTGCCTCTTCTTGCCAGCTTCCTACTTTCAGCAGCTGCCCCTCGATTCAGGTTTATAGGGCTTAGGCAACTTTAGGGTTTCGGGTTCAGGGTTCAGCTGAGAAAATTTAGGTGGTCAAGGGGCCACAGGGCAAAGCTCGGCTCCAGTCGCGAATAAACTACTGTGGCGATGCTGCAAGTCAGGTATGTGCACGATGTGAAGCCTGCAGCTTGCCACGTAGGCATGCTTGATCTCTTGCATAGGCCTGCTAAAGCTCTTGTGAAGTTGCACGTAAGGGTTAATGAAAGAGTTCAGCCGCCCCATTCACTTCGCATACATTCACTTCGACTGACCATGCCTCTAACACGAAAGAGGAAGCCCTTTTAAGACAAGGACGGCCCCAAAGCTCCTTTCCTCAGGAGTCATCCTTCTCGGGAGTTTGGTACCTGGTGAATGTCAACTCCATCGTTTGCCCCGGCTCACCAGGATGCGGATGAAGGGTGATACGATGGGTACTGACTTGAGAATATAGGTTGGCTAGACCATGGGTCCATGCCCGTCTCAAGTGCCACTAGTGCAGCTTCGTGTCGAAGATACAGTCCGTGCTTCTGGGGTCTATCGTGTTTCGTGCGCTTCCTGTGTGAGCAGCAAATGTGCCAACGAGGCTATGCAGTCATCAACATGACCGAGCCCACAGATGCTTGGATCTACGCAGGCGAGGTTCTTAATTGTCGTAGGGAGTTACTGGAAAGTCCCGGAACATACCTGCCCGACGAGCCGTAGAGGCCCTCTCATTCCTTCGAACACTCTTATGTAGAACTAAGAACCTCCCCCCCAAAAGCGGTAGGAGTTGCTACTGCGCAGGGGATGCGTATAAGTATTTGCTGCGCTAAGTATGTGATGCGCAAGGAAGTGCGACCAGGGCGCATGTCATGCAGTATGCAGAGAGCCCAGGACAAAACACATAGTCCGCACATCTTCACCGTTTTTCGGACGACCAATGCTACCGTGACGTTGGGCTTCGAGGCCACTGACGACACTGGGCCGCTTCAAGAACCAAGATTTTGGGAAAGCGGAAAGCCTCTAGGGTCAGTTCTCAAAATTTGGTCCCTTGTGGGTACCCTAAGCACTAATTAGGGTTACTAGGGGCCACTTTATCATATAGAAGCCCCACAAGACACCGGCAGAGAAGTGACCCGATGGAGAGAGTCTTCGTTTTGCGTCTCTTTTGTCCGCGCCCATCTTTCTCAACATCAAAGTTCAGAGGGTCCCCAAAACTGCAGACTGCAGCAGCCCAGGCCACTGGTAAGGTGGTCACAGACCAATCTGCTCCTTGGCTTCTTATTCGGGAAACGGTCAAGTTGGGGAGGACACGGGCTTCGGGCTTTGGGTTCTAGTTGGAATAGTGAACTTGTCCTGGTGGAGCTTCTCTGAACGTGGCCCAGGAAAGCTGAGTAATTGATGGTTGATGCAGGCTTTCTGGCAGCGAACCCAAGCATTTGCCTCCCATCGGGCACTAGGAACCTCAGCACAACAGCCTGTAGCCTCAGCGGAGAAGGTCGCGGCAGCAGCAATTGGCCTGCACGCGACATTCCTATTCACACCATCTGGTAGGAGGAAGCGGCGTTGCCTGGTGCAGAACTGCATGTTGTCCTCACAGCCGACGTTGCAGGCCGGAATCTCTTTGAAACAAGCTGCACGTCGCTTGGAAGAAGTGCCGAATGCTCTGGAGAATGAGGCCCCTGGCGATCTTGCCTAATGTCGCGGGTTCAATGAGACGGGTAGCCTGCAGATTGAAAACGTGTTTCGAGTTCTGTATTCCGTTCCGTGACAAGGGCCGCCAGTTTTGTATACATCTCCTTCTATGGGAAGAGGTTTGGTCTGGCTCTTTGAGCCTGCAGCTACATGATGGGGCGATAGCGCGCAGTCCAGCACAGTGTCGTAGAGCCACCCATCTACACACTGAACTACAGGCGAAACTCTTTGATAAGAACTCCAGAAATCCCAAAGCAACTTGTTTGTGGGAAGGCTGAACCCCCCCCCCCCCCCCCAAAGCGCCTTGTATGCCATTCTGAAGGAGGCACTGCTTGCGGCTCCAGAGGAGGGCTGCATGGCCTTTGAGGGCTTAGGGGCACCTTAAGGCTTGCGGGGTCTGAGGCTCGATGGTTTTTTGATTGTAGGGCTTGTAATTAATTGTATCGATGGTTACATATTTTGCACGTGTGGTTGGGGTTGGGGTCACATGGAAACCCCTTGAGTACATTGGAGTACCTTGGTGCGAAGGCAAACTGGTGTGGCAAATTGCTTAGGCCGAAGCGAAGGAGCATTTAAGAGTCTTCAGAAGCTTCAAAGTTGCTACAGGAATTGCTGGCCTGAGGTGGTCACGCTTGTAGCTCTGCTCAGGGAATGTCCTCGCAGAGACTGGCCTCTTTGCAAGTCATGGGAGGCGAAACCTACATGATGAAAACGGCGATTACTAGGAGTGCTATTCTAGTGCAGACTCAAGCGCTTACCACAGCCAGGAAGCAGCATCGCCTCGCCAGCTGAGCGCCCGCCGGAGAAGCCACCCTGGCTTGGTGCAATCCAGGAATTGAAGTCACTAATCTAGGGGCATCCGCACGCCAGCGCGATTCCTGCGACAGCACAGAATCCCGCCAGCGAAGTCGAAACGCGATGTCATTTAAATACCCTTGGGTTACAGTTGGGACATATATATATACATACATATAAATATATAATTATATAACTATACACTTCTAGTTTGGATTCTAAGTACCCTGAACCTCCATAGCCTTGTCCTGTAAAACACGAAAGCCTACGCTATCTTGCCAGGTGGAGGTGGAGGCTCATACTCACACAGCAGCTATAGATGCTTGGACTTACCTTTGCCTTTGGCTGGTCTCTTGGGACTGATGGAAGATCGAAGAAGGAGCTATGTATGCAGAGCAAACGCCTGAGACTTCATAGGCATTTGCTTAGTGCTGGTGCGGGACCCTAAGGTCCTAAGGGGTCGCAGCTGATGCCACACGCATAGTGGTAGTCTTCGGAAGACGCACAGCCTCGTAACCCATGCAACCGAGTAACAGCGTAACATCGTCGCACAAACATCTTACCCTAACGCTCCAAGGACCCTCCTACAGAAGGACTGATACCTCCTAGGAAAGGTTCTGCAAATGGGGTTTTGCATCAGGGTACAAGGAGCCTTAGAGTACTAAGGCAATATGTCCCTAAACCCTAAACCCCTAAAAAGGTGTTGGGTGTCTTCTGAATTTTGTTCGTTAAGTATGACTAAGCATTCATGAGGGGGAGAGGGAGAACTGCACCAAATGCGTTGACGCAGACGGGAGCAGGATGGCGGCCCTGGGAAGTGAGAATCGTAGCGTAACATCAGCCATTGCTGTCCACTTTGTTGCTTTCGGGGGGAGGCCTGGTTGTATGTCGAGTGTGTCAACTGACTCGCTGTGTGACTACGGAGGAGCAAGTTCAACCCAAAGATAGGTGGAGCTGTTGCTGGAAGAGAAGCGTCGACTGATGAATACAGAGGGCTGTTGTTTCGGGGCCTTGGCTAACCACGATGTCTATCCGTTTTGTGCAGGAGGTTCAGAAAGGGACTGTAGCAGTTTTCGCCAAGACAGTCCAACTGAAACCCTGCTTTGACGTTCGGCCAGCTATGCGGGAGAGCAACAAAACCCGTAAATTTGGGATGTTCCCTTTATACTAGTAGTCCTCAATAGGGATGATAGTAGGGGGTTACCATAATCCCTAGTACAAGGGTGGACATCCCAGCCCTATTTATTCCAAGGCTCTCCCCGAAGGCGTGCACCCGTCACCTACAGCTCCCCACGGCGCCGCTGCTTGGCCTGCATACAACCTTTCGGGGACAAGATGAACCCGGTTTATGGTGCACATACCTTAACAATAGGGATTCTAGTATAGTATAGGGTATACGTTTATGGTCCATATACCTTGCTAGGATTTATAGGAGTATAGGGTACATGATCACAATTTTGAGGTTCATTTGGTCCTCAAGGAAAGGGCACTGCACGCTGTGGGGTATGCAGGTGGGGTTTAGGTTCTGCGGGCCATAGTTATTCCATCGGTTTCTAGTCTCGGTGGTAGTTGTTCTGGCTACATGTGGGAGCGAGAGGGAGAGCCATAGCTCTGAACAGTTCCCCAAATTGCCAGGGCCTCATATGGTAGAAGAGAACCGGCTGTCAGAAGACAAGACAACAAGCAAACGCTTCAGGGCGGATGAGATGCTGAGAGCTGCCAGTCCCTAACCTCTTGCCCCTAAGGATCCATGTACCTGTACAGTATATACTTTGGCCCTAAAGCTATTATATAGGAACTAGGTACCTGGATCCTTTGGCTTGAAGAGCTGGCACTGCGCAGGCGCACCAGCTCCGCCGCCAAGCCCTCCGCACCTCTTCACTTTTGGGATGCTGCGTCTTTTTTCCTTCCGGAAATAGTGACGGTCTAGACCCTCTGCATGCAACGGCAGAGAGCGAGGGAGAGAGAGAGGGAGAGAGAGAGAGAGAGAGAGAGAGTGAGAGAGAGAGAGAGAGAGAGAGACAGAGAGACACAGAGACACAGAGACACAGAGACAGCGAGAAAAAGAGAGAGAGAGAGAGAGAGATTGCCATGCACCCCCTGCAAGATCTCCAACACGCACTGGGATTTGCTGAAGGAGTCCCCCCCTCGCAAATAAATACACACAGGTAACTACAATCATCGTGATTGTTGTTGATGTTTCAGGTTGCTCAAGCTGATCCTAGCTCATCTAGCAAGGCTTAGGGCGACTTGCAGGCAGCGCCTTGTGATCGTGTCTCGCGTGGAATGATTGGGTCATGTATTGTCTTCTCGTCATGTCTCTTCATGTTCCTGTGTCCTATATGGCCGTCATTTGCAGCTACATAATTGTAAGAATGGTCAAAACTCGGTCGAAGGCTTGCATCTTAACTTCGACGTTCTGCAATTGAGAACAGACCCCATCTGTTTGGTGGACCAGAGGCCAATTTCTGGCACAACCTCGGGAGCCTCCGCGAGACGTCGGGGCTGCGTGCACGAAGCCTGCGGTTTGTGGTGCAGGGCTTCAGGGAAGAGAGCAAAGTTCAAAGGCCTGTAAAACGGGCCTTCTAGTACGGAGCAAACCATGGCCCATTTGGAACTCAGTACCAGGAGGGACGAATTGGCTGTAGAGTTCCAATCTCTAATCCCCTGAGCAGGCCTTTTGGAGGAGTCGATTCTGGGGATTTGCAGGCCTAATGAAACAGTTTGCTTATGAGTCTTTGATTATTGCATGTGAACTGAGTTGGTTCCGTTCTGTCTGTTGTGGTCTGTTTCTCTTCTTTCGTCGTCAGGTCGGGCTTAGTCGCCTCAAGAAGGAAGTGCGGTCCCCTACGTGTTACCGCGTCGTAAACCAGAAGTGGGGACGTCGAGCGCCTATTTATCCATGCCCAGGCTACACTGAGCCTGTGAGCCAGAGACGACGTACCGCTGGCTACGACAACAAGAGACTTGACTGCAAACTTCTGGATGCGACACCATCGTGGGCTTCAGGATTGCAAGGCTTGAGTTTTAATGTTCCCATTTCGAACCCAGCAGCCTCTGTCCCGAGTTCAGTCCTCGGGAGTGAACAGGGTGTTCGAATCGTAGCTGAGCTGGTTGAGCTCTTTGGAAGAACTTTAGCCCGGTTCAAGCCCGTTGCAACCCTTTAAAGTGGAATCCCTGCAAACGCTACAAAACCATGCTCACACATACATGGGTGCATAGTCTGCAGAACCCTTACGATGTAGTGAGCCAACATTACGTCCTGTACACGTAGAACAACTTCTGTGAATTGCTCTCCAGACAGGCACTACTCCAACCCCTCGAACCCAGCAGCTGGCAGCTACGGCTATGCGAGTCAGAGCCTTCGGCGCATGGCGTGCTTGTTTAGGGTTTGGAGGGCCTAGGGCCGTGCAGCGCTTCGGATGGTGTAAGTTTTTGTGGCAAATACAGGTTTGGGTTTAAGGCTTAAGGTGTCTGAGGACTTTCGGAGCTTGGTTGTCATGCTGTCGCCATAGTCACCACAGTCCTTTGCAGCTGCACCCTGCCAGGCTTCTGCGGCTAGTTGAACCTCAAGAATCAGTACCCGCCCTCGCCCCAAACCTTGCCCTATAAACAAGGCTCGAAGTACCACTCTGAACCCCCCCAAAAGGTTCTCATAGTCCCAGAGCCACCAAGGAGCGTGGCTGCGAGCAACTATGGGGGCCGCCTCCCCACCAGCACACCGCACCTCGAAGCACCGAGGAATGTGCATACAAAAGTATACGATCTGTAATCGATATATCTATCTACCTATCTATTTATACATATACATCATATACATATGGGTGGTTGTCAAAATTATGGTCCCTTTTTGGATCCCTACTATAATACGGCACCTAATATTTAGGGTACCCTAAAAGGGATCATAATTTTGACAGCCACCCATATATATATATATATATACTATTTATGTTTTTTTGAATGACCTGCTGCAGAAAGGGGCGCCAGGATCCATAAGGTTTGGAATTAAGCCGGTTATGTCTTTTCTCTTGACTCAGCGTGCAGGTATGGTTATACAGGGGCGAATGCCTACTCTGGCCGCACGGGGAGTGGCATGCAGATTGCCATGGCGGCTGGAGGTGAGGGCTGCAAGGGGAGCATGGGCTGCCGAGGGAACTCCGAATCCAATGTCTGTTGTCCGAAGGCCCAGGCCATACAATTAAGGATGTGGGACTACGTATTCAATGTTAGTCCCCATGATCGCCATCGTTTCTTTGGTTAGCATCGAGGCAGCTTCCAGCTCTTTCCTCTCAGCTCTTACTTTGTAGGTGGCCTTTTGGCTGGTATGGCGGTGAGTTCCTTGATGAACCATGCATGGACTGGATATTCTCGTGAGCAGATGCTGCTTGGCAAGCATCTCAGGAGCCTGGTGGACAGACGTGAGAGTGTCGCGGGGATAGAGTGCTCTGAGGGTGAGCTGCTTAGCGGGTTTCCTTGTTGTGTTCCATCACCGTTAACCGCGCTGTTCTGAGGACCGCTGTGGTATTTGACTTACGAGGGACGTGTGTTTTCTTAGGGCCCCATCTGGGCAGACTTGGGGCAGCCCCAGGGAGTGGGAGCCTGATTTTTTGTCCAGCTCATACTGTTTGACCTCTGGTGCTGAGGGCAACCTAGGTGGGACGTTGGGATCTTGCTTGTTTTCTTACTGGGTTTATGAGGATTTGAGCTGCGACCGGTTGTCCTGGGAACTCAGACGATCTCAGATTCAGTCAGATTCATGAGAGCCAGAAGACAAGGCTATGACGATGCTGGCCTGGCATAACTGCCTTGTGGGCCATCATTGTTTCTTTGCCTCTCAGTTGTCCACCCCCAAGTTGAATTCAAGGGCGGGCCATTCGATGTTACTGGGCCAAGACGTGAATCCTCCCAGGGCTAAGGAGTGCAGAAGCAAAAGCAGGAAGAAAGAAGCAGAGAGAGGGAGAGAGAAAACAAAAAGGCAAGAAAGACAGAAAGAACTTCACAAAGAAAGAAAGAAAGAAAGCGAGAGAGAAGATTGGGAGCGAGGCGAGGGATAAAGAGGGACAACAGCAGGCTGAGCATGCCCTGCTCCTCTGGAACCTGGTCTGGCCTCTGCAGCTCCTGCCCCCCGACTTTTCCTTATTAGAAATGTACAAATATTCGTCCAAATGATAGAATATAGCTAACCTACAGAACAAGTAGGAAACCCTCAACTTTTTCACAGCTGGTTGAGCCCTGGTAATGTGCTGCTCTGTGTCGCAGAATGCCTTCAGACTGAGTACAGGAAGCTGCCGCTTAGCATGGTCCCAGACTGCAGGTTCTGGGACAGAAGCGAGCAGTGTAGTCCAGGATAGGAGTGTGCACCATTAGGGCCCGCCATACCCAGGCGTAACGCTTTATGGCGCCGACAAATGTGACATCAAGCTCCTCGGGTCAAAGCGCAGTGCACTATACCACAACAGCTGGAACAATGATTGGAGCTCTTTGTGCTGGGCATTCCGGTGTGTTGATCTGCTAGCAATGTGGGTCTTTGCGGCACTTGGGGTCAGATACGGCATCTCGAGAAAGCAACCGCCCTGAAGCATGCCCATTTTTACCAGTTGCCATGGGGCTTTTGGTCCAGAAGCGATTGTGTTTCAACATCCGTTCGATCTTTGGATGGCCCTGATAACATTAAACCCCCTGAATGCCTTCAGGAGACCAGTAGCTGCAAGCATCAGCCGAGCCCACGAGCCCCAGGATCTCACCCAAGATCGATGCCACGCGGGATGACTTGCTCAATACGGGCTTCATTCCCGCAGACTTCACTTGGCCTATCCATGCCGCTTGAAAAAGAAGTAGTTGCCCCATGTTGGCACCAGTAATTCTGCATTGTGTGTATGAGATCAAAATTTGCATTCCTCCTGTCACGAAGGCTCATGCTGCCGGAAATCGGTACAAACATAATTGTAAACGCTTGCGCGCGCCGCCTCGGCAGCCGGGCCGGCCCCAGGACAGGAAAGGAGGAAAGAGGGTTTCGCAAAAAAGGGAGGAAGGGCAGAGCGGGTGGGGGGGGGGGAGGGTTGGGTGGGGGGGGGGCGTGGGGGGGGGGGTGGGGGGGGGGGGGTGGGGGGGGGGGGAGGGGGGGGGGTGCGGGGGGGGGGGGGGTGGGGGGGGGGGGCTGTCGGGCACCCACAAGCGGGACCCTCCACGGCATCGGTTTGCAGCCACAGGGGGGGCACAGGGGGGGGGGGGGGTGGCGTCAGAAAATTTGGCATGGGGGGAAGGGTTGGGTTAGGGGGAAGGAGGCCCGATCCGGGTCTGCTTGTTCCAGACGCTTCTCGGCAGGAAGCCGAGGCGAATACGCATGGTCGATCTTGTTTCGGCACTCCACGCCATCACGGCGACCCGGGACTATCAACACCCTGAGACAAAACAAGGTGAAGATCACCACCATCTCCGGGCCGGATTTCGACCCGAGCTCAATCTGCCCACCCACCGATCCAGGAAATCGGTTACAATGGGGAAGGTGGCTGTGGGGCTTAATTCTTCTGGGGCAACAAGGGGAGAGACCCTGAATCTCTTAAACCCTACAACCCTCGGAAGCAGGACTCCACAATTGCAATGGTTGAGGGTTGAGGGGTTAAGGGAGGGTTTAGGGGTTGACAAGGGATTTCTGTCACAGTTTCCACATTGTGACGTGCTGGTTTCAGGGTCGTGAAGACTGGGATCTAGCCATTGCGAGTTTTTGCTGGAGTAGGGGGGGTAACCACGTCCTCTGCATTGCTTCAAGTGTCAGTGGTGCTTCTGCTCCAGTGCGGCACCTCAGAGAGCCCGGGTTCAAAAAGGGTTTAGGGGTTTAAGGGGTGCTAAGGGGTGCAGTGCTTGAGCACAGTTCGGCTCGCACTTCTGACTGACAGGAGCTCAGTGGAGCCCACCTCCAATGAAGCAGCTCCGTGGTTTCAAAGGACTGCAGGAGGGGCTGATTATGAGAAGGGGTTCATGGTGTAGGTTTTAGGGCGTTTAGGGTTTAGGGTCTTAAGGAGGTAGTTGGCCCTTCCCACCACTGCAGTGTGTTGTGTCGAGCCGCGGTACTTGAGGATGTCACAGCAGTGCGCAGCACTGGCCATCTCTAAGCACAGCACTTCCACCCTGGAATCCATAAGCGCGCAGACCCTGCATGCACCCAGCCCTTTCTTCCAAGGCTGTTCCTGACTCTGACTACAATGGAAGAGCTCTCGGCGCCCCCCGTCGCCGCCGCCAGCGCAAAAATTGATCAGGGCTCTGTTCAATCTTGGGGATCTCGAGCTCAAAGTTCAAGTGCCATTGGGCATGTGCGGGGTCTTCCGGTAAGTCATGCACCGTTTGCACCCGGCCGAACCCCTTCAGCATCGAAGTCCCAAATGCAATGCTGTGTCTGCGAAACCGAAAGCAAACCCCCTAAACCCTAGCAACAAAAACCCTAAACCCTAATCGTTTATGACAAGTCCTTAGTTCCTTTAAACTTCAGGGTTGGGGGTGTTACCCTAAGCCTTCCTTATAGACCGAGCCAAAGGCAGCTTCGAGTGGCTCGGGCTCAACGTTCTCTATGTTGTCGGGAACGGCTGCGCCCCGCTCGCAAAAATAATCTCTGCATGGTCACTGCACTTTGAAGATCCCGCATTGACTTCAGGTCATGTGTCTGTGTGTGAGTGTGTGTGTGTGAGCGTGAGCGTGAGCGTGAGCGTGAGCGTGAGAAGCGTAAGCGCGCGCGTGGTGCGTGTGCGCGTGTGCGTGTGCGCGTGTGCGTGTGTGCGTGTGTGCGTGTGCGCGTGTGCGCGTGTGAGTGTGCGTGTGCGCGTGCGCGCACGTGCGCGCGCGCGCGCGCGTGTGCGCGTGCGCGCGTGTGCGCGCGTGCGCGCATGTGCGCGTGTGCGCGTGTGCGCGCGTGCGCGCGTGTGCTCGTGTATGCGTGTGCGGGTGTGCGTGTGCGCGTGTGGGCGTGTGCGCGTGTGCGCGTGTGGGCGTGTGTGCGCGTGTGCGCGTGTGCGCGTGTGCGCGTGTGCACGTGTGCGCGTGTGCGCGTGTGCGCGTGTGCGCATGTGCGCGTGTGCGTGTGTGCGCGTGTGCGCGTGTGCGGTGTGCGCGTGTAGGCGGGTGGGTGGGTGGGTGGGTGGGTGGGTGGGTGGGTGTGTGTGTGTGTGTAAACGCCTGAACATGGTGATCGCTGTGACTGACATTTCCATTTGCAGGGGGCAGTGACCCGCTCATAAGCTCACTGCCAATGAAGCTGCTTATGAGTTGGGAGGATATCCAGGCTGATCACCTGGACGTACCTGCATGTAGAGTGGGATACCACACTGCTTGTGACATCATGTACCCTGAAGTCCCGAGGCAGGCAACCATGCTCCTTTTCTTTCTTCCCTTCTTCTTGGTACCGTGACCACTGCATCAGTTCATGCCAAGCCAAAGTGTGTACCAGTTCTGGTTTTTCCCGACATGGGGCCAGATCTCAGGGGCATGTGCCCGAGCCCGCGATTGCGGATGAGTGAATCACAACGTTGCAGACGCTTGTTCTCATCCATCGGGATCATCTGCAGTAGGATGACATGTGCCCACAGTGGGCTTCATCGGGATCATCGGTCACTGCACGGTCAAGGGCCGCGGTCAAGGGTTGATCAGTAGAGACAGCTTGCTGAACATGTGCTTTCCCTAGGAGTGCAGGTAGATCGTCTGTGCATGTGCAGGTAGGAGGACCAGGTAGGCACGCGCTCAAGGTATCCGGAATCCTTAAACAGACATGTCAGTGACTGTCCTCCCATGATGCTGTCTGACCCCCTGTTTTGTTGATTTCGCGTTTCTTGTTGCCTCCTGGTGTCGTTCCCGTTTTGTTGTCTAGGCCTCCTCTCTTGTTGCTGTTCAGGACTGGCTTGCTGACACCTGCTTGCTTCTTCGCGTCCTTTTCGCCCTTCGGGGCGTGTGTGTGTGTAAACGCCCGAACATGGTGATCGCTGTGACTGACATTTCCATTTGCAGGGGGCAGTGACCCGCTCATAAGCTCACTGCCAATGAAGCTGCTTATGAGTTGGGAGGATATCCAGGCTGATCACCTGGACGTACCTGCATGTAGAGTGGGATACCACACTGCTTGTGACATCATGTACCCTGAAGTCCCGAGGCAGGCAACCATGCTCCTTTTCTTTCTTCCCTTCTTCTTGGTACCGTGACCACTGCATCAGTTCATGCCAAGCCAAAGTGTGTGTGTGTGTGTGTGTGTGTGTGGTGTGTGTGTGTGTGTGTGTGTGTGTGTGTGTGGGGTGGGTGGGTGGGTGGTGTGGGTGGGTGTGGGTGGGTGGGTGGGTGGGTGTGTGTGTGTGTGTGTGTGTGGTGGGTGCGTGTGTGTGTGTGGGTGCGTGCGTGCGTGTGTGTGTGTGTGTGTGGTGTGTGTGTGTGTGTGTGTGTGTGTGTGTGTCTGTGTGTGTGTGTGTGCGTGTGTGTGTGTGTGGGTGTGTGTGTGGGTGGGTGGATGAGTGGGTGGGTGGGCGGGTGGGTGGGTGTGTGTACATGTTGTTGCAGAATGCCCAGTTGTTTTGGGTTATACGGCCGTTACTTGATTCGGCCATGGTTGCTTGCATGTGAAATCTCCCAGCTTTCCTTAATGAGTTTTGGGATTTAGCCTTGACAGCATCCATGATCGAGTTCTGAGGCATCATACAGCCCAATACACTTGCGGACGTGACATTCCCACGCAGTCCTCCTGAAAGGAAACGTTCCCCTTATGGGGTGCACCCCCAAAACATTCGCAGCTGGCAAAAACCAGCATTTGGCGCTTTAACCTCATTGTCACTGGTATTTCCTGCAACAACCTGTACAACGCGTATGAATCATGAACAAAGAAAGCGCCTGAGACAGGGGACTATCGTTGGCCTGTGCTGCTGCTGCGGCGCTTTGGCTGCTGCTGGGGCCTTCTTCATGAAAAGGCCCGACCCTTTGGCCTTGACAAGGCTTGTAGCAGGCTGTTGGCATCTGGCAAGTTCCATCGTGGCTGCAGGGTTGACGGAGCTCGGGAAAAGGGACTTATAAGGCTTAGCAGAAATATAAAGGTCTTTCAACAAAGGTCGCAAGTAATTCATCCCGAACCCCTCCTCCTCTGCTGGCAGGTCTAAGCGCCCAGACTGGGAGTCGGGTACATCCTCCGAGTCCGAGTCTGATGGATACCCCCTGCCGGGCCAGGTGTGTTGGGAGAAGGAGGAAGGGGGCTTCAGGAACTGCGTTTCTAGCCACAAAAACCATGTGTGCCAGCTATAGCAATATGTAGACTGCCGCGCAAGACCTGAGAGGGCCAGGGGCCTTTGGCCACTTTTTGTGTAACCGTAATGGAAAGGAAAAAATAGACCTAGACCTGAAGTATCCCTAAACTTCATATTGGGTGGGACGCAGAAAGGGTGGGATTTGGGCCGCAGGGAAACGGGTTTGGAAGCCAACGTCTCCCGAAACCATAAACTCTCCAGCTGAGAACTTTTAGCCCCCTTCCCCTCAGTCTTATAATCCGTGTAAGTCATGCGTTCACTTAGGCGGGAGGCCAAAAAAAGTACCAACCCTATAAACTATGCCCCCTGAAGCAGTCTCATCCAGCAGGTGGTCGCTCCAGGTCACCCGGTGCAACCATCGGGATCCTGGGCTGTCAATGACAAGTTGTCTTGGTAATCTAGTTAAGCCAAAGGTCTGAGGGCCGGGCACGAAGGCTTGTGGGTCTATAGAAGGTTTGCAAGCTTGGAGTGTGAGAGGGTCAGGTTCGGCGTTTAGGGGTTTAAGAGGCGCTTCAGGTTGAGCGCTTCGGGTTCGCAGGGCAGGGCTGCCCAGCTGAGGTTTCGGAGCTCAGACTTCATGATTTGGCTGTGGCTGTAAAAGCGGATGGAACATTAAGTCCCCTTGTGGAGGATCTATGTTTTTTGCTCATGTGGAGAGGTGACGGGTCTCGACGTTGCAAGAGTCAGTCCAAGGATACGGGCATGGAGGCGCAAACCCCTACTGGCATGGAGGCGCACCTGCAGGACCCTCTGTCTTGAGAGTTTAGGACTGCCATGGGAGGCGCTTTGACACATCTGAGGACCATATCTAGGTGCATATGGTAGTGTAAGAGCCGGTGTGCTTACACGGTGGGGAGTTCTCGAGTTCTCGAGGTTCGGCATCTCCAGGAACGTTTCGTGCAGTAGCAAGCACACACTGCCGAGGTGTCGGCTTTGGAAAGGAAGATGATGCATGTGGAGTTTGTCTGTCTCGTAGGCGAAGCCCAGTTTCAAAGGTTGCATTTTGGAACTTCTGCCTACTGTTCGAGCTTCCTTGCGACATTTAAGCAGCATCATTATTTGTCAGTATTTCGTCATCCCTTAAGCCGATGTCAGACTCTAGCCGTGTAGGCCAATTCTAAGCATCAAAGCTTGCAGGACCGCCACCGCCAGCCCCGTATGCGGGCGCCCCGTATGCGGGTGCGCCATATGCGGGCGCCCAGTATGGGGGCTCCCCTCGTGCTGGTGCTCCTTACACAAGCTCACCGTACGCTGGTGCTCCCTATGCTGCGACCTCCTTCGCCCAGGGCAGCCCGCAGCTTGGGGCCGCCAGCAGTTTTCGGGCTTTTCGGTTTTTATGCAGGAAGGCAAGGCTCTTGTTCCTGGCAGTTCTGCAAAATCTCCTAGAGAGCCAAACGCACCGCAATGGCTTCCTGAAAAAATGGAAACATTTTTGGAAACCTCACGCTTGCAACCCTAGATGGCAGTTACCAAGAAGTTAGTTCTGTTCATCGCATAACAAGAGATAATGAGGCAGGCGTACCCCCAGCCATTCCAATCGGGCGGCGCTTTTGCCGGGGCTGGCTTTGTCGGCGGTGGCTTCATGGACCCTTGGAAACCTATAAGCTTGGATTGCCCAAACGTCATTGAATGGAATCGGTTTTCAGGATGTGTTTTTGCGAGGGACGTGTTCGGAGTTGAGACGCTCATCGACGCTTCAGCCCCAAAACAGGAGACGAGCTCAAGAACGCTCAGCCTTCCGAGATTTGAATTCGGATATGTTGCCGGTTGTATTTGTGTTGGAAAGGCAGGCCTTGCCTGTTGGTGTAGGTTTCCGCCGCAAAAAATTCGCCATTCCAGCAGGCCAGGAGAAGGGTTCTGGCAGCTACGGTCGCGGTTCAGGGCTTGTCGTGAAGGTTATGGTTTAACTCACCAAGATTTTATGTAGTCGGAAAGGTAGCCGCAAGTAGTGCAATCGGAGAGAAACGCGGTCTTCAGCATTCCTGAAATTCTGTATGCTGCTTGCATGGTGCTTTCCAGGGGCACGGCTGAGAAGCAGGCCCGCTAGCGCACCGTTTAGAGATGTTATTCTACTTTTGGAGGCCTCGGACAAAAACCCGTCTTGCAGGACACTGCTGCCCCCAATGGCTCCAGTTGGACCAATGCTGCTTGGCAGGGAGTCCGACTTTTGTACCACTGGCTGCCGGGGCTCATATATCATGCCTCTACAGGAGCAGGACCATTTCAGGAGCCTTGCTTCGCGCCTGTCTGACCTCAAAAGTAGGAGTTGGCTTGATGTCTTGCGCCGAAGTAGGAGTGGCAGTGCTTCAGCAGCCTAAGCCGTGCGGTTGGCTGAGACCCTTTGCAGCCCCATCGCAAGATAGCAGGCGTCCTTCAGCCGTCAAGGGTGGACTGACTGATGCAACTCATGCCACTTCCTACCGTCGGTCCTACTCAGCCTAGCAAGCGGGGTAGGCAATAATTTGGTTGTCTCGGGAGAGAGTTTGCACTCCGACTGTGTGATGCAGCATGTTTTCCAGGTTCCCCTCTTGTAGATTTGTCCCCAGAATCGCTCCAAGGCCTTCCTTTAATACATCCCATATATAGGTCTGTCGGCAGCATCCCGTGAGCGTGAACGGGTCCACCATGATGCCGGAGGGCCCATGGGGCGACTCTTGGTTTGCAACTTCCACGAGGGTGCGGGCAAATGTCTACATCTATATCGTTTATACTATCAGCTGTTTTTTATTTACGATTTTGTATTTGCTATTTTTCGTTACTCTGTTGACGGTGCTTCGGGGCCTAGCCTCCTCATCTTTTCACAAGCTCTTCATGCTGAGGAGTGTTTGGCTTGGGCGGTGGCGTACGAGCACCAGAATCCGGGGTGGGAGTCTGATCCGCGGCCCCTTGCCATCGATTCAGATTAAGTTACCTGGGCACAGTCACGTTGCCATGCGTTCGTTAATTGCTGGTGGCTATTGTTGCCTCTGTGCGCACGGCATCCTACTGCACAGCAGCCTCACTTCCAGCCACATCTGTACCTCTCATCGCATCGCAAAAGCGCCATGCGTCAACATCAGGGGGAGGGGGGAGCGGTGCAGTTCAGCTAGATGCCCTAGCTGTCACAAGTTCTTGCGTTTGGCACCCACAAGTTTCGGGACCATGTGAAACTTAGGCAAAACTGTCTGCGCGAAACTCCTAGTTACACACATACACAGCAAGCCTACCTGTTGGCATATGCACACATGCCGCAAGATTGGTTGTTCCTTGTGAGGCTACCAGTTGCCGAAGTGGGCTTAGATCTGTTTCTTTGATTGGAAGGCGTTTGGGTTAATCGCCAGTGAAAATGAAGTAATGAAGCAGCCTTCCAAAATGAAAAGAACGTCAGACTCCGAGGTTCCAAGAAGGGCCCGCCCAGCAAGTGATCAACGCGATGCTCGAGCACTCGCCGGAAAGCATGGCGCCTTCCATTACGATGGCCGCCGAGACGCTTGACCGGCGTTGACAGCATAAGGGTGCAACTTTGTTTTAGCCAGGGGTTTGCGTCTGTTTTGCAAGAGGCTTGGGACCTTCACCCCGAAAGCACTCGGCAGAGCGTCGCATGCAGAAGACGGGCCTGATCATACTAGGGCTGAGGGTTGAGGTGGTTAAGACTTGTAGGCTTCAAGACAGCAGAGTAGAAAAGAAGGCAGGGGTTGCTTTAAGGTGTTTCGAGCCTTCGGGGCCTTAGCTGTCTTAGCAAGCCTGGCCGCAAAGCACGGAGTGAGAGTAAGAAGTTGCTTTCCGAACCAAGCTGCCTTGAGGAATCTCGAGGAGGCTTGTCACCAAGCAGTGCGCACGGGCACTCGCCTTCCGCTGATCAACCAGGTGATTCGGTAAAGCTTCCTCACCGCGAGGCCCCTTGGTGAAAGTCAGGGTTCTAGAGTGTAGATGTATGCGCAAGACCTTCCCAACGCGTCTGAACGGCACAACCATCATTTCGAGCCACCCGGATAACACTCGAGACCCTATCTTTGGGCAATGTGATTTGCTGGAGCGAAATCCGTTCAGAGCAGGCCAGGCAAGACAGCTACTGTCGCACTGGCTGGGCTTGTTGCTTGCGCTCGGGTCAGTTAAGGAGCCCTTTTTGAGGACATGCGCATGTGAGTGTGCTGACCTTGTTCGGGCGGGAGGGGCGCCAGCAGTGTGACAGTCTAGTTGTCTGGATCTGTTGATAGGGGGTCTGAACACTTGCACAAGTGCATATACTACTATAATACTACAAGAATACCAATATATTACAATGTCAATGATGCGCTCCTCTTGCCAATCTTTTGATCATCTGCCGGTGCGTGCGTGGACTCGCGACGGCACGCTTGCAGGCATTTGTTTTCCTGCTGCACAGCTGACCTGCAAAGCGACATTATTTCTTTTCGTCTGTAAAGATGAGCTACTCCTAAGTTGCGTGACTCACTGAACAGTTCGACACCTGAGCACTTCAGGCGGAGATGATACTCAAACAGCACGAAGATGAACCCAAGATAGCAGCGAAGCCTTGTCCAGACAGTCGGCTGTCTTGACCCAGTAGCTTCCAGCATCGTTGAAGTTCGATTTGCCTTTGGAGGATGAGCGCAGTTGTGTTTGGCAGAAGCTTAATTAGGACGCTGCCCAATACTGTGCAACGGGTGCTCACCATCTGGTTCCAAATCAGGCTTTTGCCACACGAGTATTTGCGAGGCTTTCGGCTTAGAGCTTGCAGGCATGTCATGGCAATCAGTGTCGGCCGCTGCAACTATAGATGCAGAAGGCTCCAAGCGGCCCCGCACGTGCACATCAGCCCTGCACCAGCTTGCACCCATGGAAGACGGAAGCCGACCGCTTAGCTGAGAGCAAACTTATTTTCAGAGCACTTATATTATCATAAAGTGTCTGTGTATGTATATATTGTAGTATTATACTATGTATGCTAGAATAGTATGAACAAAAATATCAACAACAGGAATTATAGCAAGAAGAAGAAGAAGAACAATGTATTCATGTGTGTATCTACGCTGTCAAAGCACATCCGGAGCCTGCCTCGTCGCCATGCCCTTCATTGGACGGGGCTTGTTGGCCACATTAGGCCGGAGTCCCAGGGGGGCCATGGGGTAAAAGCCTCTTGTTGGTGTGATAAGGGTTTGGGCTTTAGGGGGTAATAACCCTGAGAAGGTTTGATACTGACGTCCTTTAGGAGCATTGAGACCGCTGGACCCTATGGGCTCCATGTTTCTGTTTCGGCAAGGACTAGAAAAGATAGACAATTCAAGCATGGTCGGGCCATGACCTGTCAGGCTTGCTGGTCCTGTCATGCCGGGCGCAAAATGGCGGTGCTTCTGGTGTGTGGCACTACATCAATGTCCAAGACATCGTTTGCCCTGGCGGGCCAGGTCTCTTGGCAGTGCAGAAGAGGTACTTGTCATTGTAAGGCAGCCCCACAGCTTTCATATGCCATGAGCTTTGGCCGCACTTTTTTGCCGCACTTGGATGTCGATCGGAAAAGAACAACAGACACGACGCACGAGGCCTGGGCTCGTCCATGAGTTTACGGCAGCATACCCAATACCACAGCGACAGTAACAACTGATGCAGCTACATGAGCTGTGGCTCAGGTGCCTCATATATATATATATATATATATAAACAGGGCCCTAGTTCTGGACCTTTTTCTTCGTGCGGACAGGATCTTGCCGCCACCTGTGGAGTCCGCTGTGAAGTCAAGCTTACCGGGCTGCGTACGAATATTTCGTGTGGCGGGCCTTTCCCCCACCCTCACTTCATATATGCAGCACAGTCTTTGAGTGCTTCCAGTGTTTGTTTGGAACTTCTTCTTTCAATATGACCCCTTCCTAGACCCAGATGATGGGGTTCCAACAGTTAAGGGTACCCTTTCTGAGCGTTTCTAGGCTCAAGTATGTTGGGCTTTCCCAATTGCAGAAGATACCCAGGTTACGCGACAGTCTCTATCCTCCAGCCTGCGATGCTCAGCCCTGATCCGACCATCTTCACCATCTTCCGGACAACTATGCCATTTGTCGGCTATCACTTTATCACTGCAATCAGTATAAGCTGGGGATGGGTGGGGTGGGGTGGGGGGTGAGGAGGAACAGAGTTCTGGGCTTTTTTTGTTAGCCCATACACGCAACCAACAAGGGCCCTCAATTCTGACCAAGCCCCCATGTCGCTCCGACCCACAGACAGTCGGGCGCCTTGTTGGGTCATTTCGATTTTGACAGACCCCCCAAGAAATTTCAAGAATCCCCTAGGCCCAAAGTGAAGCCACTGTCATAGAAGTCGACAGCTGCCCATCGACAGAAATCACCCTAAGCCCTGTGGACCCCAGAATCCCTAAGCTAGTTGACTGCAGGGTGTGTCTTTGAGGACTTGCACGTGACTTCCCTGACAACTCACTCGAGTACTTCGGGTGCGGTAGTCGAACTCCCCCAGCCTTGTAAGGCACCGGACGTTTTCCTGATGCACCCTCAAAAGCGGAGAGAACATCCTTTAGGAATCCGGTGGTGGTCAGCTTCGTCGCGAAGGATGCCACTGGTCGAACTGTGGTCGACCAGTCGGCTCACCTCACACTCCAGGCAGTCACGCCGAGGCGCCCCTGCTTAAGCCGGAGCCGCTACTAAGTGCAGCGTATCATACCACTCTGAATCCGAAGCTCGATGGAATATTCATCGACGTGGTGTCGTGGTGCTTATAAAGGATTGTTGCCCCCAGCCGCAATTGCGCATCTCGAAGCGAGTCTCTCATCTTCCGGGGTGGATTTGACACGCTTTCCCTCGCACTCGCATTGGGGTGTGTGGCTGTTGCGGTGCAATCATCTCTGCCAAATCTCGGCAGAGCAGCTTGCCTGCAAGGTACGGTCGACGCCTTGAGGAAGATGAAGATGAAGCAGAGGATGCCGAGGAAGAAGCAGAAGGAGAGCCCGAGGACGCAGCTTGAATGCTCCTTGTGTTGAGCTAGTGTTGAATTCTTTGAAAATGTTCTTGGCTTTAGGGCTGGCTTTAGGGTTTAGGCTAGGGGCGTTAGGGCATTGCTGCAAAAATTAAGGGTTCGGGTGGGCCTCAGCGTTCAGTCTGGCCTCAACAAGCTCTTTGGGTTTTGGATCGCCGTAATCGCGCACTGGGCCCTGTGTTTTGTTTTTTTGACTTCGCGAAGTTGAATCCAAGAGCAGGTTTCAAAGTACAGAATTCTAAACCAGGACATTGAATGACTTTTCAGTCAGTGTAGTCACATGCCCAGAATCCTTTAATGCCAGAAGGGCGGATGTTCGTAGATCTGCTCCCGATGGACATGTGATGGCTAAAGTGCCCCCGGCAAACCTTCTCTCTAGTCTCCCATATGTGTCGCTTGCGGTGCTTGCGGCGCTCTGCTGCTTCGGCAAATCGCCCACAGTCGGAGCGCTTTTCTTGGGCGGCACGCAGAAGATGTTCGAAGCCGGAGCGGCGACTACACTTGTACAGCTACTGCATGCAATTGCACTGAAGATGAGCCTACCCGCGTAGCCACGCCACGTTCTCCTGGACCCTTGAGTGTTCGTGGCGCGACCAAACTTTACGCGAACATGTGGCTCGCTTATCCCACGTGCCAAGAGCTTTTTTTCACCTCCTTGATTGAAGTTGAAGGTTTGCGAACCCTAAACCCTGAGCCCTTTCAGGAGGCCCCTATCCGCGGTCTCCTAAGTCGACGGCGCATGAGCTCCCCGCGGCGGAGGCGCATCGCTTGGGGCTTATCATACGTTATGCTCTCCAAGATTTTCGGGTCATGGCTTACAACTACCCTACCTTGCCCTACCTTTATCGCGGATCTTAGACGTGCAGCCCAAGCAGTCGGCCTCTCTATGTCGTCCTTGCGTCAGCAGCAGCTTCTTACCAACAGCCTCAAGAGCCTCTGTAAGTTGGTGCGGGCTCATTCAGCCGGAAACTGTAGGGCTGGGTAGGCTTTGATGCAGAGGCAGAAGGTTGCACCGAAAGGTAGCAACTACTCGTACCAAGGCGTGGGAAGCAATGAATCAGAAAGCCATACCACGAGGGTCCATAGGAGTTAGGGGTTTTTAAAACATCCAGAAGGGGCCCATAGGCAATTCACAGAGGGTTCATCCGTTTTTTGTTATTCCTAACAGCCGAAGAGTTGGGTTTCTTTCTCTAGAGGCGGGAGGCCGGAACGGAACGGAACGGAACGCCGCAAATGGCAGTTGATCATGTTTGTTTTGCTTGTTGTTCGGTTGGTTGCACTGCTGGCTTAATCATGTTCCATAGCGAGCCGACAGTCATAACAACACAGGGCATGTTACGGCATGTTGTGTTGTATAGCATACGTGTAGTATTCTTCCAGGCCATGCCTTGACACTTCCATGGGATCCGGAATTGACAGGCCTCATATGTGGCTTTTTGCTTGCGATGCCGGAAGGACCTACACGGACAGCCGTCGCCGTGCAATCACTGCTTCCTGCCAGCCAGGGGGGTGAACAGGCCTTGAACAGCAAAGGTGATGACTCACAGCTAAGCTCTCATCTGAACCATGGGACCAACACCACTTGAGGCTGCAGGTTTTGTATAGCGATGCTAACCTCTGAAGAAGTCCACGCACTGAACCTGCTGGCACGGTGCTGCAACAGCCTCGGCGGAAGCACCCAGGTCTTCTTTTGTTCAACCAATTCATGACGAATACATACCCCCCTGCCCGAAAAAAAGAAGAAGCGTGAACACCCAAGCCCAAGGACAGTCGCAGGCGCACTGTCATGGTGTCGCCACGCCGGCGCGCGCCAATGGTGTCGCCACGTCGGCGCTACATGAGCCACGGTTGTGTGCTTTTTGTCCAGTTTGCAATCTTCATGATGTGGACCCAGCTACATT